GGAGAGACCCCCAAAATGACCATAGCAGGCCAAACTCCCAGGCCTCCATGCACTTACAGCTGTGCAGTTTAAATGGGAGGCGAATTGGACTAACATGACATGCAGGGGCCAATCAAGTATATCCAGATACTACATTAAGGTATCATGGTTCAGCCCAGCTCATTTGGCCTGGCTCCATGTCGTTTCGCCTGGCTGACTCTTGGGGTCGAGTCATGCATGACCAAAACATCACTGAAGGGATCAGAAAGCGAGGATTATGCCTGACAGTAGCTGAAGCACAGATGTAGCTGAAAATCTGGATGAGGTAGAGACTTGTGTGGCTCCCTTTCTGCTCTCTGCTTTCCTTTTAGTATCTCAAAAGGCACAGCTTAGAGTACATTGCAAGGAGAGCATTTCTTTTCTGCATCATGGTGAGGCCCTTGTCCCAAGGCAAGATCTGGACCCAGAACCATTTGGCTCAAGGACAGCAGTGCTCATGATCACACCACAGGCACCACAAGCAGTGCTCACCTTAAATACCATGCAAGCAAAGCATTTCTTCTTTGCATCATGATGAAATCCCCTGTCCAGGATGTGTGTTATATGGTTATCACTACGCCAGGGAGCGAGCACACTGGTTCAGGTCCATAATACTCTTCAAGTGGAAATGGTTATGAAATCTCTAGGAGCTTGTTGTGAGACTGTGCTTCCTTTCTTTGGATCTTTGTGGTTTTTATACATGGTTCTGCTTCCAAATCATGGTCCACCTTCCAAAGAGGGTAAGACAGACAACTCTTACTTTATACAGAAAGACCCTGGCATTCAAGCCTGAGCTGCATTTCCTACTTGTTAAGGTTGATATACTTTAAAGTATGTTCTTAAAGTTGAAGATTGTGGTCCAGTGCCCATAATGAGAAAGCCAGATCACTCTTACGTTACACAGGAAAACTGTGGCTGGAATTTGAAGGCAGCAGTATTGTATAAAAGTGTAGGCCTATATTATAATAAATAAGCAATGTAGTATTCAAACAGGTTGATCTATAAAGACACGTATTTAAACCTTTTAGATTAAATACTGAAACACTCCTGGGTTTGATTCCTTGGTCCAGCTGTCAACATGCCCGTGGGCATTGCACTTGTCCCTCTGTGGAGGCCCAGCAGGGTATGAATGGGATAAGTGAAAACTAATGAATGATACATGATTGCCTCTGTCATCCCTGCGTGAATGGTTGAATGTGACGTAACGTGAAACTGCAATATGACTATGAATCACAGTCTGAGTCTGCTCCTTTTTAATCATCTTTGACTTGAAGCGAGTGAGTCTTCAACATACAGTACCTTCAAGCAGGTGAAATCATTATAATGGAGAGATTAGTCCTGAATGTTGAATTCTTCCAGCACATTGGAGAGGACCTGGAGAGGAGAGATCATATGTGTACTTGGTGTCTGAGCCACTGTGCATTTCACTGTAGATCATCAGCCTTGACACATACAGGAGGCATAAGTTTCCATCTGGGTCTGCTCTCGTGAACTGGAACTAAAAGTCCTAACCACTGACTTTAACATTTTCCTACCTGTTTATTCTATCAGGGCTCTGAGCTAAATGTGTGACCCAATCTGCTTTGCTGAAACACTGAAATTAAAGATCAACAAGGAAAGGATTGAGCAGGAACTTTCCAGTGACCCATGAGAGGGCCCCAATGGAAACTTGAACTGCGAACCTGCTCAACATCAGTGCTAACAATCTCATTATGCTGCTATGTTACAGGGCTGACTTATTTTTAGTTTATGTTTTCTGCTACACTGTGGTGGTTCACAGTGATGGAAAAATGTAGCTCAACAAGGCTCCCTATCAAGATTTGTACCTGCATCTGTTATATGTCCTGTTAATTAAGTTTTTCCCTGGTTTTGTTATTTGAGTGTGTTTTCTTTGTGTTTTTCCTGGTGTTTCTGTTCCCTTTTGTCCTGTTCCTCTGTAGTCCAGTCTTGTGAGTTTTTAGTTCGTGTTTGACCCTGTTTCCCTCCTGTTCTCTGTTTTATTCTTTAGATAAGTTTTCAGTGTTTCCTGTTTTATTTTGTAGTAGTTGATAACTTGTGTTTCTAGTCTGGTTTTCCTTCCCTAGTTTTCCCTCCTTCGTTAATCACCAACGAGTTTCACCTGTGCCAGTCTGCCGCACCTGTTGCTCGTTAACCAGAGTGTGTAGTCCCTGTCTTCCCCTCTGTCCTTGTTTGTATACTGTATGTCGATGCCTATGTGTGTGTCCCCTGTTGTTCCCTGTGGTTTTGACCCTGTGGATTTTCTCTTTTGTTGCTTTTTTTCATTTAGTTCATTTTAAATAAATCCTTTTTTTGTTCTGCATTTTGAGTTCTTTCCCTTTTTAACTCCAGACCGTGACGGCATCAGTGTCTCCACTGCCACAATATAGAGCCACTTTAGAGTACTCACTTAGGTTCACTTCCTTTTCAACACCATGCTGATTTAAAAGCTTTGTCAAGGCTCCCATGGCAGCCTCCAATCCATATTAGCCTGTCAAGTGGGATTTGAACCAAGGACCTTCATATTGATGCAGACTGAGGTGCCACTGTGCAGAATCTAATTGTCCAGGCTTAAACCTTTTGAGGCATCAGTTTCACTAAGTGTATTTTTCTGATTTGATGTCCTGAGTTTATGCTGAATATGGGGAAAAAAATCCATAAAATAGGAACAACATAAAACACATTACAGACCCCTTCCAAAAAATTTCAATATCATAGAAAAGTTAATTTTTTTTCCATAATTCCATTCAAAAGTTAAACTTTCATAGATTTTAGATTTAGGGCCTACAATTTAAATGATTTCAAGTATGTGTTCGTTTATTTTTACATGATTTGGGCTTCCAGCTCATAAAACCCACGAAAACAGGAATTCAAATAAAGAGAATACTGTGGAGAAACCAGCCCAAATGTTGCAGGGCATGAATGTTTTAAACTGAGTGTCACACACTAATCATCTACTAAACTCAAAGCACCTGCACAGGTTTCCCCAGGTGTATCAATGGAAGGTATCAATGATGGTCTTCTGGCCGGTTGTCAAGTCTGCAGTCTTCCTCATATTGAACTGAACTGAGGCAATTAAATGACACCTGGGAAAACCTGTGCAGGTGTTTTGAGTTTAGTAGATGATTAGTGTGTGACACTCAGTTTAAAACATTCATGCCCTGCAACATTTGGGCTGGTTTCTGAACAGTATTATAATCTTTTGAATTCCTGTTTTGTGGGTTTAATGAGCTGGAAGCCCAAATTTTGTAAAAATAAACAAAACAAATGCTTGAAATTGTTTAAATTGTGGGCCCTGAATCTATAATCTATGAAAGTTTCACTTTCTGAATGGAATTATGGAAATAAATAAACTTTTCCATGATATTCTAATTTTTTGGAAAGGTCTATATCATTTAAAAATACAAATAGATATCTGGACCAACAATTTCAATTAGTTTATTCTAAAAAGACAACTCTCAACATTTTCCATACGGTTTAACTTCACATCTGTAAAGCAGATAAATATGTTTCATTTGTATCCTTTTCATTTTAAACAGTTCATCAACATAAAGAGTTCATATATACAGTAAATCTGGAAATCCAAAAATAATCACAGTACAGTGTATCTCCCTTTTAACAGTCAATTTCTTGCATTACCCAAAGACTCTTTGTCAAAGTAAGGGGTGGAGGAAGTTGAAGGGGGGCGTTTTGTTTTCCTGGGAGTTTTATTCATTCACGTGGGAGTTTTATAGACTCGTGTTACTTAAACATTGTCTCCGTAAAGCTTTCTGTGAAGCCTCGGTGTCATCAAAGGTGCTCGCTTCAGTCATGCTGGAAATCTTGTGTTGTGGTAACTGTTATGGCATCTCCATTTGAGAGCATTTGAAGTCACACCGGGGACAGAGAGTGGGAAGAATACCACAGAGGCTTGTCCTTTTTTTTTCTCAGTATGAGTGTGTGCAATAATTGTCACACAGTTTACAGTGTCACAGGCAAAGGATGGGAGCTACAAGGCAAGAAGATATCAACACTGTAACTCTTTCATTTCAGCAAAAAGATCTGATTGTTAATCCAAACATTTACTTCTCTCCACTTTTTACCATTAAAATTATTGCTTTACAGAATATCACTTGAAGTCTATGCTTTCTAGATTCACTCAAGACTAAGATACTGTTACAGTATAAATGATTTATAGTACTCTACAACGCTCATACTGTAATATTTCTGATTTCTTGCTGCAGATCAGCCACAATACATAAAGTCTGATTGTTTGAATGACATTCTGCTTGATCCTCAAAATCCACCATTTTAAAATAAGAGAGGAAAGTGCAGTGTGAGCTTCATGAGTAGAATTATATTTGCTGTAATTACCTGGGAATTTTATTTTATTTTTTTGTGATAGGGTGAGAGTTGCGGTTTCATCGAAAAATGGAGATTGACAGAGATTTTGGATCACTTTGGAGGGAGTTGCCAGATGATAATGTGTTTCTTTTCTATCATGATCAAGAGTTTTAAAGTTTATTATGACATGTAACCATAACAGAGTTTCTCATGCAGTGTTCTGCACCAGAAGATAGAGGAAAATCTTTGAATCCTGTTTGTGCACATGTGAAAAAATATGCCAAAATCATTCTGGTCTGCATGAAACATGAAACCAAAAAGGGATTTTCTGCGATCAAGCACATACCAGTGACAGGCCTTACATCATCACCCATGTTGTGCATCTTACATCTATCTCATCACTATGCTACAGTGGGCACCCCTCCCTCGAGCAGGGCTTTGTCTCAGTCTCAGTGTCTGAAAACCAGATTGGCTGTGTTGAATAAGAATCCTCCAAACCACGTTGGCATGTGGTTTTTTTGGCTCGTCCCCGCCTCTCCTCCTTTTCACATGCCGATTCTCTGCTCACATATCTGAAGACAGCAGCTCTTCTGTGGCTCCTAGAGATGTATTGTGACCAGGGGGATGTGGAAGAGGGGCTGCCAAATGGATCCAGGGATGAGCTAAGAAAAGTTTCCAAAGGAGGCTGCAGAGAGAAGGAAGAGAAGAGAGAGAGGAAGAAAAGCAGAGGTTAAAGTCTCATCTTTGAGGCTTTTTGAAGAACCAGCATGGGGTTTCAAACCCTCCTGGATCTGTATGAGAGTCCTTTACCCCCCAGACTTACTGAATTATAGAGTAACCAGTGTGGCTAGCCCCTCTTCATGTAGTACGCTGCACTCAATCACGTAGAGACAACCTCTAACAGCCTATCATTTAGGATGAAACACTTTCTGAATAAGTAAGACAGAAACGGTGGTGCATGATAAATGCACTTTTACTGTTAACATGAATACACACTAACAAGAATAACACACATTTATTTGCATGTAACTGTTCAAAGAGAAAAAAGGAGATCCTTTAATGTTCAAGCTAATTTTACACCTCTACTCTTCGCCTCAACATTTCTTAACATCAGTTGGGAGGGCTGCATGTTTGAAAGCAAAGGCTAAGTCAAGTCACCCTGACTCTTCGCAGACTTTCTCCTGCCCCCGAGTAAAACATCTGTGTGAAATCAGTCAACTGATGTGTGAATGCAGCAACCAAGAGTGTGTGCCGACTGAAAGCAAGCTGACAGAGAAGGACCTGGCTGCAGACGCAGTGGACCTCTGTAAGGCTGTGCACAGTTGGAAGTCGGACCATGGCTTGGATCTCAGCTGTAAGAAGGTTTTAAGCAACCTCACCAGCTAAAGTTACTCTTTGTCTTTCACAAACTTTATGAATAGATGTTTTGTTTTCAATATTAAAACTGTAAGCAGCCTGCACATGCAGAGCTACATGATTCAAATATCTATATTGACTCTAAACTTCGCAGTTTATCATTTTAAACTGAGTTTAATAGTTAGAGTTTGTGAAAACGGCACAAAGAACAAATGAAGGTGGTGATATCATAGACTTTACTGCTTGATAATGGCTGAGATCCAAGAGGTAAACTTCTGACTGAGAATGAACTAATAAGGGTCTGACAGTAAATTCATGATATAAAGGTGATAAATGAAGGAAAACGCAGTATCCAGTTATTTTACACTGACACATCAGCACTTAAATGTGTGTGAAAGTGCTCTTAGATTTGATCAAAAGACATATTAACAATGAGAAAACTTTGATCAATGTTCAAATCTTCTAAAATATATTTTAATACATATTTTCATAAATAATAATTAACCCGTAAACCCTAACTCTAACCCCTAAACCCTAACTAGTGAATGAGCTAAAACTCAATATGTCAGGGTTACACAAGTGAGCGCATAACATATTTTTGTATATATAAAAAAAATATAAAAGCAAACTGAAAAAATACCTCTTTTCGTCTTGCTTTTAATTACATTTTATATCATTAACTTTGTTTAAGTGTTTTAACATATATCTCTTCTAGTTTTAATGACAGGATAGTCTTTTATTGAGCTATTTTGGTGCTCTTATTTTAGCATATTTTACTGTTGTTTTTATTTCATTTTAAATAAAAACAATGAAATGAATTTTATATATATGTATATGTGTATATATATATATATTGACACACAAACATTCAGATAAATAAGAGACACTTATTGCTACATCTTCAGTATATTCTAAAATGAAATCCTGACAATTTATTTGTTTTTACAGTTTTATCTTAATACGTAAATGTGCAATATAGGTCTTCAATCTAAAGCAGAGATACAGGTTAATCAGGTAATAACTAGCCTTTGTTTAGCTTTATTAGCCTAATGTCATTCTTTCTCCAAACAACAGATGCGACCAGGTGGTTTCCCTGACAACCAGCCAGTTCGTTCCATCCTGAAATGACACCAAGTGTCAGTGGGAAGGCAGACTCTCCTTCCTGGTGGCATTTCAGCTCTAAGCCTCCTCTCTTGATAGCCCAGGAAGGCGCCGCAGCCACCTGTCTGTAGACACAAACAGATGTAGTGTGGCACTGGTGTGAACCTGAACCGGAAAAACTGTAGGGAGAGACAGAAGGATGGAGGAATGTGGATACGACTGGAGGCTTGTACATGCACAGAGGAAACTGGTTCTCTGATAGAAATCCTTTTAAATGAGCTCCCAGAGGAGTCCTCAGAGCCTACGTGCGGCAGAGGAGGAGGAGTGACGGCTGGGAAAAGGAGGAGATGAAGAGAAAAATTTGTGCCGCGGAAAACTGACACGTTCCTCTTTTTTTTTTTCTCTCTCTCTCTCTTTCTCTGTCTGTCAGCCTCACAGTTCATTCATATTCTAATTCAGAGCAACAGTTCAGCTCGCTGACACCACACGAAGCTCTGAGTTAAAGGATGGGCGACATCACAGGAGCGTTTCAGGGAAACAAGGTTACCATGACAGTCTCCAACAGCAACCAAAGTGCTCCTGACAACATGTCTTTCGAGGCCAAGGAAGGGGTCAAAGGTTGCATCGGCTGTTTCGGCTAATTAATGATGAGAGTCTCAAGCATGGCAGATGGCTACACACAAAGACAAAGAGAAGCTTTGATGAAAATTTGATATGCTGAAAAGGAAGGAGGGAGTGATAGTTTATTGTCGAGGTATAACAACAACCAGAGGCAGAGTAGAAGAAGAGAAGGGAGGAAGAGGACAAACCCTGCACCCCAACTCCCCCCCTGTGGTTCTGATCTGAATCTTGTCTCTCAGAGTTTTCCAGATGTAAAAACAACCCCTGAGAGAGCCGTGGCTCTGGGCTGTGGAAGACATCATCCATACCTTTCACTAAGTGACTGATAAAAACTCTGCCTATCCTTCTGAAAAATACATGAAATACTGTACGCCGAGTGTGAAGTACAAGAGAGGAACAGAGGAATCTTTCCCAACCACGAAAGAGTCGTGTTCAAAGAGAAATGTAAATAACAGGCTTTGAAATGATGAAATGCAAACAATAGAGGTGAAGGCTGAAGCCGCGGATGTGCCTATGTATGTACATTTGTATTCAGCTATGGTGCCCTGATTTGAATTTCCACACTGTATTTATGTGAACTGCCGGCAACTATAACAATGAGTGTTGTTTTTTTAACCATGACCTGAGACTTTGCCCTGAGTTTGGAGCGATGCTAACATGAAAAAACAGTCAACTTTGAAAACTTTGAAAAGGTGGAAAGGTGAAAGAGTTTGTTATAATTACATCAGATTGCAAAAGTTTGTGTTTAAACAAAGTTAAGGGAGAAATATGTCAAATGAGATGGACTTTTCTTTTTAAATGTTGGTGGTTATCCATATAACTCAACAGCATCACTCCATCTCCACTGTGGTGCCAGTTTTCTGCCAAATATTCAAAGTCTAAAAACTGATTCATGAAAACCTCGAGGACATCATCAGGTTTATTTTGTCACTCATGAGGTCTTTTTCCAAAATCATCTGAAAAATTGTACACCTGTTCTGACAGGCAGAGTAGTCATGATGACTAAGCTGACCTTTTCGAGTTAAAGTGGAGGAAAGCACCTCTGACACAAAATTATGTTATGTCCTGAGAACGCTGCATTTGCAAACCTTGAGACTGAAATGACATTTGCTTTAACTACAGATTCAATCTGTCTTGTTTTTTTGAATAAAAGTCAGGACCTCGACAAGGTGACAGTGGCCATGATGAAAATAATCACAATTGTTGTGTAAGCATTAATTTCTAACCTTCCACTCCAGTACCAGACCCTCATTACCTTTGCCTCCCTCTACAAAATCATCACCCCATCACTCTGCTTCACACCTTCAGTCCTGATACAGCACCCATTATCACCTCGACAGACACTTCCCAGACATTCTTACCTTCATCACCTCTGGGTGCCCTCCAGCCCTGTGAACCTCGGGTGTTTTACGCTGTCACTAAATTAGTTTGCCCTTATAGCTCGGAGTCAGGGGCTGCTCAACTGGCAAATTATATTTGCATTGCTCTGCTAAAAGAAGTGTCCAACAACCATTTAATTAGACCTCCTTAGCAGTCAGTTGCGTTCTGTCTCCTGATTAAATCCATTTTAATTATCTCATAGTGATTAATCGACATGTATGTCAGAATTAAAGCAACTTTCATTTACAATAAGAGAATGAAAACAACTTTATTTTATCGCTAAAGGGAAATTCAATAAAAATAAATAAATACATAAATGAATATTATTTAGAATAATACTTCTTCTACTACTACTACTACTACTACTACTACTACTTATAATACAAATAATAATAATAATAACAACAATTATTATAATACTACTGATAATAACAACTATAATAACAATAATAATAATAATAATAATAACAACAACAACAACAACAACAACAACAACAACAACTATTATTATTATTATTATTATTATTATTGTTATTATTATCATTATTATTATAAAAAACAAACAATTATTTATTTATAAATACATTTCTAAATACATTTTTTAAATAAACTGAGGCAAAAAGAGACGAAACAATAACTGCCTTGATAAACAGAATAAGGTTAATTTTTAAGCTTTTCCACTCGTTTACAAACTTATTTGCTCTTTCTTATATTTTCGGTAACTCTTGTGGCAACTTCACTAACCCAAAATGACCGCAAAAGTCCAGCAGCGATAATGAGTTTACTTTTTGCTTAAGCAGTTTTATCTTTTGATGTATTTTGCTCAAAGAAAAGGCGTTTTTAATACTGCGCTGTAAAGACAGAACCACATTCAAAAGGCTTGCTTAGTTTATACAGACAGGGTCGAAGCACTATGTCCTTCGTCTTTTATATCACATCTGCCTTCCTTTCTATCGCCCTCTTTCTCTAATACGCTCCATATCTCTCACAGACAAACCGGAGGCTTCAAACAAAGCTGATGTGCCTATGCAAAAAACCCCTTCATGTCCCAAAAGGTGAACCAAAAGAAAGATTAAAATGAGCAACAGAGTCAGTCCTCCCATTTCTGTTAGGTACTTACCTCAAAGAAAACTCAAGTAAAGAGAAAAATGCAAAATAGAAACACAGTGACAGCATAAGCAGCGTGAATGATCAGATGAATAAGAGGGTGAGCTCATCAGATTGCAAAGACCACTTCATTTACTTGTTTGAAAGGAGCTGGTGATTGTAAGAGCCCTTTTAGTATCAGCTCATAATGATCCGTTGATGGCATAAACAACTTCAAAGCTCTGCGACGACTATCAATGTCCCCTTCTTAGTCAGATGCACTCAAGTCAAGGGTGACTGGACCGCTTGCAAATGGTTGATTTTTATATTTTTATTTTTGCAAAAGGTTCTGCTCTTCAGGGTCCTCTTTGCAAGAAGCACAGTTATAACCATTAGATCTGAAAAACAAGGGAGTGCACTGCAACAGCCAAAGCAACAAAGATGCTGCAGCCTTCATACAATGCTAGAGTTGTCATTGAGGACACAAACTCAATCTGGGTGCTGCTGCTACTGCCAACTTCAGGTTGTGATTTTGGAGATTATGGTTCCCAGAAAAACAGAAAAAGTATTTTTCATTTACTCATTCATTGAAACATTTATTTACTCCAAAAAAGGGACTGAAGTTATAATGGTCTCAGGCAGTGGATTCTGCAAGTGCTCCTGAAATTTTGAGAGGGGTCTCAAGACCTCCACTGAGCAGACTGGGAGTTGTTTGAAGCCTTTCAAAATAAAAGCAAATGTACCAGGAGTATGTTTCGTTTTTTTACATTGTTTTTACATTGATATGAAGCCTTTCAACTGAAAAGGGGCTTTTGGGGCTTTATTTTATGTATATATTGTTCATATGTTTTTTTATTTTTTTTTATTCGTGTGTTCGACAAAGACAAAATACAAAATGGGATGACAACTTCAAACAAACTGGAGCGTGTGAGAAAAAAAGACCTTGGGTCCTCTCAGTAGAGCGTGTCCTCTCAGAGGAGGTCTGCAGTTAGACGGTCTTGGAAATTTGCTTTATTTTTTGTCATATTTTCATTTAGCTGTAAAATCAACCTTTCCTCAAGGTATAAAAACAATACATCATGATAAATATGAGGTTTAAAAAAAGTGAGTTAGGTCTTGTGGAAAAAAAGAGTGATTCAGAATCCAAATTCGGATGGCTCTTCTTATGCAGTATTTATCCAGACAACTGGGGCGACAGAATTAAGAGATTTACCAATCTGTAGGGAGCGTCTGAAACTCAGTTACAGAGAAAAGAAAATGGTAGCAACATCTCACTTGAATGACTCATAAGCCATCAATGAACACAGAAAATAACCACCTGCAGCGACTACAAGAGCAGACAAAGCCACCTCGACTGGTGAATTCGGGTCGGCAGTGATTGACTGAGTCGGTTTATTGATGGCTGGATAATAAAAGTGTTTACTGAAGCCATTATTCAGAGTCGGGGCAGCAAATCAAGAGCTCACATCAATAAAACCCACACAGAGCTGCAAACAATTGCACTTTGAAGTCCAACTCCACGTATGTCACAGCAGGCCTGCGTGGTCTCAGACTGCCTCCTCGCAATTTAGCCCATTTGACACTTTATTTATTTCTCTGTCTCTCACAGAAGCACAATAACTGGCAGAAATACACTGAAACACGGCGGGTCATGCGCCACATCTTGTTACTTACTTCTACTAAGGAGCTGCAGGTTGCGGACCTCCTCTCTGACCTGCAGCTGGAGTACTTGTTGGAGGACCTCCTGCCTCAGCGTCTCCTGGATGATTCCCATCCTCTCCAGCTTCTCCCCGTTCAGACGCAGCAGCGCTCGGCCTAGAGGGGAGAGGGGAGTACAAGTTAAAACCTCTGTGAGGAGTTTTGACTGGTTTTATAGCCTAAAAGAGCACAGAAAACCATTGACGACAAGATGGTGCTGTCAATTTTTAAAATCCAATTTTGATGCCTGTACAGAATTCAAGGGAATAGGTGTAAGTAAACATCTTTCCTCAAAATTACAACCAATCTGAGAGGAAGCAGGCCAGAGGAGCACTGCTTAGACCGGCGATTTTTCTGTGACTGAGTTTTACTACAGAGTTAGGCAGTTCACCCCGAGGACACACACATTTTACATACCATTACCCACGGTACATAGCTTTTACAACCAAGTGGAAGCTACACAAATAAAAACTGGAGCTTAATGAAACCTTAAACACGCATGTGTGGAAATTTCAATGAACACACGCAGGTTACCATGTCAAGGCGACTTATGTCCTTTTACCGGTGTGTACGGCAGAGGAATATATAATTTCTGCAGAGCTCAGTGCGACGCCCAAATCATAATTAGACTCATTACTCATGCAGCTCACTCTCCATAGCATTGCATTCATCCCCATAGTCTTCCTATGGACACTGGTGCATGCTCTGTATCCCCGTCTCCTCACTGTTTTCTGCTCATTATATACTGTACTGTACTGACTGCAGAGAAACGGTCCCCAGAGTTATGTATGTTATGTATAAGCACTGTGTACCCTACACAATAGGTAAACAGAGTCTGTTCCTCAGTGCTGTTTCTCTCCAGAGATAATAAGACACAATTATCAAAAATTTTTGTTGCTCATGTCTCTACAGAGGCATGTGGAAAGGGCGTACGAAGAACATAGATAACACACTGAATGGGAACATAGGAGACAAAAATAGTTCAAAGTTACCTGGAATGAGCTTTTAGAGCATATAATATATACCGCAAAAGTCAGCAGTCATATTTCATAGAGCTACCTGCAGGGTGGAGAACAAATTGTGTTGTGAAAGGTCTTCTATAACCCTCACTGGACCTTGGACTGAGCTGGAAGCGACTAAAACTATCCATAGAAACTAATGTTACATTCGCAAATCCATGCATATGATTAACCTGAACAACACTGAAAAATTCACATGAATAAATCTCTTGGTCATGTCCCTTAAAGCTGATATCACAATGCTCTCACGTCAGCTGATTAAAACAAAATAAAGCAAAAAACAAAAACAGTATTCAAAGAAATCTGCAATCAGAGGGGATAAATGATTTCGATCAGTTCTACAAGCATGTGCAACATCTCTGGTGATGCATTGGCCTATGTTATAATGTTAGTTGTTCATGTGGGTTCGCTGTCTGAAACCAGCGGAGAGCACATTTTTTTTTTTTTAGTGTTTCTCAACACTCATGCCTGAAGGCTGGTACAAAGCTGTCAAAACTTTGAATGCAGGCGAGAGAAAAAGGACCTCAGAGCAGAAGGTGGCTGCCTGAGTGAGACAAAACAGAGATTTGTTGTTAGGTTTGACACCTACTGGCAGGCTTTCAAAGATGGACGGCAGGCAAAATGGCAGTTATGAAACAGGCGGACTGGTACAAGAACTAAATCCAAAACCAAGAAACTCCAAAAGAAAAAGACAATTTTAAATGAGTGATGAGAACCGAAGAAAAGGGTGTGGTTTGAATGGTAAGAAAAAACAAGGTCACATGGTCTCCTCCTAATACTATTTTAAACCAAAAACTTAAATAACAACCTCACATGGTCAATTTGTTTGACTGTTTTATAATGCAAAACACAAAAACTGTCAGGAAGAAGTGACACGTTAAAATTTTTAGAATAAAAGCTACAAAAATGGTAAAATTATGCCAGCACAGAATTGAATTAAATTGAATTGACTGTAAGTTTTTCAAAAGTGAGTCATGTCCCTTTATTCTTTTTTTTACATAAATTGAAATACAAACTAAAAGGTAAGAAAACACTCAAACAACAGTCAAAATAGCTAAATTTATCTGAGTGTGTTTAATCTTGAAGGACAAACGAAACTCCAGACAATTATGATATAAATTGTGATATACAAAATATTCTACACAGTAGCAGCAGATGGCTGTTTAACATGAGTCTGGTTCTGCTCGAGGTTTCTGCCTGATAAAAAGAAGTTTTTCCTTGCCACTATTACTTGCTAAATTCTCTGCTCATTGTGGTTAAAGGCAAAATAAGGTTGAATTTTAAGATACTAGATAATAAAACCCAGCTGTGTTTGGTCTTCATGATCAGTATAAACAAAGAGTCCACATCCAGACCTGCTCTTTTTTTAAAAACATCTTTAGATAGCATTTGCTTTGAATTGGAGGTATATGAAAAGTGATTGATTGTCTAACAGATTCACATTCCACACCTCGAGCTCTTTTCCTCCCTTCAGACTGTGAGGCTTGACTACTCAACAGTCTCCACATGTTTTTGAATGTGAGCGAGTCGACTCATCCATCGATCGATGCACTCTCACAATCAAACTGCATCTCACTCTTTTGCGGCTGTATATATAAATATATCCTCCAGAGGTAAGCTGATATAGGATATCAACATTTGAAAAGTGTATTGGATGCACAGAAATGTAGGAAGGTACTGGAGTCAAACATTGATCACGGTTGTGAGACTGGCTTGTATTTCCACGAGTATCGTCTTTCTTGAGCATTGAGGACACTTTCTTCAAAGTTCTGTCAAAGTTAAGTGATTGATTTCTGCAGCAAGAATACTGATTATAATTCGAGGAAGCAGCAGTAATTAAGAGACGCTTCACACACCCCAGCTCTTTTGAAATATGATATATGGCGCTCAATGAAGCCAAATGAGGCTAGAACAGTCGGCCAGTCCTTGTCTTACTGGAACAACACAGACAAAAGCCACCTCCACTGTGGGCAAGACTCCACTCCCTGAAGGATGAAACCATGACAAAGCATTTAGCTTTCATTATGGTATAATGGGTGTGTTTGTGTGTGTGTGTATATGTGTGTAGATATGTGGTCTAAACACAGATTATTGACTTTCCTCACTATCCAGGCACTCTCCAATTCAAGCACACAGAGTGGAACAGCTTATTTATCTGTGAGATAAACTGTCTTGGGGATACAACAACAATAATTTTCCATTTATTTTGTGCACAGTTACAGCCATTTTTTTTTTCTCCGCACACACTTTTGTCTCCCTCTTCATCCTCTTGTACGGGCTTGCCAGCAGCGACAGCCCCAGAACGTCCTAGAAAAACCACTGCCCTTGGTCTGTGTGTAGCCGTGCATGTGTGTGTTTCTGTGTACAAATGAGACAAAACAGATGAATGGAGCTCAAATCAATTCCCTTCAGACAGACTTAATACGGCTCCTAATAATTGCCCGCAGATAGGGAAAGTAGTGCTGTCAAAGGGAGAAAAAGAGACACGAAAACAAAAAGCGTCTCAATACAGATCGCTTCTCTCAATTTGGCTTCAAAACAAATTGCTTATTAACAATGCCTGTGGGTAAATAGGACACAGTTCTGTCTGGACTAGGACAATAATGATGCCTAAAACAGTCTGAGCTACCCAAGTGGGAGGAAGGTAAGGACTCCCGTATAAAAGAACAACCTTCATATGTATCCCTAATTCAGCCAGTGTTGTCCCTTAGGTCCTAGATGGTGAACAAAGATGGGAATAAAGATCTAATATTCTTTGGCATAGAGATAAGCGCTTGCTATTTTTGTATTTAATGTTCAAGAATCAGAAAATTCAATTTCATTAGAATATAATTGAATAGTTTGTTCCATTTTGGCCATTTTTTGTAGTCAGGCAATGTCGCTGCTTTGTTAAGATCTCATACAGGAGACAGTCTAGGAGATCTGTGTCATGATATGTTCTATTGATTTAGTTTTTCCCTGGTTTGTGATTTGAGTGTTTTTTCTCTCTGTTTTCCCTTGTGTTTCTGATCCCTATTGTTCCTGTTCCCCTGTAGTCCTGTCTTGTAAGTTTTCAGTTTGTGTGTGACCTTGTTTCCCTCATGTTCTCAGAGTTTTATTCTTTAGATCAGTTTTCAGTACTTCCTGTTTTATTTTATAGTAGTCCATCCTGTGTCCGAAATGAATCCCTCAACCCCTAACCCCTAACCCCCATATGAGGTTTCACTATATAGCTGACTATGTAGTGGGCTCAATTACCGAAGGTTTCCGACACTACATGGCACACCGTTGTGACGTCACTGCTCAGACTGCCGCGTCTGAAGTTGCAGCTGTTGTTTTCACATCCCTTGAATTTTATGATGTATTTGTTTTTATTTGTGAAATAAAAGATAAAATAAAAAAATTGTGCACAAGACTATATGACGCAGCAAACAGTTGTTTTTCGAAACTGTACAGATCACTTGCAAGTGAAGTAAAGATAAAAAAATTATGCTGAAAATGGCAAATAGAGCTCGGGTTCTGTCTCTTTTTGCTTGCACAACACATCACGCAATGCATGACGGGATTCCCACCACTGACTTTGAGATTGAAATCATGAAATTTTGAGTCACCTATATGGGCTATTGGAATTGATTACTCAAGTTTCAGACACCCCTCAAAATGGCGCTAACCCCCATATAGTCGCCTATATAAGAGGTTAGGGATCCATTTCAGACACAGCCATAGTCTTGTTTTACTGCCCCAGTTTTCCCTCATTGGTAATTAGTAATTGTCTGCACCTGTGTCTCGTTTGCCTCACCTGTTGCTCGTTACCCTGTGTGCATATATAGTCCCTGTCTTCCCTGTTTCGTTGTTGGTTCATTTGCGTGAATCCTTTGTCTCCTGGTGTTTTTTTCCCCAGTGTCTTTAGCTGAATTTTTTTTGAAGTTTTTGTTGCTTTTTATTTTGTTCTTTTTAATAAATCATTTTTTGTTCTGCATTTGAGTCCTTTCAACTCTGCCACATGACTGTCTGTAATGTAAACAGAGCTCACTGTTTGGTTAAATTAAAAGTACTGATAAGGATCAACTTTGTAAGCACAATAGATGTAAACACCAGTATTAAAAAGACCTTACAATACCCTACCTCATCATACACCTTGCTACATTTCCTGCTGCTTGTAAACAGAGTGTAGCCCTGCAGCCACACAGACTATTTTTATACCATTCGCTCTATTTCACTTAAAGAATTATGAGTCTTTTTGGCATCACTTCATCTCTAATTCACTCCTGCTTAAAAAAAAAAGCTATCTGTATCCTGATTTATTACTTCGATTGGAAAATGGACTATTACTGGGAGGTGTAAATCCATGCATCAGTACCTTGAATCATATCTAGTCAGAAAGATCTCATCTGGAGGTGGACTGGCTTTTTTCGTGATCTGATACCGGTTTGTACCATCATTCAATCTGCACAGGTTGCAGGCATGAGAAAACCTGCTGACTGACTGTACGTTTAACCGTTTCTTATTATAGTATGCACAGATAAAGAGGAGGATAACTCGGGTGTTAATGCAGTGCAAATGATCCTGGGACATCTTTGTGGAAACTCTGATAGTAAATCACAAACAGACCATACCGGCAGTTTTACTACTAAGCCTTTAAGTTTAACAGTCTGCCACTATTGATTGTAATCCAGCCTATTATTTACACTCTGCTGCAGCTACAGGTGTAGTAACTACAAGGGTGGTGAAGGCACTATCAAGAGTCTTTATACTTTCCAACATGAGAGTTGTAAACCTATGTTTGATCTTTTTTAGTACACTTTGAGTTGCAGCCTTTTAAGTCTGTGCAGATTTAGCAGCCCTGAATAAACAGAAATAAACACAACAATCCTCTGCAGAATGTAGCATAAACTTTCAAAGACCGCATCAAAATCCCTCAATCCGTACCACATGCCCCAAACAGTCTGGTTCTCTGCAGCCGAATGGACAGCTATGCATTTTGAGTGTGGTTCATTAAGCCCTTTACAAATTGCCAGGACACCAGTGCAAATAAATTCAGTGATTGAAACAGGAAAAGTAATGAGAAATAGGAAATATAGTGTATTCAAGTCATCACAAGCTCTGCATACATAACTGTATCATGAGACAGAATTATAATTGCATAGCAAACACAGTCTGGCAGTCTATTCCCGACTTTTGGCCGGCACCCAAATGAATCTATCTCATGTCTTCTACAAAGCAATAAAAAGAGTCATGAAAAGAAAAAAATAAAACATATAAACACACAAATAAATGTAAAAAGGAAGAGACACTGAGGAGGCTGCACTGATCTCCCCAGGCAGCCTGCTCGGCCGTAATGGTGCCCTTACAGAGAGAGATACAATTACCTTTGGGTCACTGAACTAAGATGGTCCAGACACAAAATCCATTTCTGAGAACCCGTTTCCTTTAGTGTATGAAAAGGGCAGAGAATTTGTTTAGGGAACATCTATTGATGTGGATCTGTGATACTGACATATGCGCCGACAACAAAAAAGCACATGTTCTAGCAACATTTGCACAAGAAAGACAGATGCTAATAACCCGGGGAATATTGAATCCAGCTGGACATCAGCGAGTGAATACATAAGGACAATAGGATCTAAGCCTCCCTCTGTCGGAGGAGACATAAATAAAAATGATCAGATCAGAGCTGCTGTAGCTGTGACGGAGGCGGCATTGTTAACCTTGATACATATGTGTGTGCATGTGTCTATGTCTGTGTGTGTGTGCATGCAAATGAGTGACCCTGCCGCACAGAGAAGCAGTCTGTCCTCTGAAAGACACTCAAAGTGAAACTGCTCTACTGTCTGGTCCATCAGTGCTGGAGATGTGTGAGAATAAACATGTTTCAGTGTAAGTGTAGCTTTTTAATTAGATCCTCGTGTGTGTTTGTGTGTGTGTGTGCATGTTTGAAGCTTAAAAACAAATAAAAAGTGCGTGAATGTCTCTGTGCGTGTGTGTCGTCTGAACTCGAAACACGATAACCCCCCATTTTTTTTCCGCGGCTTTTCCTTTCTTCTCCAAAAATAGGCTGCACTACTTTTGTTACCTCACATGAATGCTTTTTAAATCTCCTTTGCAGAGATTTGGGTGTAAACCTGTTTCCAGTTGAAAAGGCTAAGCTGTGGAACCACGAACCTAAAAATAAAACTTGTGTGACATTTGGTAAGCCTTTTAAGGCTTTTGGTTTGCAATGTCAAAGAGGCTTCACTGCAGGGCTTATTAAAAGGCGCAAAGGTCAAAGAACATGGTCTGAATATATCCTTGTCAAGTATGCATGTACAAGGTCACTTTAGATCGCTTTTATCGTTTCTGCTGATATTAAAAGTTCCAAAGATAAAAAGAAAAGAAAAAAAATATATACTTTTTGTGTGTTGCATACTGAACCTGTGATGGCATGATGGGAGAAGGCCTCTACGTAGGTCAGGTAGTTGTGCGGACAGTGTTTCTTAAGCCACTTGCAGACGTCCTGCTGAGTCCACAGCACCACAGGTTTGGACAGACTGGACAGAGTAGGACTGGTGTGATACACAGTGAAGGCCTCGCCTGGACGCAACTGAAACACACACACACAAAACAAAAAAAAATCAATAAACTTTCTATTAAAATTCTTTCTTTCTCTCTCTCTCTTCCCCTCTCTTTCTCTCCCCAGGTATTGATTGAACCCCTAGAACCTCAGCTCTGTTCATCAAAATGAGTTATTCAAAATGTTCTATTCCTTTGCCTTCATTTAGTATGCATGGATTTATAAATATGTAAATAGACACCACCTCTAAATCCCAAAGCACCCTGCCGTTGCCTGCCTGCAGCTCTACTCCTGTCACCATACCAGTAAGACAGTGTGTTTTATGTTTTGCTCTCCATAATGTCAGAAAACTTTATCGTCACATGTAACAATAGCATTCAGCTCTGCTAAAAAGGTGTTACTGATGATGCATATAACCTTCAGTAAAAGTGGTCAGCTTTGTCCCAGTCAAAGTCTACATGGGCACATCTCTGAGGAGATTTCGGAGAAGATATGAAACAGACTGAAATTAGAAAGACACAATATGATTCAGTGCGATTGCTTTGATGCATTTATTCTAATTTCTCCATTCTCCCATTTGGTGACATCCTGCGAATGCCCTACGAATAAACATAGGGGTGCAAGACACTAGAGAGATCATCAAGGCGATTGATTTTCAGTCTCAAGTACAGTTTTTGCGAAACAAAATCGGTGGCTCTTTGGAGGTCAAGTTGCATACAGTGGCAATGTTGACTCCTAGCTAACTCCAAGATACCGTCTCAAGCATCACCAACATCTTTGCTCTCAGACACTTCACCAAAACTCATCAACGGCGAAAACTATCACAGCATCCATCAGCGGATTGATCTGTGAAAATATGCTGTCACTTCCCCTCGCTGAATGAGAGGCCATCATGTTAGACGGATGGATATTGTGTTCGGCACGGTGGTATGTTGCTTCTTCTACTTCACTTTGTATTGATGCTGGATGGAGGATGAAGAGTCTTGTTTTGATACCAGAGATGTGAAACGCATTATGGAAACATTGACACTTGACTGCATGGACAGAGAGGAACGTAATGATAAGAACCGTACCCTGAAAACATCTGTATCCAACATCCTTAACCCCATTCTAGTAAATCCAGGGACTTATTTCAAACATGTCAAAATGTTGATGGAAACAGACCCGTTTTTATCCAGTGATGGATTCCCACTGCATCATTCTATTCTACTTCATCTATATTCTGTTTTTCTTGTATTGCATTGCCAACCTTACATATCTTAGTGTGGTTATAAGGTGTCATTACACCCCTACAGGCTCATTCACATTGTCCCAAATACAGTGCTGCAGTGATGGCAGATGCTGCCAAGAAAATATGGTGCCCATCAGGATTCAACGTGATTAATTCACACGTCGAATCCTGATGGACAATTCAGGGTTCACTATCTTGCTGAGGCGACATATGGACGACAGAAATCAAGCCACCCTTCTCCTTATAAGATGATTTCTTTTGTATTTGCCCAAGATGACAACATGGCGAATAAGATTCATAATTTTAAAAAAATATATATATACTTAATTTATTTTTTTTATATGATACAAACCACAATTCTTGCATTACCTTAAACCACCTTCTCATTTGAAAAGATTAAAGTCTGTGAAACTAACAAAATTCGCTTAATAAGCTGAATTGTAACCCAAATTAACAGCTAAAATAAGGTGTAAGAGCTCGCGGGCATAGAGAGAAGAAAACAGATGCTGTACTTTCATTAAACATGAGCACCTTTTTTTTTTTTTTTTTACCAGCCTCAGAAAGACAAATGTTATTTCCACCCTGTCAACAAACTTTATCCTACCTAACACTTTTTCTGTACAATCTAGCACCCCAACACGTCACGAATACGTCTTAAAATATGAACTTCAGTCTGCAAGATTAGTTGTAATATATTCTGGATGGTGTGGTCTTTTCTGAAGGTGATTCTTCACCACAGCAGTACCTTTTTATTATTCAGGAAACACTGCATTAGTTTTGGACTGTCATTTTTTTTTCTTTTTTCTATGTAAGCACATCTTTATTCCTCCCATTATCAGTTTTTCTGTCTGTTCTTCTGCGACCCCAGTCAAACCCAGACAGCCGGCATTTCATTTTTTTGCCATGTGCTGGGAATTAATGTGGACATTAATAAAGTCACTTGCAGTTCATATGGGCACAAAACACAACCACTTCTTGTCCTCTCATCTGTCTCTCTCTCTCTTTCTCTCTCATGGGCCATACTCTCATATCTAATCCATTCATTCATGCTCTGACTGAGCCAACTCCACAACAAAGGCTTTGGCTGATTTTCAACAGCAAACACACAGAACTCCTGCCAAACGTTCCACTCCATAACTGACTGCGTTTAACGGGATTATGTATGCTGAAATGTCATACACACAGATGCAACACTATTGACGCATAATATCCAAAGTTCTCCCAGCTGCTTTACTTGTTTATGACACAAAGACGAGCTCCCACAACACCCCCATAACTCGATATGTGATAGACGTAGGTTTATTACTGTTTACATCTCGGCTTTCTGCTGTAATAAGATCTCCTCCTGTCAATTTAAGCACCAATCAGCCCTATCGAGTTCCGGCTGACGTACCGGCTTGAAGTGTTATCTGCTTTGTAGGCCTTAATTGAAAACAACTTCATTTCTCCGCTCCAGTGTGTTCACTCATTTCCTAATTACGCACATACTTCCAACCTGACTCAATGGACCGCTGAAGCCATTTTAATAACCCAAATTTACTGCTCGCCCTAAATCATTAATTGGGACTGAAGTGGAAAAGGTAAGGAAATGCCCTTCCTGTGATGATTGAAGGTGGACAAGAGAGAGTCAAAGTACTCCCAAGTCCATAATCAAGAAAGCCTGCACATCATCTACAGCAGTCAATTTCACATAGTTGGGGATATGGTCCTTGTAAGTTGGGGCTGCATAGGCCTCATGGATCATTAAACTGAGTTGAAGAAAAAGGTATTGGTCTAGATCAGGTTTGTATTATCCCATTAAGTCACAACAAAACATTTGGCTCCACTTCAGAGAGAACTTAAATCACAATTTCTGGAGCAGCGTTTAAAAAGTCCACGCCCATCCATTGTGTATTGCTAATGGATGCCTCTCAGGGCAGAGCATTTTTGGACTCCTTGCATCCTGGCAGAGCTGCCTTTTTATGGACTTTTGTCCCTCTTTATGCCAACATCCTGAATTTACAGCAAACAGTGGTATGCTGAAGACAACTAAAACTTAACCGAACAAAAAAAAAAGATGGTATGGGTTTGTCATTTTCGGTACTTTCCCCAACTTGCACCACTTTGCGAAAACACAGCTTTTGTTTTCTTTTCATCACTTAAAGACCCACTCCGATGAAAATCATGTTTTTCTTGTTGTCTTCATGTTTATATGGCATTTTTCTGATGCTTCAGGACATATCAGAAGAAAACTAAGCGCGAAATTGCATTTCTGAGTATTTCTGCTTTCAAATTACTGTGAATCTCTCACAGACCCAACCAGCAAGCTCAGATACAGTGAGATTTCCTACATAGCAAATCCAAACTCCACCCCCACCCCTATGCAGGCCAGGCTCCGAAAACTAGAGAGGACAATCATGTCCGTGTGTGCGTTAGTGGATTGCAATGCTCTTAGAAAGGTAATTATGATATTAACTTTAATCATGTAACCAAAGATATTAGGCTATGTTCACACTGCAGGTCATTTCCGATGTTTTTAACCATATGTGACACATATCTGATTTTTTCATGTTAGTGTGAAAGCAATTTGTGCTTTGGTCGCATGCGGGTCACTTCACAGACGCATTCCGTTCACATTAGATGCTGCATTCATTGTTGCAATGTGAACTACTGCACAAAAAGATCGGATTTAACAAAAAATCCGAATTGTGCATCATAACCTGCAGTGTGAACGTCGCCTTAGTTTCAGAGAGCTGAAGAGCTCTAATTTTACCTGCCACTTCTACTACACTGGCAATGTTAGGCTATAAGCTAGTATGAAGAGAACTGTGCAGAGCAGCGCTGTCTCCATCTACGACTCAAAGGCGAAATGCTAATGAGCTACTAGAGCTCTGCAGAAGAAAAGCCCTTGAAAATGACACAGGTAACGTGATTTTGGCTAAAAACTTCCTCATCAGAACTCAAAGACAACTGATTACACTTTAAGTAGTAAAAAAGAAAAACAATTGTAGTAGGACTTTAAATGCATCAGTACCATCTAAGGTTAAACCCACTGTTTGTACACGGTGTTCAGTGTGTACTTCATGCCCTAAAGAGAGAGCAAATGTCAGATTTATAACAGAGAAAGAGGGCGAGATAAGATTTTTATCCTTTCCACCTTTTCCTCTGGTTGAAAACCTGTAACATTAGCTCATAAATCAACATGATCGCAGAAAAAGATAGATACATATTGGATTCTGGGACCTATAGAAAAGAGTCTTCACTTCAAAAATCTTTGAAAAACAAGGGAGTGCATCAACGCAGTATACTGCCCCCATCAGCACTAATACTAAATCAGATAAACAGATTTTGGGCGTTGTGTTTAAGTTGTGGTGACGTCTTATTGACTGGTGATGGGGATACACAACTGTTCTGACCATGACATGAAAAAGTGAAATGAAGGGACTTAAAGAAAGAGAGGACGGTGTGTGGAGGAGTGTGGCAGCCTTTGAGTGAGTAATAGCCTTCATCATCAGGAGCCAGACAGAGGGGAAATGAAATGATAGCCCCCCCCTCATCATCCCTCCCTCTCTCTTTTTCCCCTCCCTTGCTCCTCTTGCACTGTCCATCTATCAGGCTGTATCTCCTCTGGCCAGCTCTCTCTGGTCTCTGTTCACCCTTTACTGCCTTCCCACTCCTCCTGAGACCTACTTCTGTCCAGCGGGAGGAACACCCTCATTTATTACGTAGAGGGGGGAAAAAGGGGGAAGATGGAGCCGGAGGGGAGGGGAAGTGGAGGCTGTATATAGAGCAGAAGTCTAATGGGAGGTGGGGGAAAAAAGGATATGTGGTCGTCAGCAGAGGAAGTAGAAGCTCGGTAGATTTAGCCTCAATCCTGCTACAAACTGGACTTTATATTAATATTTAAAAGCTCTTCTAACTGTGGCTTTGTTTGGTGTGTGAACAAGATCAATTTGTCAGTCAAGGCTTTTTAAGTGTCTGGTAAAAAGGGACTTTTGTGCATAATGAGGGTTCAGGGTTTTCAAAGATGGACCAAGGCATCTCTACCTCCTCATAGTGTGCAAAATTAAGCGAATCCCCCCCCTCTTGACATTTTGCACTGGTGACGTTTTGTGAAGCCAGAGCCTGCCAGAAAGGATTGGCTGCAAGAGTCACTGAAGACATCCAAGGTTTCCACTACTAGACCAAAAGCACATTTAATTCACAAATAAAATAGTACTTCTCCTTCAACTCTGAACAGTTCTAGGAATGTTAAAGACTCTATAGTGTTTGTTTTCCTCACATCCTCATGAGAAAGAAGAGCTAAAAAGTGCAGTTCCCCAAGTTCCTGCTTCGGGCCTCCTGCAGCAGCACTGAAAACCACATACACACACCGGAGAAAAAGCAATTTTTAGAGCAAAAATAAACACGTTTACAGCCTGGTCTAAAAATTGGTTTTGGTCTGATTTAGCTCGGGGCTCCCACAGGAGTTATTTTGGAGTTATTCAGGTTCAGATCAGCAAACCAGAGGCACTGCTGGCTTGACTGACAGGCAGGCACACTGTAACTATTTGTGAGGAGGGTCAATGTGCCGTCATCATCCTGTCTGATCAGGATGAGTGGAAGAGAAAAAACTACGGGTATAAGAGGATTTAAATTCCCTTAACTAATACAGAACAAACCTCAGAGGACTCCTTTACAGACAGAAATGAGAGGTAAAGTGAAGAAAGGTCATTATAACTTTGAGCAGGTAAGAGCAGTAGGCCTATAGCGCATGTATGAAATCACGTCAGCACAGCTGCAGGCACATCTGCAGGCACATCTGACGCACACACAGACTAGCTGCAGGGAAGCTTCAGTCTGATGCAGACCATCAGCTTTTAGCAGATGGACATTTTTGTCCAACTAAGGACCTAAATGTAACTTTTTTAGGAATTAGACAATACATCAAACATAATAATGCATCAAAATTGATGTTGTTAATTATTGACACACCATAGTCCTTGATGAACAAAACAAAGAAATTCCTGCCCAGCCTCTAATATATGGAAAATAACTCCAAATTCCTTTTTTTTCCCATTAAAAATAACAGTGACATCAAATAATCAAACTGACATTTAAAGGGTTAAAATTCTAAAAATGAATTAATATTTGATAGATACATCGGGAATGAAGTTGATTTAAAGATTTAAGCAAAAAAAAAAGGAAAAAAATATTGCTCCAACACACCTGATTCAAATGATCAGCTCGTTATGAAGCTCTGAAATGGCTTAATAACGAGCTGATCATTTGAATCAGGTGTGTTGGAACAGGGAAACATCCAAAACATGCAGGACAGTGAGCCTCAAGGACTGGACTTGAGAACCACTGATCCAAGGACCTAAACATAACTTTTTAAAGGGGCCCCGAGGGTTGATTTATAACATCAGTGTATTTTTGTTTTGAAATCAAGGTAGTTCATAAACAATAGTCATCTTATCAGCTACTTTTAGGTGCATCTGTCCTCATCTTGTTCCCTGTCGTCGTCTTCTCCCTCCCATTGTTTTTCCTGTCCTACTCTGCACACTCAGATCGACTTCGCTGCACTTCTCTATTGATCATCCTGTTTGTATCCTTGAGCAGCTTATTTGTCCTTCCGTGCTTACTTTGTTCTATCATGTCTCTCACCCCCCTCTGCTTGCTCCTCATAAATTTTATACTCCCCCTGCCTGACAAGCTCCCCCTCCACCTCTCTCTTTTTTTCTCATTTTCTCCCTTCGATCCGTCTTCTGTGCGCCAAACTACTTGTTTTGTTCATTTAAGAGCCTGTGTTTCTCTGTGTGTGCATGCCCTGCCTCTCAGCACAGATAAATCGGGATTAGTCAAAAGTCAGAGGAGTGTGGGGAATCCTCAAAACTCAATCTTTGTGACCGATAATACTTCTCTTCCGATCTCTGCCTCTGTCTTTGCACACCTACACTGCACCCTGCCTGAGATTTATCAATGATGCCACACCAATTAGCCCCAAAATGTGAGTGTGTCTCTTCGTGGGTGTGCGAGCATCTCTGTTTTATAATCTGCAAATCATGTACCGCAGCCAACACCTGCCTTTTCCTATCTGCTCTACATCTTCCCCTGCTGTCACTTTATTTCTCTACAGGAGGCTAAACTCTCCTCTTCTATCTTCCCTGTACTCTCTGCTGTCTAACTTAACAACTCTCTCTGTCTGTCTCCTCATCTCCTCCACCTATCTATCTCCTGCTCTGCTGTCATCTTAGAATCAGATCTTCAATCAGTTTCTCTCCAGTCCAAAAAGACCCTGACAAGTCCTGACATCTGATCCGTCATATCTCTTTTGCGCCTCTTTTGCCTGCTCCTCATTTCATCCCTATACTTCATCCCTACACACCAGTAACACTGAGTCCTCCCCTTGTCCCTGGCAGCTTCTGTTGCATCATTTAGCACCCTTGTGTCTCCCACTGCTCTGTCTAGCCTTGTGCATAAGTGTGTTTGACTGTGTCACAGTGATTCGGAAAACGTTTATGTGTGAGCTTTTTTCTCTAAGTGTATACTTGACTGTGCCTGTGAAGGAGAGTGTGTACGAGTGTGTGAGCTGTCAGCCTCTGTTAGTTTTTTTACTACTCTGCCTTTGGTTGTCCTCAGGACTCAGTGTTTGCAAATGTCTCGCATTCATGTGAATTTGAGCCGACTCTCGGTGGGAGGAGGACAAAGAGCCAGATGGGATTTTCACAAAGCTTTCTATTTAGCATGAGTCAAACATGTGTCTTGGACAGAACGATATATCATTGGGGAGCAGGACAAGGACAACACATGTTAAAGCATTTCTTTCTTCTTTTTTTTAAGTTCTTCTTTTTCTCTCAGGGCCTCTTCTCTCCACTGCATCAACAAAAAAACCAAAGCAGCCTTCATTCATATTTGAACATTGAATTGCATAATAGTTTCATAGTTTCATACCTTCCTTTAGCAGTATGAACACAACACAAGAGTATCACATTTCGATTTGTTGATCACTGCTCGATAGTTTTAGCGTGAAGGTCCTTACACACCGGGAACGATGCAAACATACAACACAAAATTACGAAATATTCGTAGGCAATTTTTGACACGCCTGACTATTCACATCAAGCGCGACGCGATTTTGTGACTTTCTGGGGAGAAAAAAGACATTACAGGTGGAAGCAAGAAGACTGACACAACACCAGACTGACTGTTTTTTTTAGTTCTGATTAGACACTAGTGTTGAGATGGCTGTCTGTCATGATAGCATGTACTGAGTCGGGGCCAGTACCAGATAAGTACATTAAACTATAATCCATAAACGTAAGGTAACAACCAAGACCTAATGGTGCTATGACAGCAACGTGCTGTGAGTTTGAGACAGTGAAAATACATATGGTATGTTGTATCTGAACAGTTAGCTTACGGGCTAAAGTTAATTAGCACAGATAAAAGTTAAGAAAAGACATTTAGCAATCTGTTAAAGCACACAAACCATCGTCATATGAGAAATCCAATGCTATGACTCTCTACAAGTTGTCCTTCAGGTCGTTATCTTTGTAATGTTTGTGTTTTTTATCAAAAAGCGTGTTCTCCGACACGTAAACAATCAGCCAGTCGGCCATGTTGGATATCCCGGTGAATCTGATGTCGCAACAACACGAAATCTGATTGGTCAGAAGTGAACACACAGTATGCGAAACTTAAGAAAAAAAAACGACCGTAATACGAAAAAATAAATGCTGCAATTTCGCAGGCTGGGGAAACGTCGCTGATGTGAATGCTTGTATTGACAGGATACGGGTTTGAAAAAAAATTTTGACGTCGGAAATAATCTCACGAAAAAAATACTCCCGGTGTGTAAGGACCTTTAGACCCGAGAGCCGCCTTTAATACAGTCTGCCATTTTACTGGAACGCCTCCATCACTAGCTTGACATGTCTGGATCAGTTTTAAACTCTCCTATTTTCAGGACAGCTCTTTTTGTATTCATATTGACAGTTCAAAAACATCTAGTGTGAGGCTGACCTGTGGGGTCCCCCAGGGGTCAGTTCTTTGGCCACTCTTCTTCATCCTTTACATGTTACCCCTGTGACGTATAAAACAAAGAAAGTTTGTGCTTGTATGTATGTACCTGTCTTTTAATCCCACTGATTTTAACAGTCTTTAGTTTAACAGACTTTGCGTCACAGACATAAAACGCTAGATGTCTCAGAATATCCTGCAGCTAAATCTTGAGAACACTGAGGTGATGGTAATTGGCCCCCTCTCAGCAGGAATGGTGACACATCTAGGCTCTCTGTCACAAAATGTTACCACCGAATGTAAAAATCTAGGTGTCGTCTTTGACAAGAGCGTCTGTGTGAACCAACACATCAACCCAGTTGTGCAGTCTTGTTTTATGCAGCTGTGGCAACTCTCCAAAGTTAGTCGGTTTTCATCCAGACAAAACTTTGCAATGGTCATTCGTGCTTTTATCTCCTCCCTTCCTGCAACTCTTTAGTAACTTGTCTTAACCATTAAAGTTTACACAAGTTACAGCTCATCCAAAATACTCGCCAGAACTTGTACCATCTTGTTGTGTCAAAGATACTTTCTAACCGTGCCTCCCTTAGAGGTTTTGTCTCTATACCAAAATGCCAATCTACATCCGCCTCTCCTTTTCAAAGAGGATAATTACTTGTTGCATCACGAGGTCACTTGTCGGTTAAAACATAAGATTTCAGGCACACAACCCATACTGTCATCTGTTTGTTGAGGGAAGTCTCAATAAATCTATCAACTGGCTGACAGCTGCTTCACTGCCCACACTGGCCAAAACATTTCTCTGACATTTTGGCTTGAAACAATAATATGAGGCTGAATGTGTGAGACTGAGAGTATACAGCTGTGGTCTTTGGTCTGTGAGCTCATAACAAATCAGAGTAATACTTGAGGCAAATACAATCATGAAGCACATTGTTCAGATGTTTGATATTTAAGCCAACATGAACGCAATCTGCTATCTTTTTTCAAGTTCTTTTTGTAGGGCGTCACTTTGACGTCTTTCTTATTGTGGAGATTTCAAGAAAACTAAAAAGACTAACTGAAAGAGTCATCCTCTGAGAATCATGAATCTTTGTACTCAAACAAAGCACTTGTCACCAGCCTGAAGACAGAATTCATCCTTATCACTTGGGGGCATCCTCTGAAGACAAAGAATCTCTGTTTATAAACAGTCTAACCACTCATGAGGCTTGTGTTGAAGTAATTTATTAGTAAAACAAAAGTTTAGATTTGGGCCACTCAGTTATTAGCATCCTCTGGGAACAATAAATGTCCACATAAAGTTTCATGGAATTCAAAAGTTTTTACAATATTCCAGTTTCAACCAAAGAAGTGGACTGAGCCAGAAACAGACTGACATGATGGGGACGGAAAAAAAGCTGTAGTTGAACTTGTTTCTGGATCTGTACACAACAATTGTCTCATTCACTGAAGGTTACTAAATCTGTAAGTAGATAAGCAAATTAACCACCTTGGTACACTGCACCCGCTTCATGAACTCAATGCAAAACTTGGATTTGATCAAAGGCATGTGTGTATGTCCATGAATGCCAATCAACCATGAACTGACAGCACCTTCCTCTTAGTCAGCAACCAGGTCAAGGAAAAATAGCAAAATGCAAATCCATGGGCACGGATTATAGTCCATGTGCTCAGACTGTGAATGTGTGCACAAGGATCTGCACATGGCAAGTTTTTTTTTTTTTTCTTGACCTGGCTCCAAAGGGGCTCTGTACACCTGCAGGGTTTTAACAGGCTACATTGTTATTAATAGGCCGGTCAACTCTCATCACCCGGATTAGTTACATAACAAGCAATGTTCATGTGCAGGCAGAAGAAGATGTAGACTTTGTTGGTAGCTGCTAAACATGCCTAAATTTCCTTCTAGGAACAGTTTACACACACATTTGTTCTGCATATGTCTCATGAATTAGATCCAACAACAATAAGACAGAAAGAAACAAGATGTTATGTAAGGAGAACAGAGCAGCACTGGGACTATTTTGATGTTACTTCACACTGGTGCACAATTAGTTGAGTTTGATGCTAGCCAAACTTTTGTCCTCCAGGAGCACTAGCTGAATTCGCTATGGTTATATGTACATGCAGACTGATAACTACTGCAGGGATACCTTACTGCTGCTATACAGCTATCTGTAATCAAGTGGGAGGGAAAAATCAGAACAGATGCACAAGAAGTTTGCTTTTTTGTGGTGACTAGTGGAGAATGGTATTTTTTTCATGATGGATTACTTCTATGTAAAAGTAACAATGTAACCTATTATTTAAAGGTGGGGTAGGCAGGAATCTGTTAAAGAAGCATCTTTTTTGTGGTGTAAAAGCTTTTAATATCAGTCAATAACTATTGGTTATTGATGACATTTGGTAACATCATGATAGTGCTGTGTTTTGTTATGTCTGTGTAGTCAACATTTTAAAATTCCTCAGCGCTTTGCTCTTTCTGACGGTAAACAAAGCCATTCTCCGCCTCCCCCATCCTGATTGGTTGTGAGGCATATGCTGCTCCCCCGTGTCGTTCAGGAGCCCAAAAAAAGTTAGCGTGCTACAATATCGGACAGTAAAAAACAGAAAGACAATGACAGTACAGAAAATTGTCTGAATCCTCCTTTAGCCACGACCACCAACACAAGCAAGAAAACAAAGTAAATACCGGAGACTCTGGCGGAATTACGGGCGCTTAAAACAGAGGTAGACCACCTGGACAAGAGCTAAAAAAGACGGGTCAACAATGATGGGGGATGCTTCAGGATCTTACGGACCCTGTAACCTTTCTGCTGGACAGGTAAACCGCTTTAATAAAGTCAGCCAAGTGTAAAAGACAGGTTTCTTGTCAAACAGGACCTGCTTCGTGTTGTAGCACCACTAAACTGTTTACCTCGGGTCCTGGACTATGTCACTTTATCCTAGTTGTAGAAGTCCTGCAAACATTGTGTTTGCTGGTAGTCTGTTGGCATCTACAGTAGCACCAATGCTGTTTACGTTCACGTTGACTGGGCCCCATTTGTAATTATCTGAAGTATTTACCTGCGTTCTATCTGAATTTAATTGGAACGATACAAGCGAGCAGGAGCATCTGTTTGTGGGCGGGGCTTGCTGGAGCAGAGACAGAGGGGAGAGGAGGAGCTGAGGGGAAAACTGGTTGGGAGGGGTAGTGTTTACATTCAAGTTTTCTCCCCAAAAAACTGGCACTTCCTCAGATCCTGCCTCCCCCACCTTTAAGTTGCAGAACAACAGAAATTATGTAGCCTGAAGAATTTATCACCCTTGTTATGGGGTTTTGACTAGTAAGAATCAAGCAATTAAAACATCTGTAACACCAGAGCAGAAAAACATGACAAAAAAAGCAAAAAGTGGCTGCTGTGTGCCTATTCAATCAAAGTAATGAGATCCACTGGAGACTGTCATCTTTAAAATCTACAGCAAATGGTATTCATTTCTTACAAAAGGTGGCCAAACTCTAGATGCTTTGTGTGGTGTGTTTGTGTGTTTTCTCTACTTAAATTCTCTTCTTTGTATTGATGTCAGCTGAAAAGGTCATCCACTGAATTCTCCTAATGAGAAAGAAAAGTAACCACAAAGCAGTTCTTATTGTTCGCCAACCTATTAGAAAGTAAAGTCAACCTTTCCTGTTGTGGAAGAAGCTGCTGTAACTTCCTAAAATGCGCCTCTGTTATTCACCTATCCCCCAACCTCATCTACAGGCCCACCAAGCTGTGTGTCAGGCAGCAAAATAAGGGATCCACAAAAGCCAGCCCCCTCACCCCATCTGGCTACCCAAACAACAGCCAATTTAAGGATGGCACTGAGGTTGCGCCAGCTACATAATGAGCCATTATCTGGAAAATTCCTCCCAACAGATAGGTCTGCATACAGGTCAACCTGCAGCAATGTAACAACACAACACAAATGAGTGAGCAACCTCCATACGATGACATTGAATTGTAGTCTGTGAGTGTGGGGTTGCAGCATTTCACTTGTATAACTTTGAAATAATCTTGTTTTGAGGGCTAGTGCAGGATTCAGACCAATTATTTTCTTATTTAAGACCCTATACTGACACTATAAGGACCTTGCTACAAACAATATTTAGGAACCCTCTTGTCAGTGGCCTTAGAGGAAAAGTCTGAAGTCACTGTAGAGGTAAAAGGCACCTCCTGGGGGGACTTAAATGTTTCATTCAGGGCCGAGACTTTCTTGTTTTATTGGGCAAAAAAAGGAGAGAAATGCAAAATATTAAAATACAGAATTTGCCTTCGGGGATCAAAACAGTTCTTCCTTTTGTTCTCCTTCTTCTTCTTGTTCTTCTTCTATACAGTAGTGTTATATTTAAGAGTAAGGAATATGATTTGGTTTATACTACACTGGGAGTGTGTAAATCTTTAAGTGTACTCACAGAGTTTTTGTACTGCAAAAACTTGCAGAGAGCCTCTGACAGTAACAAAAATTTCTTGATCCGATGAAAAATTTGAGGGATCAGATAATCTGAATCCACTGTTTACATGGGTGAAAATCAAATAATTCAATCATAACGTGCGTATACATGCACAAAGCATTTGTACATGCGCAGAGTTGTCTGATTTCACTAAAACAACTGCAGAAGAAGAGTTGTATTTTCGCCTGTGCTGTCAACAAATCAACAAAGGCGTTAGTGGCGAGCTCCATCCAATTCAGGAGTTTTCACCCTGTTAAATGTTGTCACGAGATGGCACCCTTAGGTACTTGTTTTACTGCTCTGTCAAAGGTTGCTCTGTGCGTGCTGATGTGACATCATTACGCTGTATGTACGCCTTGTTATGTTACCAGAGGAGCAGGCACGGCATCTGTGGTTTATATTTTTCACTTTATATTCTGTGTAATTGATTTCCAAAGTTTGTCCACAGTCCCATAAGCTTTGCTGGCGGAGGCGGGATTTATGACCTGTACTGCAGCCCATCAACAGAGGGTGCTGTTCTCGGAGTGGCTTCACCCAGCAAGGAGGCAGATGCTGTCCATTCTATATACAGTCTATGGTTAATAATGAAACCTCCAGTTCTGGCCTCAATAAATAAGCCAAAGGATAAAGAGTGAAGATCGAGTCAGTTAAGAGAGTCACGATCGGAATAAGTGTTTACATGGACGCGTTTCGAACTAACGATCGGCATAAACCACCCTCTTGATCTGAGTACATTTTTTTTCCAATTGAGCTGAATTGGATTAGAATCTTCCGATCAACATGTTTACATGACACATTTTTATTCCGATCGGGCATTTATTCCGATTATTTGTGCCCATGTAAACGCAGCTAATGACAGCCACCGAAAAAACTGTCAGGTCTGCGTTGTATGTGTGTGTTTGTGTCTGCGTGTGCGGAGGAGTTTGCATAGGAGTATAATGTGTTTTATTAGCTTTATTAAACAGATGAGGAAGATTCCCCAGGTCCCCCCCCTTATATAAAGACGCTGAGCTTTGTTTCACTTAACTGGCTCCCTCATTACAGCTGATGTGTGCACAAGCAGTGTAATGGAGAATAATCTAATCATCACTCCTGTGAGGACCGGACACACAAACATCAGCCCAACGCACGTGTACACACACATACCCATTCTGGAAATTACAGATGCACAAGCAGACATTAACAAATTTTGTGAATACACACACACACATCAGAGAGAGCTGGACTGCTCGCCCAATCGTTGAATAATGTATTAAAAGGCTTGTTGCCACAAGGAAATGATAAGCCTTACTTCTCATGGTATAGCAGAGGTTTAATTATCCAGTCTCTGCGTAATCACATGGAAACAGCTTCCCACTCCTCTTTTATTAAGCCTTTTATAGCTTTTATAGCTGAGGGGGGAGTCTTTTATGAATTATTGAATATTCTTGCAGTGCATATGTATTTCTCACAGCCTTACAGTTGCTCACTTTTTTTTAAAGATAGAGGACGGACTCGACAAATGACCTCCACTGGGCTATCTGCTCGGTTTCATGTGGAGAGTAGGTTGTTGTGTCAGATGCTTTTAGGTCAGACACAGGCAGAAGGCCTTAAAATAGATCATTGTCATCTTTGTTTTGCCTCTCTCTAGCGTTGCACCATTACATTCAATTTTTACACGAGAGCAAAGCGTGGAAGTAAATGAGGCTCTGGCTTCTGTGCTCACATTATACAGTGAATATCCAGGGTTTAAAGCCGTCAGTTTTGTTAAAGCTCTGGTCATGCTTTAGGACAAAAACACACATGGGGCGAAAAATTTGATTTTTAGATTTAATACGCTTTGTTTCCAAGAGTTTATGCAGTATTTGCTCCTTTTGTACGAGCGTTATTACATCACTGCGAGTGAGGTAACAGCTCCCATAGCTCGACTCTATTACATAAATCCCCCCTCCCTGGTGGTTATCTAGCAAAGACTTGGGTAAGGCCAGCCAACATCATGTACAAGATAAAACAATTAGCTTCCCTGATACCGCTGATGTTTGACAGCTACACAGCCCAGACGGTGATTCACTCACGCTCTGTCTAGTCCCCGTCGATGGTAACAGATCACGCCAGTGTCAAAGTATGGATTCTGGAGAGATTCCTACAGCACATTTTCTCTTATATAGTTTGAGACACTGCTTCATAAATATATTACACTTCCATAAGATGCTGTTTAATTCACACTGGACCAAAGCCTCCCTGAGGGGAATCATGTTTTCTTTGCTAAGCTTCTGTTTAAAGTTTGATCCACCCCTGTGATGCAGTTTTACTTCTGATTCATACTGGTGACACACCTATTGCCTACAGGCTGTTAAAAATAGTCAAATTAATTACAGGCGGTGTAATTAATTGATCTGAATTAATTGTAGATATCCTCACTCGTGAGAGGAATCACCCATTACTGGTTAGCACACTCATTTGCATCAACATATTTTTGCATGGTGACTCTTCTTCTCTTATTTCTAGCTCACTACTTTGATCTGAGTACCTTAACTCTCTTCAATCTTCAGTCAGGATGGCAGCCCTGCAGCAGCAGCAGCAGCAGCAGCTGAGACACAGTAGTTTCAAGCTGCAGACAGTCAAAGGGACTGTATTTTGGGCTTGATTTGATGTACAATGTTAATGAGATTGACCTTGGAGTTTGTGAAATTTATGAGTTTGCATCTTACATTACATTTCACTTCATACCTGTCTTTAGATTTAACAAAATGCAGAAGCAGTCTGGGCCTCTTTGCATGTTCAACGATCGCTGCAAGCAACTGACCACCAGATTTCATCTCCTTGTAGCTACTGTTTGCTAACCCTATGTTAACATCAACATGCCCTGATTTTAGCTCAACTATGACGTGACTTCAAAGGAGACTCAGTAGCAGACTCGAAATGTTATTTATTTTTCGGTCTTGAAAAGTCTAAACCAGGTATTTTTGGATCTGGTAATCAATCCCCATCCCTGCATAGGACACAGGCAGTGCATTTACATGCACAGCTTAATCAGACTAAGCTCATATTTTTTTTTTTCTCACCAAATCGGACTTCTCTCCTTGTCCAAGTATACATGCATCTGAGAAATCGAAATACTGATGTGAATGTATCCTTCTCCCCAAAACTAGGGGCGTTTTGGGTCTTTTCAGTTGTTTCCGGTAGACCCAAGACAACTGTCAACAACAACTGCAGGTATGTGCCAGACGTCAGTAGTGGCTACAACTGCTGCAGGGCATTTTTGAGCCTTGTTTTTGTAGTAAAGGATGTACGCATGCTACTCCTCTTCCCTGGTGTTTTTATTTCAAGGTTATGGGGGCGTGGCGCATGCACACATACATTGTCCAATCGTACCCCAACTATACTGGTTACATGGTAGAGAAAATCGAATTCCAATCACATTATCTAGGTGTCTTAGTCAGAGTTCTCGAACTCTGATTATAGTCGGATTAAGGTGTTTACATGCACTTCAGTTGTCAGGTCTTAATCGAAGTAAGGCAATATTTCAGTTTTCTAAAGTGTCATGTAAACGTACTGTGTGTTTTTCCTTAAAGGCTCTTACGCATTTGACTCTCGGACTCTGTGACTATGGAAGCTGGGGTCAAACCTCCAACCCACTGAGCCACATACAGCCCTTTCTGCTTGTCTCTCATTTGTGCGTGTCCATTTCTCTGCAGAGCAGGTGTGTAGAGAAAGGACCTGTTGCTTTAAAGGGTTGTATGATCAGTGACGTGTGAGTGTGTGATTAATATGCATGATTATGTTTGTCTTTTTTTCCTCTTGTGATAAATTCATCAATGAATGTTTTACTATGACAACTAAAGTCACAACAGTGAATCAGTGATCTTGTAGTCATGGTCATGAGCTTGATCAGAGAAGTGGATTCCGTGCCCACAAAGAAAGCACCAATATCAAAGTCTAAACTACTTTGTATCCTTGTCATGTCTAACCTGCCCAGCTCTTCACCATCACACGTCACATAAACCATTTCATTGGCCTGTACTCTGACTCCCTTACGTGACAGCACATTTGAAAGTCATTAGTATGCTGTGAAAACACTCCTCCACTTTGCCTCAGCTTTGTTTGCATGGACATATTTATACCTGGATGCCCTCTGTGCCGGGCTGCTGCAGGAGTTTGACGGTGCGCGTGTGTGCTGTCTTCTGGCCGCGACCATCATGCCAGGTCAGGTTGCTGCCTCCGGCGCGACGCGGCAGCTGGTAGCTCAGCTCTTCAGCAGACAGCGTGTGCTCCAGGGAGGCACGGCAAAAACTGAAGCTGGACGCCGCTGAGAGGGCGGGGAAGGAGAAGAGGGGGGTAGAAAAACAAAATTAGATAAACACAGAAAGAGAGAGGGAGCTCCCACTTTGATCCATCTTTGTTTGAAGGGTTTGCATTTAGATTGTTCATGAGCTGAGCAACAGGCGCTCTAAAAAAATACCTCCAAAATAAATAATTGATAATCCTCTAAGAGGCTGCATTCACTTCAGATTACATGGGTTGTGTGTTGACTCTCATACAGCTACAGACAGATGGTGGTTTTGGGGATATAGTGGGCAGCAGTGCTTCTCTACTGTGATCTCCAATTATTCTGAGTGCATATTCACCAGGGGAAGAGCGTGATTTTCAGAATTGTATCTCTCTTGCTAGATTAGTCCTTGATTATTTAAATCCTCCACCATGAATATTTGATTTCTTTCTTTTCTGTTCTCTGTCTATCCATCCGACTATTTCTCCCTGGAATGAGCATAAAGCTATGAGACAGCCAAGCATGGGACATGTCAGAGTCTAAAAGGGTCACTGTGGATGAGAAAAGACGTAGAGGGAAAAGATGCATTGAATTTAAAGTTGCAGATTGACCTTTTCTGCGCTCTTAAAATCCAATCACAGAGTTAGTCCAATAAAATAACAAAGAAGACATTATAATTTCACCGTTTTGCTCAGATTTCTTGCATAAGTTTGAGTCAAAAACAGAACACAGGCGGAAGAAACAGACAGAATTGCTGATGAAAGTGTTGCAAGTTAAAAAAGACAGAAATTTTTATTATTTTTCTAAACCGTGAAAAGTCTTCATATCTTCTACAGTGACTCTTTCTATCTTTTCCTCCAGGTTATTAAAAAAGAGATGCAATTTATTCAAAGCAGTTTTTAAAGTTATATAAGCGCTTTCAAATCTGATCATTCAGTAATCTTTTATTAGTTTTTAAAGTGGTTTTGGCTCTGATATATACTCCTCACAGTGCTTGATTTAGGTTTTTAGCTGGTAATGAACCAGACTGAAATGAAGACTGATGCTTTGATAAAATGTCGAAATACCATTAAGACCACCAGACAGAAGACTCAGTCCATCACTTGTAATTTCTCCCCTGACACATAAGGAGTTTCAGTTGAGGTGATGAACAGCAACCTCAGAAAACAGCCTTTGAAAAGGTTTTCAACATTATTAAGAGATTTGCATGTTGGAAATTTCAGGAGCTTAATGAGGGTACGATTTACTCTTTGTCCACCAAGGTTGCCAAAAGCAACAAACCTAAAGTTTCTCATTTCTCATGGGTGCTTCAAAAAAGAGAGGAGTATCCTGTCAAACCAAAACATTGAAAAAATTGAAAAAAAAAACAACCCTCTTTTAGCTATGTATATGCAGACACAACAACCGTTCCTCTGTACCTTTCTGAGGGTCACTGAATGGCAACGAAGCCTGTGTTTCAACAACAGATAAATCCACCTGGTCTGTTTGCGAAATCACTCACTACTCATTAAATAGTGCACGACACAGGGAATAGCGCTGTCTTGAATTATTACACAATACGTTTTGAAAAGTGGAGCAAATCCTGTTCCCTAACCATGCAATATGTTGTGTATCAGCAAACATTATGGTGCAAAGGAAAGCAGGAGACGGAGGACCACCGGCTGAAATTTGGTGGCAATTTCACCCAAATGAGCTCAAAATGAGCATCACTGGAAAAGGATGAAGACATGTAAGTTGTGTTTATTGGTAAAATTAATCAGGTAGCATTTTTACTTAATTTGACTGATAGCCTTTTTTTTTTTCTATGAACATTGTGATATCAGAACTGTGATTTCTTTGACCGTGACAACCATGAGGTGAAATCTGATACCTTGTAGCCCAACTTGAGACTCACGTGATATGAGAAAATATCTGTGTTTTAGCACAAATATATGGCTTCATTATTACATAAGAGATTGATGGTTTTATACTTTTTGTATTTTGTGGAAATATGCTCTGTGTAGTTATGTAAACGTCTCTTTAAGCCTGTCCTCTCATGTACATAAGTATAATCAGAGGAATAATTGAAAACCATGACGTTTGTTATCATTGATCCTGGCCTGTGCTGAGCTAGGCATTTTAATTGTGTAACACCATTGACGTCATTATCTCAACTCAACTCAGCTTTATTTATTGAGCACTTCAAATGAAACCAAAGCAGAAGCATAGGGGTGAAGCAGCTCAGAGAGGTATGATGGGGCCGGACCATTTAAGGTTTTAAAAACAAATAAAAGAATCTTAAAATGAACTCTAAAATGCACAGGCAGTCAGTGAAGGGAGGCCAGAATGGGGGTGATGAGCGGCCGCATTCTGGACCAACTGAAGACGTGCAAAGGAAGACTAACTGACTCCATAATAAAGTGCGTTACGGTAATCCAGCCGAGACGTGATGAAGGCATGGATTACTGTCTCAAAGTGTTCCCGTGCTCAGTGGCTTCACCTTTGCCAGCTGCCTAAGGTGGAAAAAGCTGGACTTAACAACTGCGCTGATCTGTCGGTCTAGTTTAAAATTACTGTCCATCTTAAAACCCAGGTTAGAAATTGTTGGCTTCACATACAACACCAAGAGGCCCAAATCAACAGGAGGTAGCGATGGGCATGGCAGTTCTTTGAGATGTACTGAATCACTAGAATCAGTTCACAAAAATGATTCGTTCAAAAGATTCATTCACCAAATCACCGAATCATGAAGCACTTGGTGGGAAAAGCCTGTGACTCCAACCTCCTGAACTGAGACACAGCTGAACGGTTCAGGATTCAGTTCAGTTCAAAGCTTCTGGTACTGGGAGACACAAGTGTTTGGCTGTGTTAATTTGGCAAAGGTCTGTAAAAATGAACTTGTTTATAAGTCATGATGTTTTGAGTGTGCTGTCCTATGGTATGCTATTTATCAGGTCTGTTCAGTAAATTGGGGTCAGTGAGTGATTCGTTCACTGAACGTTCAGAAGAATTCACACTGAACATGCACCGTTCCCTCGCAAACCGCTGCAATTATAGGATGCTGCGGGTTTAATGCACTACTTGTTACACGCTGTGTCCTATTGTATACAAGTTGTTGTGGCGGCATTTAGCGGTTTAAAAAAAAGGGTAGTTTTGTCCGACAAAAATGATTCCGGAGTGTGTTGTTCAATGCGTGATTCGTTCATCATGTGATTCAGATGTCAGTGCACGTGGTCCCTCGTTCGCCGGCTGCTCGACTGGCAATGCTGTTTCTCACTTCAGTTACGAACGAAACACTCTAGGAAGTGATTCGCCTCAGTACGTTCACTTAAAAGATTTGATTCTTTTGAACGAATTGTTCGCGAATGACACATCACTAACAGGAGGGGGATCACAAGAACCATTGGAACCAAACACCATCACTTCTGTTTTTTTTGTTTTTTTTCATTGAAGTTTAAAAAGTTTAGAGCCATCCAGGCTTTAATGTCGTCAACGCATACTAGAAGTGGTTTCAGAGAAAAGGCATCTTTCTATTATCACTAGTGACTGATCACAAGATCAGGAGTAGGGAGTGATTTTGAAAATAGAGCTGGACTTGAATTAGCTTTTTTAGCTTCTCATTTATAGTTAACCTCCTTGTGGGAAACACCTACAAGTTAAGTGGAGGGAGAAAAACCCTTTACTGCACCCAGGAGTCTGTGAAAGTAAGAAATGCTTACTATAGAGTTCACACAGCCATGATGGAGAGGGAGGAAAGCAGGCGAGGATGAAAAACAAGAAAGACCTGTCAGGAATTACTGATGTGAAACCATTTCTACATCTACCACTTTCTTTCTCTGCACTGCCTCTTTTTTCTATTTCTATATGTTCCCAGTTTTGTATGTTGTGATGAAGCACTGTGTGTGTTTTCTGGATCAGCATGTCTCTTTCTGGCTGGCAGGTCTTCAGGGTCGTCCGGACAAACCCAGCCAGCGCCCTGATGTAATTACTGCCAGTCAGACAGAGGAGGAGGAGACGGGAGGAAGGAACGTGGGAAGCTAAGCGCCTTTCGACCCTAAAGACCTGCCAATCTCGCAGCCAGAGACGAGAGAAAACGCAAGACAGACAAGAAAGAGAGAGGGAGAGCGGGGTCGTAAATTAGCGCTGGATCGTGCTCGCTCACAGTAAACTGATCCGGCTGCGGCGAGGTAGAGGAGGAGCAGGGATGACACGTTAATCGACCACGAAACAAGTTCATTTCACAAGCTGTTAAGGACAGAGCCTCGCAATTATTAGACAGAGACCACCCTACACTTTATAGGCATCACTTTAAAGATGGAGATATGCAGGATCACGACTTCTCGGTTCCACTGAAATCTCATTCTCTGCCACAAGGCCAGACCTCAACACATCCAGAAGTCATAAAATGAAGACAAAGAGCTCGTTCCGTAGGCTTAAATGGACTCCGATGGCTTAACCTCCTGGCACTGGAAAAGACTGAGAATCTCAAAGCAGTCAAAAGCCATTAAATATCCATACGATCCAATTGATGTCTCTATTACAGGGACTCTGAAACACATGCATCGGCTGGTCGCTTTTCGTAATGGAGTAGCAAGAAAATACTAAAAGGGACTCAAATGAGAAAATGTAGCTGCGTTAAAGTCCTTTAGATGTCTTTTTACTTGGTTTTAAGTTTTATTTAAAACCCTTACATTCAGCACCAGAGGTTATCCGTCACCTTTCCTCAACATACATATAATCAGCCTGGACAACCGCCAAATCTCCTCTGTCCTATTTGTGGCTAACTGGTGCTGTATTATCCCTCGCTGCCCTTGTCGGAGACTTTTATCACCTCAGGTTGAGGAATGGGAGAGTAGCTAAGAGGCAGGAAGGGATGAAAAGCACAAGCGTGATATGTGCCTCCGAGTTCGTCAGAGAATGAAAAAGAAATGAGGAGATATGATGTAGTGCAAATTTAAAAAGCACAGGGATCTGAAAGTTAGCACTCACTTTCAGAGGATAAAAGGTGGAAGAGAAAGAGGAGAAACTGCTTGGGTTAGAGGCGTCAAAATACGGGGCAAAGTGTGATACTGGTGCCTGTGTGCAGAGGGTAGGTAGGTCAAAGCGTCTCAGCCCAGTGAAGTGTAACCTCATATCACCTCCTCTTGACTGAGCAGCATATCTGTGCAGAGTGGCTGCTAAATCTCAGAGGTATTCCCTTTTTGAAAAGGTAATTAAGCCGTTAGGTACGGCACCCCGGAAGGTCGTTCCAAGCCAAATCCCAGAGTAGATTAACGCAGCATCACTGGACATTACTCATTTGACTCCAAATGAGGGGATCTAAATTAGCCCGTGTGGACTATTTTGCTGTGTTGGCTTTTAGTTGAAGTTTGATTTTTTTTTTTTTGGATGACCTTGGCAGGAACTTCAGGGCGTGTGTTTGCTTCATCCTTTTGCATGCAGGATGAGGCAAGTGGTCTGGCTAATCCACTTTAGCTCAGGCGTCTCAGAGAGGGTGCCACGGTGTATTTCAGCAGCGTGATATTGGCATCAGCACCCTCCCTCCCTTCTCCCCCGCTGAGCACCTCTTATTCAACTCAGAAGATAAAATTTTCTATTTACAGTCCAAGTTTTATATGAAAGAGGGGAGAGGGAGAGAAATCTCCGTCATCCTCACTCCTCTGTAATCTGCGATGGGGTGAAACTTCACCACGTTGTGATTTCACGCCTATATAACACATCAAACCTTAAGTTCTAAATATAGCATCAAACAGTACCACGCTGCCAACTCCTATGTCAAGCACATCCAGATTCAGATTTGTTGGCTCTGTATTAATGTTGGGGGAGGGAGCAGGAGGCTATTTACAACTCTTCCACTCCACAGGACCTGGTCTTAACCCCAGGAATGAGCCATGAAATTACTCCATGGAAGCAAAGAAGAGGGTGAAGAGGAATTCTGGTCGAAGGTTTAAAAATATTTGAAAACATGAAAAAAGCCGGGGGGCTTTTCCCATGATGCAATGCAGGCTATTACCCTTTTGACTTAAACACCAGTGCAAAAAGTGAAGCAAGTTTAAAGCTCACCCAGCAAATTGGCCGTAGTACAGGTCATGATAGGACTGTGCGATATTGAATAAAACTAATGCAGGGATATTTGTCTTTTTTTGCAATTTATACTGTGATATAAAAATATGTTTGTAGAAAAATACAGTGAATTTTATTTATACCCTGCACTTTAAAATTATGCTTTTATTTTGAAATATACCACTCCCAGTAGATCAGAAGTTCTAGATTGGATGTAAAAACAGTTAAAAAAAACAGTTCGAAAACATAAATGTAGATAAAAGTTAAATTTATGTTTTTGGATCCACAATAGATATTGAAAATCATTTTTTTTAAAGTGTCTCATCATCTCTCATAAAGTTGCTTTAGCTAGCTGCCTAGCTGCTCTTCTTCTTCATCTAGGCTCTATTTCAGTGGTTCTCAAGTCCAGTCCTCGAGGCCCACTGTTCTGCATGTTTTGGATGTTTCCCTGCTCCAACACACCTGATTCAAATGATCAGCTCGTTATCAAGCTCTGGAATGGCTTGATAACGAGCTGATCATTTGAATCAGGTGTGTTGGAGCAGGGAAACCTCCAAAAGTTGCAGGACAGTGGAACTCGATGACTGGACTTGAGAACCACTGCTCTATTTTATCCTTCTTGTATGTTTACTTTTGGCATGATATCAATGTTTCCTTTTTTAAAAATTGTGGTTAATATTGGTATATTGGGACAGCTTTAGTGCTATGACTGAGAGTTTGATTGACATGTGCAGCTCCCATGACGCTGTGTGCTCCCTTAACAAAGACACTGAAGAAGACTAAACAGACATTAGCATAGCAGTCAAACTTTCGATAACCGTGCACATATCAGGGTTCCTATGCAAGTGTGGAAAGCATGATAAAGTATATTAGTAATTTGATCAATTTCCAGGTCTTACAAAGAATTATGGTAAATGAAAAATAAAGTACAAAAAATAATTAGGTTCCTAGACTATTACCACAGAAAAAAACTACAACAACAACAACAACAACACAAAAATACTGTTTTCTAAAATAGAAAAGTAGGTATTTCCAAAAATAATTCTAAAAAGTAGGGCATGGAATAGTACGAAAATTCCATCTGTGTAGGAACCTTGACGCCTGTTAACAGAATCAAAAAGTAGTTCCTCTTCATAACATGCCCATTAGACAAATCTTTGCCATTTATTATTATTTATTTTAAGTTGTGTGTATTAGTAAATGTGTGTTTTGTGGGGGGTTTTAACACAGCAGTTCAAAGCCAATTAAGGTCAAGGGAAAACACAGGTTAAGAATTAAAAACATATCAGTAGCAGACTAACTCAGAAACAACAACACACCAATTCTAATCAAGACACAAACAAGGGAACTGCCAACAAAACCTGTGATAATATACTGTATGTGTGTGTGTCGGCAGCATGCTCATGCATACTAGAGAGTGACTCACAATGCCAGAATGAAAACTTGCATATCTGCACATCTGTATAATCCCTGTCCGCTTTGCTTTAGGCCAGTGGATTGGAATAAAGCTGCAGAGTCTGTGTGCATGCAGCCGTGTGTATGGAGGCTGGATTCAGGATTTAAAATGTGAGGCAATTATGGCTCACAATGCTCGGTGTATAACCCAGAACACAGGTGGAGGTGGGATTTTGCAAGTCACTGTCAAAGTCCTTCAACACCCTGAAATCACAGAGGGACAGCAAATGCAGGGACAACCTTGACTTTGCCTTTTAAAGCATTTCTGTGATAGAAAAAGAAACCTGGAAGGTCCAACACCGAGGACAAGATGACTTTTATACTCCAACTCTGACGACAGACAGCTCTATTGATTCCCCATTGCTGCGTCAGAGAACATACAATTACAGATCACTTTAGATAAATCTCCTTACTCTCACCCTCACATGCACACACACACACACTGTGAGTCTTATTCCCTCACCCGAGGCCGCTGGCTGTCATATCCACTCCTGCTCAGAGGATCTCGCTTCACGTTTCACACAAGAGTGGAAAAAGGAAGAGTGACACGGGAGGCAAGATGGGATACAAGGGTCTGGCATAGTTGTGCCCTTTTAAGAGGATGAAGGAAGGAAGCCAAGGATGAATGTCGCAACAGAAAGACGGAAAAATGGGCAACATGACAAATCAAAGAAAGGAGAAAGAACGGAAAATGAAGCTTGAGATCATAAGGCTAATATTACGTGCACCAGGAAATGAATAAGGAGGCGGAATGAGATGAAGCTATGTGATTGTTTCCTCTTCTTCACAGCCAAGCACTCAAATGATGACACAGGAGGATAGATTAAATCTCACTGACAATCGATAATTCAAAGAGGATTGTTAGAGGAGGACGGAGAAAGAGGAGAGGGATGGGGGAGTGGAGGACGAGGGTGATTGGGCTTGATACTGGAGGACTGACATGATCACTGATTTCCTTAACATGTGAATGAGTGTTATGGTTCTTTGACGGTCTTATCTGCTGAACATCTTGGTTATATATTATGCTATGATAAAGCCATAAGTGCTTTGTTTAGCATTACTTCACTGCAGCTTGTGTCACTAAAACAATGAAAAAAATGAACTAATCGTGTCTGAGCATAGACTGTAGAAAGAATGGACGCCGTCTGCCTCCTCGTTGGGTGAAGCCACCACGAGAACAGCACCCTCTGGTGACGGGCTGCAGTATAGGTCATAAATCCTGCCTTCTCCAGCAATCCCTATGGAGCTGTGGTCAAATTTTAGAAATCTATTGCACAGAATATAAATATTTCTACCCCATGCTTGCGATGTTGACATGTAGTTCCTGTAAGACTGGTTTGTGCTCAAGTCCTCTTTTTTCCTTACAGCTCTATTTTTTTAAGTTATTAGGGGTTCATGTTTTCTATGATTGACACTTTGAAGATAACGAAGTGTCAATCGTAATTGCGTATGAAGATTGCGTAGCTAACCAGGGGAATACACTGTTCGAGCAGAGCATCCTCCCAGTAACTCTTGGCGACTCTCCCGCCAAATGCGTACAATGCTACTGCTCAAGTAGTGGAGTGCGTACAACGCTACTGCGCAATGTTGATTTCAGGAAGTGGAAAAAAAAACGTGGGATTACCGAGAGCTCTTCAGCTTCATATCTGTATACTGGCGAAAGGTGGAACCAAGTTGTCCATAGTATATACAATCTATGAGTTTATGATTTGAACTTTTTGGGGTAGATTAGGAAGCGAATGTGGAAAAATACCCCAATTGTGCTCAAACACTTCATCTCTCCTCTCATTCAGAAGAATTACAACACCATCACTGTCATTATCATAGTTATTTTACTTGAAAAAACATCTCTGTCAATGAACAGTTAAATTCTGGAGACCTTTCAGGCTCGCACGCTTCCTATGAGCAGTTGTATGATCTTGTCTATAAAGAATTGAATTACTTTACAACAGCTGTTAACTCCGTACACACACTTTAAAATCCATCCAAATGAGTCTGCTAAGGACTTCCAAATGGATTGAGGCATCAGATGGTATGGAACATGGATTATGGGAAATTACACCAAAAGGTCAGACAGACGGAGCACAGCTTTATGCACATATGAGCCGTTTTGATTTTCCTGGTGGTTACTACAAGACAGTGCCATAAAGGTTAGACTATCCGATCTGATTGGTTTAGTAATCCAATACAGCAAAAGGTCAAAAGCCGATCACACTAACCACCCTCTCTGGAAATTTCACACTAATGCAAGCCCAGAAAACAGATGTTACTGCAGTTAATGTGGTGAAATGTTGTGTTATATTCGTCTGCATTAGCTGGATTTGTCATTTCAATTGTCGAATAAAAATAAAATGTGAGCCTTCAGCTTTCAGCTCTTCAGAGCTCGCTTTGATCTCGACTATCTTTATAGCACTTAGCCATAGAGACAAAGCCTCTGTATCCCACAGAAAAGACCACAAAATAAAAGAGAGAAAGACATAAACAGGGGTGCATAACTTCTCAGCTTAGACAAGATTGGCTATTTAAATATTTAGTGTTTGTTTACAGCTACTCCTGAGTGGTAAAATGCTCTGTCTGAGCGGATTAACGGTGTTTGTGCACATTACATGAAAGCAGTCGAATATTTCATTTCTCTCTTAACTTGGCGCTGCATCCTGATATAAACCGCCCTAAATACATTAACGGCAGGATTTATGTAATTACGCTTCATTTTGGCTCGCACATAAACAATGCCTACATCTTTCTGCATATCAGGATCTAATATTTGGATTTGGAGTGCGGTTTAAGCCGATCATTTGGAACCAAGAGCAATGAGCCAGATGGTGTGCTAATGAACTCTGAAGTGATTGGAGTAATTAGAAAACAGGTTTTTGCCATTATCCCTTTCTCTATGCAGGAATGAAAGTGCAAAACTTTGTATGCCAACGCTATGACAACACAAATACCTTCAGTGATAGCCTGCAGGGCTGTCCGGCAGGGATCCACCACGCTCTGTCGGCTCAGCATAGAGGAAACGGCTCCTTTCCCTCTCACATTATAACCCTATGTTTTCCCCCGTCATCGTATGCAGAGGTTAATCTGACCAGAGTGAAGTCTGTACACATTTCTCACTTAGTAATGGCGCTGGACTACAGTTCATTGTGATTGTCACATGTGGTCTGCAAATCGATGGGGCGCACTCACGCTGCGGCCTGCTGAGAGGACGGGATGTAGAGGGCTTCGGCGTTCAATACTTTATTGAATGTCCTTAAGCCATCACATAAGTACCCTACTTTGTTCCTGCACATCGCTGCTCGTAGACCTCTGTGACATATAGGGGGAGAAACGTCTGAGCGATGTAGCGTGGCAAAAATAACAAGTAGTCAATAGCGAGCGCACACACGAGCGCTGGCACAAACAAACATGAAGGTTATTGAGCACAGAGGGGTTTGCAAACAATGAAGTGGATAAATGACCATTGCAGAAGAGCAGTTGATAATCTGCTCGACACTTTTCTTGCATCCCTGGCACAAAGAGACCAGGATGAGGGGATAAAAGGGAATAAAAAGCAGTGTAAAAGAAGAGGAAATAGGCTTATAGTGTGGGTGGGGGGGCTGGTGAAGAGAAAGAAAAAAAAAGATAAAAAGTTAATGCTCCATAGAGGTAAACAGAGAAAGAAAAGAGAGCAGGGGAGCAGGGAGAGAAATGTGCCAATGAATCTGAAGCTGAGATAGACGGGGTGGGATTGAAAGTTGCAGACAGGGACTCGGTTTGAAGATTCATAAGCAGCATTAATGATTAGAGAAAGCGACACAGCAGTGGCGGCTCTGCTGGAGGTGCTGGATACGGTTATTCTTTTGTCAGCCAACTGAAATTCAAAGTTTTTTAAAGTTTTTCTCTTATGCTCTTGTGTGATGTTATCCAGGAAGCCGCCTCTAATCTTTCCCCTGAGAATGAGACAGAAAGAAAGGTGGGTAGAAGATGTAAAGGTTGTAGCAAGGGGGGGCCCGCCACACAGAGAGACTTATGGGTAATACTACTGAGACGGCTGAGTGGAGAAAAGCAGCACCGCCACTGGCAAAAACCACCAAACAGAGACATTAAAAAAAAAACACTGTGCTCTGTTTCCTCTACATTTTATTCTGACGAGCAACAAAAGATTCAAACTCAAAACTTTGTTAGCGCTCTACTTCTACAAAAATGTGCGCTTACAAAGTTAAAATAAAAAAAATGATGTGACAATCCGAGAGTCTCTCAGCAGCAGGAGCAGCAGGTGTCTTCAGTGGGAGAATGAATGGTATGTGTGCACAATACATTCAGGCATATTTGATACAAGCCCTGCTGGAGCTTCCATGTTTTTAGTCAAACAGCGAGACAAATTAGCTCACACCTGGAGCGCATTCGTACCCCTCCTCATATTTGGATCTCACTCCCTACAGCTCTACCTGTCTCTGAGTCCCCGCTGCATGCTGCGCTGATTGGGGGTCTGTCTCTCCCCGGCTTAATTGCTATGTTATCAGCTCCACTCCCGCACTGCCACTTCGCCCGGGCCTTTCACTCAGACGGACATGCCAATTACCCCTCCTCTGCTCACACACTTGTTCTTGCTCACTCACATGGTTACCGGAGGCTGCGCTGTCAGGTACAGACGGCAGCTGGTACAAAGCGGGCACTTTGGGATGAGACAGGGAAAAGAATCAAAGTTCTTTGTAGCCTCATGTGCACACACACAGACACACATTGATACACGTAAAGTCCCAGCAGGAGCCTCTTGTTCGGGCTAAAAAATCTCAGGGGAGGCTTCCCCTCTTAATCTTTCACTCTTAGTGGTCTCACTTTGTCATTCATTCAACTTTACTTATTTTCTATTTTTCATGCTCCTGAATTAGGCGATGATTTTCAGAAGAACGTGTTTTACTGTTATTTTCTTTTTAACAGTGGTGTGAAAATTAGCAGCTCTCTAAAGGTCCGTACACATGGGGAATGACACAAATATACAACATGAAATTACGAATTATTCTGAGGCGAATTTTGAGTCGGGGCCAGTACCAGATAAGCACATTTACCTATAATCCATAAACGTAACATAACAACCGAGACCTCATGGTGCTGTGACAGCAATGCGATTGAGTTTGAGACAGTGAAAATACATATGGTATGTTGTATCTGAACAGGTGAGCTTACGAGCTAAAGTTACTTAGCACAGATGAAAGTTAAAACAAAGACGTTTAGCAAACTGTTAAAGCACACAAACCATCGACATATGAGAAATCCGACACTATTATTCTCCACAAGTTGTCCTTCAGGTCGTTATCTTTGTAATATTTGTGTTTTTTATGAAAAGGCACTCTGTTCTCCGACACGTAAACAATCAGCCGGTCGGCCATGTCGGCTATACTGGTGAATCTGATGTCGCAACAACACGAAATCTGATTGGTCAGAAGGGTTCACACAGTATGTGAAACTTTAGAAAATTCAACCATGATCCGAAAAAATAAATGCTGTACTATCGCAGGACGGTAAAACGTCGCTGATGTGAACGCTTGTATTGACAGGATACGGGTTCGAAAAAAAATATTGCTATCTGAAATAATCTCGCGAAAAAAACGCTCCCGGTGTGTCAGGGACTTTAGTGATCTCACTCGCTCTTTCATTCAACTTTCCTTATTTTCTATTTTTCATGCTCAGGAATTAGGCGATGATTTTCAGAAAACGTGTTTTGCTGGTATTTTCTTTCATACGGTGGTGTGAAAATTAGCAGCAATCTAAAACTCATGCAGTTAAAATGAATCTACAGCAGGTGACTCAGCTAATGATAACATGTTATTATGTGCGCTGGGGGGGGGGGGTTGGACTACAATGACAAATACTACAATATACACTGCAGGGAAACTGCTTCAATCACACTCAACAGATTTCAAATATCTGTCTGCAAAAGTGTACAGCGTATAGTGTGCTGTTGCTAAGTAAATCAAATGCTTACAAAATCAAGCAACAACAATAACCTACAAAAGTGAAAATCAAATGAACACAGAATCCTTTGATTTACATAAAACACCTACAAAAAGACTGAAGCACTGCTGGATCATAAAACTGGAACATTAATCATAAAAACACAATAATAAAAACAAGAATGCAAACTGTGAGCTAGCAGCTGACCACCTACTGTTGCTAACATTAGTCTGAGGCACACAGCACATGACAGAAGTTGCAAATAGGAACAAACATACACTTTAAAAGCAACTCTGTGCCCCTCTTTGTCCTTTATGGGAATCCACTTGCCCTTTATGTTTACAGCATTCTCACTGTTGTAAGTGGTATTTCATGATGTAGGTCAGGGGACCCCTACCTCTTGGGCACAGACTAGTATCAGGCCTCTGATTGTTTTAAACCAGATTGTGAAAACTCTGTTCAAGTCAAGAGAGTGGATGTAACTGCCATCTATGTACTGCAATGTGTTTGTTGTTTATTTTCCCAAAAATGGCCCAACTGTGCACCCTCAAGTGATTCTACTGTATAACCACCTGCTCACTGTACATTACCCCACTCACGATCGAGCAACCAACATAAGCTAGTTTTAAGAATTTTAAGTTATATAAGAGTTAATCCCCCTGCCTTCACGTTGGTAACTCTTCTATGACCATACCTAAATTGCTTATCTGTTGGGGAGCCCGTTTGGCCAGGTGGTTAAGTCGCTCAGCGGTTAAGTAATGAAGTGAATGTCACAACTTTTAACATTGATGCTTATATCACTACCCCACATGGTTTGGGATCCACCCACCAGTTCTGCTGCTGTAGCCTGGATTGCAGGACATGAACCACCGTTAAAATACTGTTACATTGTTTAGCCAACAGATTTCTCTGCTCCTTTCAATACTGGATTGTATTTGGTCAAAACTCCTTGACAATAGTCATTTGCTTTGAATGGCAAAAGTGACAATGAGGATAAACTTGATCACATTTCACATATATTAAGTCAATCCAGCACATCTAGTGTAAAGGTAGACACTTTTTATGACTCGAAGTGACTCAAAAAATTGGAGGAGCAAAAAAAAAAAAAAGTAGATGGCTGGTTAATGGCTGACAAGTCAACAGCAGAAAAAAGAAAACAAGAAGTGGTGAAACAGTGAAAAAATGTACTAGAGATCTTACAGCAGCCACAGAGCTGAGTCAAAGAGATGTCAACCAAACTGAAGAATCTAGACATGAAGCAACCACAAACCACAGGTTGAGTGAGAGGAGAAAAAAAAAAGTTACACTGAAGAAGTGCTGCTGTCATTTTCTGAATCTGTTCAAAACACCAAAGGTAGAACGATCCTTAAAGATCAATAATTAGTGTCAACTTGTTGCATTACCCTTTCTCTATTTGGCAACTAACTATAAATGATCCCTTACATAAGCCTGATTACTGCCTCCATTTCTTTATGCAAAGATTACAGTTTGTAATATGCAGGACCAGCACTTACAACAAGTTGACCAACAACCCTAACAGTTTGAAAGGAAACAGTTAAACATTATTATATGATCAATCAAGGGGGAAAAGAGCCAAAGAGTTGCTAATCCTGACTCTTTGGTAGATCTTTAAGTTTAGATTTTGGGTTAATGTAAGTGAGGACTGTGAAAAGTGAATTGTGATAATAATTAGTTTCCTCTCCTTAGGTTGGAATAAAAAACATCAGAAGCTAGCATAAAATAGACTTATGATACTCAATTTCAAACCAGTGTTTAATCTATCTGTGCTGTTTCAGTGTGAATTTGATCACATTAAATTATGACTGACTGTGAGCTAAAACGGTAAATCTCCTGAAAACAGTCACTACAGTAACAGTCAATGTAATGAGGTGATTTAGAAACCTCTTCCTTAACCCATTTACTGTGGCGCATACATCACATCACATCATCAATGTCGGCATTTCAAACTCTATTAGCTCTCTATTGATACCTCCCGTAATGTTGACTTCTAATGACGCCAGATGTTTCACAGACAGCACAGTGAAGTAGAGGCCGCTCAGGGCTCCACTCAGGGACCCAACGATTCATCAGCCTTAGTGTGCGTGAACCCGTGTCAATGTGCGTGAGTGTGTTTTCTTGTTATAAGGCTGACACTGCCACTTCTCATGGTGTGTGTCGCGGTGATTTTCAGCAGCTCTGTTCCAACATCGCCACTCGTCCCCGCTCTCTCTTCCACTCTGCTGAGCCATTTCCCTATTACCGCCCAGCCACTCAGACTGCACAGACAATCTCAGACACACACACTAAATTTTAAGATACTCCAAATTATACCGTCAACACATCGTGTTAACAGTGGGGCATTAATAGCGCATGCATGAGGACACCCAGTTTAGTCTACACAGTTTTCTCTGTTCATATCACCACACACCCAGCGCCATTACATCAACATCGTGTTAATGCACCGGCTGATTGTGGGTAATTTTCACTTTGGATGAGAGGGAGGAAGAGAAAAGAGCTTTATTATCCAACCCTTAATTATTTCACTTTCAGCCCAATGAGGTGCACCCATCTCAATAACTGCACTTCCCTCTGCTGTCAGCTACCACAACGGCATCCAAACCAGTTTAAAAGTTTCAAAAGCTCTGTCTCATCTCCAGTGATCCCATTTACAAGTTTTTTTTAATTGATTGACAACAGAGATTCTTGCAAAATCAGACCATGCCATGTTTTGATTTTTTAACCCCAGCTGAGGGTCTGTCTGTGCACAGGCAGGCACATAAGCGTATGAACAGCATGTGTATATAAATGTAGGTTGAGTTATGTGGGTCTCCTCATGTGTTTTATCCTGCAGAGACCCAAAGCCTGCACAGCACCAGTGACCTGATATGTAGGGCGAGACCGAAACGCTGGGATGACAGCTTAGAGCCCGCCCCCACTAACTCTGACTGACAGCCCTGTAACCTCGGCTGCCTCCCGTGACAATAGCTTAGTCTTGCCTCTACTTTAACGTCTGTCATTTCATCCTCAATATAACAGCCTTTTCTGGGGCAAAGTTCTTTAAAAGCATCGTAACAGGGCCGGAGGACAAGAAAGAAAACAGAGAGAGGGGAATAGGAGGAAATAACTGCTTTTAGGACGATATAGTGGCACTCTGACAGACTGATGGCCACTCCTTAAATTGACTGTCAGCCTCTGCAGAAGTTTTACATTGCCCTAGGTGCTTGTTCAAAGTCTAAGTACACATGTTCGACATATATCACGGCAAGGTTTTATATTCATTCCTCCCTACAACCTCTGAAACCAGTGCAGCACAGAGGCAATCACATCTCCATGCCACTATCACCCACTTTTGCAGCACAAATCCCTCCTAATCTACGGATAAGGTACAACAGCCACATGTCTATGTGGATTTCAGAGAAATCAGGTCAAAAGGGTGCTGACATTCACAATAGCATTATTGTACAAAAAGAGTGCACAGAGTCGCAAAGCCGATTTCACACGACTCAATGCAGACCAAAGTAAAGGATTTAAGCAACTTAAAAAATATTCTAAAAAATGGAAAATAAAGATGATAAAAATGGTTTTATCTTTAGCTGCATGTCTAAGATTCTATGAATAAAAAATCAAAACATAACTTCACTTCTTTTGGGAGAAAATGATCAGTAGATGTCGTACAAAAGACAGACTCTGGCATCATTGCTCTGACATCTCTCTGAGACTAAATCATTTATTAGAGAGACAGGAGAGAGCACATGAGGTAGTGGGTTACATTTAAGCCAAAAGGGATCTTTCCTGTTCGAGCTGTTGAATCGGAGTCACTTTTCATTTACGCCTGAGAGGCAGAAATCAGATGATGTGTATGTATGTCAGGTTCAACTACCCACAAACATCTTTGTAGTCTGAGCATGAAGTTAATCTCCGCTTCTATATATATTCCCTATAGCGTGAGGCGTGTCTTGATAGCGCCATATGGCTTTAATATGTCAGCCAGAGCTTGAGTCTTCTTGAGCATGCAAAGGCTTGTGAAATGGGCCTATGCAAAAATGTATCATAAGAGAATAAGAGGTCAATAAAGTTGGTGAAGGATGGAAAATCGACAACATGCAGGGAATGAGTGTGATGGAATCAGGGAGAGTGTTGTTTTAAGGGGTTAAAAGATTCACACAGAGAGAGACTTGAGCTGCATTTTAACAACCCTTTATCCCCCCACCTCAGCTGTGGAACTGACACGCTGACACTTGGATGCCTATTGACATGGTAAATTGAGGGCCCGTTCGAGCAGCACTGTGGCAGGCAGCCTCCATAGAGCCTGTCAGAGATGTATACTCACGGGCCACTGTAACAACACAAATCAGGGAGCGGGGGGAGAAAGACAGTGAATCGTGCACAAAGAAGTGAGCATCAGAAGGTGGAAAGTGTGGAGGTAAAAGATTTTTTAAAAAGTAAAATATAGGCTGCGGCTGCAAAAGGACGAGCAGAGACTAAAAGTCTGATAAGACTCGAAGATAGAAAGTAAAATTGATTTCTATTTTTGGAGGAGGTATGACCGATGGCTGGAATGACTCCAAAACATGTTCAATTTCAAACTCACACACACACACACACACACACATTTAGTTTTGTGTATGCATACACTCTATAGCCCCAGATCATGCTCCCAGATTGTGAGTGGCAGTGTAATTGCTTTTTGCGGTGGTTGAACGTGACTTGTGCTCCTGAGTGTGTGAGGACGTCTGCCTTGTTACGGTGAAGCTGGAGCCATTAGCCATTTGGTTTAATGGGAAATCTGAACCACAGACTCCACTGACCCCCCTGGCACTCTGTGGGAGGAGCGGGCCAACCTATTAACAACGAGTGAAAAGCTCTGAGCTTACCCTATCACACAAGGCCACACTTAATTAGACTGTTTGTTTAGCAGACTCTAATGGGAAGGAGCACGAGTGGGGGGAAAAGGTTGACTGCTCTCCTTGAAACTGCAGGCTGAAAGACATCTGGCCAAGGATGAGATGAAGGACGGGAGGATATCAGTAAAACGTGCCCTTATCACTTTAGGTGCTATCACATATTTCTACAGACAGATGGTTTTGATAGGGAGAAACATAAATAGTATTCATTCATGCTAAATTGAGTCATTACAGTTTCACAAACGTAGGCTAAAAGTAAACAAATCTTTTGTGTGAAGCACAAAAACAAATTGATTAAGTCAATCAAGCGTGCGATGGAAAGAAAAACAGCGAAATGGAAAAAGAGACATTGATGGAGTTTATGTGGCTCCAAGTCAGTAAGTAACAACATTGTGGTACATGGGGGATACAACCCCTGTATGAAATTATGCCCAATTAGCGCCATGCCTCAGAAAAATTACATCTCTTTTTATCATCCATCCCGGAGACCTTTCTGCCCATATCCCCTGATCCCTCTCCCCATGCAGAAGGCTAATTAAAGGAGAGAAATTGGATATGGGCCTGTGCGCAATCCAATTCAGAGAGAGGCAAATGGGAGGATGAGGGGTAGGTAGCAGGAGGGGGGGAGAAGTCGGACCCGGGACAAGGGCACTGGATCAGAACACTGGAGCCTTGTCGATTTTGGCAGAATTAAAGGGATAGTGAGTTTGGCAGCGAGGGCAGACAGGATGAGACAGTTGAAGTGTGACGCGTCAGAACCGAATCCAAAAAATCCACAACACTGTGCCCCTGTTAATTCACTCCTGATATGCACCAAATGGGACGCTCCTCCTTTCACACCTCATCACTGTAAAAGGCCAACAGGACCAGAGTGCAAATGCTAATCTATTGAATCATATGCTGTGCAGCACGTCCCTCCATATGGGGTCAGGGGTTAAAACAGTGGCGGCTCGTCCGAGGGGACCACTTGAGAAATCAATCAGATCAATAACTTATTGAAAACCTTCCTCATCAACCTCTACACTTGCATGGATAACCAATCAAATTGATTCTTGTTTAACTCTGAAGTGATGCGTCTCCTGTGGCCTCCCTCTGAGATCCCGCTAACGCGTATGTATGTCTCTGGGTCATAACGTAATTTGGTTTCATTAATTATATTATTTCAAGATAATTCAAGTCATAGATCAAAAGTTTTTATTAATGCGCCATTTATGGTTCCACAGACAGTGACTAGAAACCCTGATATATTGCCTCAAGTGATTTTAAATGTAGGGAAAGAGGGCTGTTTTTGGGTAACCTATTCAGTCCTCATCTTGAGGCTTACCCCCAATTTCCACCGCATCCAGGACGGTTCCGTTCCAGAACAGCGGCAATTTTTGCCGTCCGCCAATTCCCACCGGATCCGTTTGTGAGGCAAATTTCGTAGCGGATTACAGACAGCAGGATCTGCTAGAACTCACAAGAACCCACAGATTCATGGGCAACCGTGTGATAATGAGTTGTCTCTATAAAGATAGCCACATAGCTATATAAGCAGTAGATTGTGTCCTTCCAGAGGAGGAAATCCACTTCTTGACTTCTAGAATCAGCATCTCCTCATCCATGGTGTCATCAGGGTGAAATTTGCTCTAAAAACCTTTCATTTGTTCATCTCCGCCTGTTTGCATGGTGTAAAATACGATCCACCTGAAAAATGTCGTGTTTTATTTTGTGTCAGTGCCCAACTTCCTTACCAGCATGGGCTAATCTGTGCAGAATTTATGCGGCATACTCCGCGACCAGAAAAATAGAACTCCTGCGATCAGCTGCGGAGTCCCGCGATCTGCAGTGGAACGGAAAGAAGCCGGTGGAAATTGACACATTAACTTGAATGGTTATGAGATTGGCGGGTACGGCCTTTTCATAGCCATTCCATGTGTGGTAGAAATTGGGGTCGCAGCTTGATTCTGCATTATCTGCAGGTAGCATAAAACCCCTGAACGTCATACCAAACTGTTTGCAGGTAAGTTGCATTTAGAGTGATATTGGTGAAGTCTTGTAAGTTTTGTTCCACAAAAACAGTACAAAGAGTGAAACGCTAAATTGTATAACAGATGCTAAATTGAGCCGTTTTTCTGGATGCTTTCACTGCATGCTGCTATCTTGATATGTGCTAGGTCATATAGGTGTCAATCTGATTGGTTGTAGGTTTGTACAATCATCTTCAAAGGCACTTTCACCGGTGATGGTGAATAGGGATGCACCAATCCACTTTTTTCACCTGCAATACCGATAGAGATATCTACAGTTTAGAATCGACCAATACTGATCCAATTCCGATACAGAAAAGCCGCGCTGAATTACCGTTTGTTGTAACTTTAAGTTTCACCACCGCCCCTCGGAACGTTTACTGCGCAGGTATTGCAAGTGGCTGTCGAGCTTGTAAGCTGAGGTATTGTAATAAAGTTCAAGACAGCAGACCCCTTTGCTCGCTCCATTTTGAAAACAATGTGGGCATCCGCTCAGCGTGTTTACTTGTGATTGCCACTCACAGCGCATAGCATAGAGTTAGACTGAATAGATTGGCCCCTGTGCATCAGGCCCATTGTCATGATACCCGATCTAGAATTTTCTTCACTCTTGGGACCGATATCAAATATCAGAACGGTGCATCCCTAGTTTTTTCATGTGCATTTCTGAGATTTTAGGACAGTTCTTTCCCGACATGCTAAAAGGAAGCTGCTGCAGCATTTACAAGGTATCCCAGATGGTCGGGCTGGGCACAGACCCTGCGATGACGGTCTTTGACTTGATATCAAATGTTCACAGTATTAAAGAATGAGCTGGCAGAAAGGAGTATGAAGCAGATATTTTACAGGAAAGAATTAAACCACTCTTGGATGTAAACATCATCATCATCATCTGCTTGGTTGTGGGGAAATGTCCAACCCTGCTCTTTTTACACCTCCACTTCTGATATTTCACTTCAGGGTTGAAAGTGAGAAACCCTGGTTCAGTCAAGGTAAAAAGCTATGCTGTTAGTGCTAACATATGCAGCACAGCCTGAAAATATGAGAAAATTCACATGAGTTTAACTGCATGTGTGTGAGTACAGCACTGAAGAGCTTTTCAAGCTGTTTCACAGCTTTACAGACTTTAAACTATCCTAGAGCACAGAACCAACACTTCTGGCGGTAAAATTAGAGATGAAGTATACATTTTGAGTGTTTATGGTCCATCTGTAACATTTGTGAGACTTGGTTTCTCTTTCAACTCTGACCTACCGAACAAAAGTCTAAATCTAATCCAGGGCATGGAAAGGTTTTGCTTTATTAAACTAGTAGCGAGTGTCACAACCCAGGTTTTAATAAAGATCCTTTACTCTTTAACATGTCATAAAGGGCAGCTGAAATGCAACTTCAATTAAAGCTACTCTTAGGACTGTGCAAACGCTGTACCGGTGTATACAAGCTCATCCACCTCTGTTCCTCTCCTCTGACCACTGTCTTTATTTCTCTCCTGAAATCCACGGGCTGAGGCCAGGTGCAGCTGCAAAGCTGCGGTGGATCAGAGAGTTGATGATGGATGACAGCAGGGTGTGTGCATGTGTGTGTTGAAGAGGATTCTCCGTGCATTATATTGAATGACACACTCCCTGTGGTGAGGAAGTAGGGGATAATGATGGACTGGGGAAAGAGGTTAACAGCTTGTCTGTTCTCTCACATGCACAAATGCATAAAACAGCAGTATAACCCAACTGTAGCTGAGGGGGTTAGCACACTATTAACATATTACTTCACTACAGAGGCCAGAAACACATTTGGCATCAACACCCTGAAACACCAAATGGACGCCGTCTCCAGCAGGCAACGTAACACACATGCCAGAAAAACAACAAAGGGTGTATTTGTCAGTGTAAAGCTAACAATCTGCACCCCTGCCTCCCCCATTGTCCCACCCACTGGGGTGCTGGCTCTCCTTCTGCTTCATCTGCATATGCACAAACACAAATATAAACATACACAAGGGCCAAAACACATGCACACACAGAGATGGGAATCCAGAGCATGGCAGGAGTACCCCACTGGAAAGGGGCAACTAGTTCACAGTCGAATGAGCTCATGAGTGTGTGACCTGTGCAGAGAATAAAAAAAGGGTTGGTTTGGTGCTGTGGGGGCCAGAGCTGGTCAAAAGGGTTGCCTGTTTTGGGGGTGGAAACAGCAAATAAAGTTGAGGAGTTGAATTCATAGACTGTATATAGAATGGACGCCATCTGCGTCCTTGCTGGGTGAAGCCACCGCTAGAACAGCACCCTCTGGTGACGGGCTGCAGTATAGGTCATAAATCCCGCCTCCTCCAGCAATCCCTATGGAGTTGTGGACAAACTTTGGGAATTTGTCACACAGAATATAAATTTTTCTCCCGCCTGCTTGAGATGTTGACATGTAGTTACTATAAGACTGGCTAAATTTTTAAAAGTTATTAGGAGGTTCATGTTTTCTATGATTGACACTTGATACAGCCGATTGTGTAGCTAACCTGGGGAATATGTTGTTTGAGCAGAGCGTCATCACAACCTTCAGCGACTCTCCTGCCGAATGCGTACAATGCTATTGCGAAAGTGGTGAAGTGCGTACAACGCTACTGCGCAATATTGGTTTCAGGAAGTGGAGAAAAAACCCGGAAATACCGAAAGCTTTTTGCCTTCAAATCTGTATATTGGCAGAAGGCAGAACCAAGTTGTCCATAGTATAGACAGTCTATGATTTTATGTCTTGATGAGAAAATGCTGATTTTTTTTTGTGTCAATATTTTGGTACCCATCAAAAGCAAAAGAAGTAAGTAATATATCCCCCTCCAACATTTCATCTTGAAAGGGTACCAGCTTTCGTCTTGTTTTGGGGTAATTCCAGCATCCTTAAAGGAAAATAAAGCTGCTCTACCCATCTTTAAATAGCATACATCTTCTGTACACAAATCTCCCCATCCTTCCCCCCTCATACGTCCATCATGTTGACAGACAACAGACAACATCAACTCTCCTGCAGTGAACTATCTACCCACATGCCCAGGGAGACATGGGATTGAGATAAATAGATTGGTTGTTTTTGGATTCTAAAGGCACGTCTCCATGTGGGGCTGTCAGGTTGATGCTGAGCACATACTATGTCTGGCGGTGTACGGATGGATGGAAGCCACCCTGGAATTCCACTCGCAGGCTTGTATCTTTGGATATTCTGCATGCTGGGCTTAGCCAGGCCTACAGCTTGGAGGTGGTTCACACACTGGGATGCCCCTGATGCGTGTTCTTGATGTAAACAAGGGATGCACGCTCCCCTCTCTCCCTCTCTTTCTCCTTCAAAAAGTCTCAACTCCTCACTGTTCACTTGACTATTCCAGTTGGATCATTTGTATATGGCTGCTTATCTCAGTTACTGCCAGATGTCCGGGGAGATTTAAGCAGACATCTGATTTGTTTTAGACGCTCTGAGAAGCTTTACATGGAGGAAACGAAATTATACAGCAGGATTTGCAGCATGCAGCTGGCGGGAAATGTAATTTTCAAAGCAATTTATGTGAAGATAAGACAAAAGACGAATAATATCTCAAATGCACACTGCCCCTTGTAATTAATAGCTTTACAAGCCTGTTGTTGAAAGCTACCCAGTGAAGAAATTGCAGCCTCTCGATGAAAGGAAATCAATGTGGGCATCACTAAACAACTTAGCCATTATACCAAAAACAGCCCTACTAAATCACCCACAGCTAACAAATTAGGTTTCAAGATGTTCAGAGGGAAATTGAGGAGCTATTTGATTATGTCTCTTCACTTAAGGATGGAATCTAAAGTGTCTTATCACAAATTTGACTTTTTATTCAACAATTCTGAATTCAAAAGTGTAAAACCTTTTGACAATCCCACACCGGAACAGCAAGAGTCAGCGTCCTACATGCATGAGGCGTGTTTGTAAATCTTCAGGGTTCCTGTTCCTGACAAAATCAAGCCCTGTGTGCGTCTTCAACCAGCTCTGCACTCTTTATTAAAGTTTAAGCAGCACAGCACTGTGTCAGGCTGCCATCGACGCCCAGGGCTCTGAGTAAATTAATGATGCTTAAGTAAACTAAAGATTAATTATAGATACTCAAATGTGTCACTCTGCATATATGCACATTTGACTGCGTGTCCTACCTGCAGACATGTTAATAAGGAGCTAACCTGCTTCAGTAGTAGACAGAGGACAAATGGGAAACACACTTGACACTGCGCCGGCACTCTCACATGGACTAACGCCCTTAAGCAGAGAGAGGCTCTGATTAGGCTTCACTTAGCAGGGGACGACAGCAGCCAAAATATTAGGAACAAATGGTGCAAACAATACCAAAATGAGCAGATCTATTCACGCGTGCTGTATTATAGGCTAAACGGCTTTTTTTCCCTGAGGCGAGATCTCACAGAGATTATGACAGTCAATTATTTAATGATAAACTGCATAAATCTGACTTCATTTGCTTACATTGTTGAGGAAATGTAGAAATTTTGAGTTTTTTTCATTGACAGAAGATTGATCATCAGTCACTAACCAGTCTGAGTGATTTTTTATCCCAACATTTCCAGTTTGTAGCAACTTTTATGTGAAAACTTGCATCAAAATAAATTGAAAAAATCTTCAAATGGTTACAGTTATGAAACTAAGCTTTAAAAGACTGGGATTTGAAGACTCTTATGGTTGTTCGAACTGAGAAAATAATCAGAAAAATCCATGATGACAATAATAATTATATGTAGAAGACCTAAAACAAACATAATACCCCCTTAGTTCAGTGTGTTCCACTTTCACATTAGCAGGTTTGGGGACAATACAGGGTATGTGTGTGTGTGGTCTAGCTCAAATCCATGTCAAGAAACTTTTAGCAGAAGGACAAACACTCCTTTTGGACATCCCGGGATTCCACTCCTTAGATTTGACCAAATCGGAGAAACACCACGTTCATTTTTGATAAGAGAAATAAATCAGTTTGAAGCATTTGATATCAATTGTTAAAAGACTTACAAACAAAGATTGCTGATAGATACTGGCTATTATTTCTCCAAATGAGATAGATCCTTCAGAGTCCATTCAGACTTAGTCTCCGCTCTACTACCTCTAAAGAATTTGTGGACTTTTTAACTGCGATGAATATTAAAATATGCCAAAAACAATTCATCAGCCAAGGGCTTAACTGTGGGTGCTTTGCGAAAGCATAGGTTATTCATAAGTTTCAGAGTGGGTACTGTCAAGTTAACCTGACAGTTGAGTTACAATTTGTCCTGATAACATCTGAAGTCCTGTCAGAAACAACTTAGATCGTCTATTTCGGACTGTGGTTTGGATTATGAAAAATTAAATCTCATGGATCAAGATAATCACAACATTATCAGCCCCATTCAGTGTAACTTGGGTCTTAAAGCATTGTAACTGTGCAAAACAGTGATATTAAATTTCAAAATAAGAGTACGCCTCTATTTTATGAACATACTGCTGAGTACTGAGCTATGGAGTCATACAGTCAGTGCGTGCGTAAACATTGGAAGCCTCGTACCAAGCCAAATAAAAGCAGTAGTAAGCTCTTACCGTCCACAGCCATAGTCGGTCTCAGCGTGTATCTCTCCGTGGTGTCAACAGGACTCTCGCATCCTTCCGCCAGATGGATAAAACGTAAACAGTGTGAGGATACAGAGCGCTTTTTGCCCCCCTTTAACCTACATGGAGACAGCACTCACTGTACTCCTAGGTTGAGAAAACAAAAAAAAAAAGAAACCTGGTTCACACTGTTCCTCGCGGACGGATCACGGCCATTTGTTGTCCCGGACGCTTATGGGACGAGTCCGATGTGAAGCGGCTCCCAGTGAATCTCCGCCCCCCTCTTCGTACCTGACCGCCGGGAGACAAAAGGTCATTACGCCCCGACACCAGCTGTTACTGGATCCATACGAGAGCTTCTGCGCTCTCTCTCTCTCTCCCTCTCTCTTTCTCTCTCTCGCCCCCCTATCTCTCGCTCTCTCACAACGTGCACAAAGGCACACTCTTACACGCCCCATTTTATTTCAGCCTAATGTCAAATGTACACTGCATTAGGCTACAATCAGCAAAGATAACCTGTTTTCCCAAAGATTAGAAGCAGTGGTAGATGATTCTGTTTAGGGTGCATAATATTGATATCTTTTTAGGTCAAAAGAGGGCTAGGTGATAGTCATTATAACTTTTATTGCCAATTTATAAATCAATTAAGACTAGTAATCCTGGTATTTTGTTGAAATGCACATTATTCAATCAACAAGACAAGCACCGAACAAAATAGATGCAAACAACAACACAAACAACCACTACTCATATTCAAGTCACTACAATATGCATCAGCAGATACACATAATCCAGCTTAAAGTAATAATGGCTGTTGCACAACCTGGGCTGTTCATTTCATTTATTTTTAACTCCACTCGCTGTGGCAAGAACTACTCTTCTCTTAAGTCCACCCAAAATATCGAAATATACAGACCACATCATAATACATGATCATATCCCAACCTGTCCCAACAAAGAACAAAACAAAGCTCCAAACATCCCCAGCATTAGTTAAGAAAAGACACAACACACACACAAAACAGGACATAGTTCAAGTTAATATTACAAATAAAAGTAGACATAGCGCATTTAATGATCTGGAAATTTGACCCGAATACATTTAATTCTTCAGAGATCAAAACTCGAATTGTTTTTTTGTTATCCATTCAAGTATGGACTGTCGTTCCTTATTCAACACCCCTGACAGAGTTGTGGATTCAGCAGTGTATATTGTTGAAACATCAGCATACATAGCTGTTCTTTCATTTTTAGGGGTTAAAGCATGTTTATTTGTAAATATAGAGTATAGCAGTGGACCCAGGTAGCTTCCTTGCGGAACTCCAAAACCGAGTAATTTTACCTTAGAAAAAGGTTGGCTAAAGAAGACTGTTTGCCTCCATTTTTGACTGTCAACTTTCTACACAAATGGTTTACAATAGCAAGCAGCTGTTAGCTTTTCTGCAAGCTTAATGCATGACAAAAATGAATTAAAGCTAACAATGTTTACTTATGAAGCTGATTATGCAGCTCATTCAAACGTAGATATTTCTCCAAGTATCTGTCTCTACCTACTGTCTGAGTCCCATGTCTTCAGGGTGCAGCTACCACAAATTAAACAAACAGCAGTCTGTTGTAAGAGCAACTCAAACTAGCCAAGTCATGGGTTGAAATTAGCTGTGTTGCAGAAACATCTCATGATTGATTGGGGAAAAAAAGCTAAATGTTTTCAAAATAAAAATATTAAATCCTGACGATTCATCATGGACGCACTAATGTCACTTTTAAGCTGATGACATAAGTTTTCCCAGACACTGACCTCTGCATTTTGGTGTCATGTTGCCTTTATTAATAATATTTATTGTCACTGTTGGCTAAAACTCAGTGCCAAGGAGAATTATGAGACAAAGTAAACAGTTTCACATTATTAAACCAAACTAATGAATCTGTCTGCCTCTCAAGACTACACTTTTGTGAAACAATGGCACACTGGTATAATCTTTTTCTTTGTCATCTATTGACTGTTTGTAAAATATTTCTCAAAAAAGCCATTGCAGAGATTTGGAACGTGGTAGACGTATCGATCAGGGGAATGAAAAGAGGCCTCGTTTTTCAAAGCTTGAATTAAAATTTTAAAGTTGTTTTCCGATAAACTGACATTTCAGCACTTCTAAAAGTAAAAAACATATATCAGTAGTCCCCAATAACTCTCTGTATAACATCATCCTTTGTGGTTTCGGTAGCGAATGTAAACAAAACAATGTGTATCTCGTCATTTTATTTTTTCAGGGAGAAACCCTGCTGACATAAATCATCATTCTGCATTCGCCACGACTCCTTTATGCAAAATCAAAAGGGAGCTTTCTCACGTAGACATACTTGTACACATTCTGAAAGCAGCCAGTAAGCCAGGCAGCAAGTTGACAAAGATCAGCTATTTTATGCAGCTCTGTGTTTGCTTGTAGTGAGACTCAAAAGTATGTTTAAAGAGGGTTTCTGCTGAACTTCTTTGCCTTATTCTTTTTTTTTTCAGCTTGCACTTGACACAAAAAGTTTTCCAATGTTTTGCACAATACAAGTTTTGAGCGTATCACAGTGATGATATGGCCGTTATGATCGGCACCCATAATGGCCTTATAAAAACAGTAGAGATACAGGTTGATCAGTGGGCTTCAAAGGTTGGTATTGATTGTAGCAATCAAGACAACCCTGGATGTGAAACCCACACATTCCTTACAGGAAAGTTTCCTTATCTGGTCCCAGGAAACAGGATATAAATCTTTCCAGACGTGTTTGCACTTTCAGGTTAAATAAGTGACCCAACCGGAGGTTGACTAAACCTCTGACTCTTCAGGATTGGTCAGTTCGGCGAACAGAGACAGAGTTTTTATTACCTTTCAAACTGACTCCATTTGCTGACCATCTAAATAAACATTAACCTCAACCCAGATCTCCCATTTGAGATTTAGCGTCTTAAAGTGTGTGAACATACGGACCCCAGGATAAGGGGGGACACTGACCTCCAGACCTCGGTCGTAAAACCCTGCTCGACCATACACTGATAAAGACTGCATTCCTTTGGTGAAAGAATACAAATGACTGATCATGACATCTTACGCATTCAGCAATGTACTAATCTGTCTAATCATGAAATTTGTGTTAAAATGAGATGTTTCCCGTTTTTCTATGTGCTTCAGAAGCCAAGTTATCTTATCTGACAGAATAAATCCTTATTCTTTAGTTCTTTAGACCAACAGCTTTTCAGACTGTTTCATGAACTTTTAAGAGTTAAATTTATTGACTATGAATCCTAAGTTTACTCTAAGTAACAGAAATAGTTTAGAAATGTTTGGTTTATATTTTAGTTATTTATTTAGTATCTTAACCATTAGGTGGTTATAATGTCACTGAATAATCTGAATGTGAGTATTTAGAATCCATTATTAATCATGATGACGTTCATTCACATGTGTTTACTCTTTTGTTGTTCACAGTTTCTATGTGTTACTATCTGTTTCATTTCAGAGTAATTTAGCATGTTCAATGTGATACTTAAAACATAATGAGAATGTTTGATGTGATCCTACACTTCATTCATATGTGTTTAGTATCAAATTATTTATCATGAAACCAAGCATTCAATGATATTAATCATAGTGAGTGAGTATCAGATCTGACTCTTTTACCAGCCAAAAGAATAAGTTAGATCAAATAATCAGAGATTCCACGACCCCTCCTCTGTCTCACACACACGCCGGAGCCACTCCCAGTGTGAGAAGATAAAACCAGTGAAGTCGGGTTGCTTTTATCTCTCTCTTGCCTCTTACTCTCTCTTATGCTTCTGCTCTTCTGCTGACTCTCTTGTCCCCGGCTCTTATGCCCCTTCTCTTCTGCCCACACCCTTCTGTGGTGCGTTTCTTTGTTTTCTCTTAGAACTTTTTCTTAGTCTTCTAAGTTTTACGCCACGTGTTGATTCACGTTGATTTTTCTTTAACATCGTCTTAGTTCAAGTTTTGAAACTTCAACTTTTTGTGCACATAGCAATTCAAGATTAAGCCTTTGATTGATTTTCTTTAATTTCGCGAAGCCATTTTTGAAAGTTTTCTCTGCTCTTCGAGCCTCGTTTTTCTGAGTTTTCTGCGTGATTTCAAAGTCACCTCCGAACGCAATCCAACAGGCCCAGGTCATCCTCTGTGCCAGAGTTTTTGAGTGAGACTAAAGAAGTACCCAAACGAGCATCCACAGGATCCACAGGCGCTGGTTTTTGCTTCGGGCCTGAGTGCTGCAACTCCTGGCTCATCCTTCGGCTGACTTCAGTCGTCTTCTGAGCTGAACCGCTCGAACCGCCAGTAGCCTGGACCTTCGGAACCTGCTCCATCTTCTCCAAGGACCAGTCTCACTTAAGTATGCAAACCTCCAGAGCTCTAAAGAGGGCTGGTGCTGTCTCGTGCGTTCATAACTCAGATATCCTCCTATTTCTGGTGATCTTAGATTCCTCCAAATCCACATCCGAGTTTATCTCGACACCAAAGTTAGTGTAGGTTAATATGTTAGCGCATATTCACTCACTATCATTAACTTTAGTGCTCCTAGCCTGACTCAGAATCTTTATTTATTCACCTATTATTATTTTATCCTCATTATCTTATCATTTATTGCATGTGTGTTGTACCATCATTTATCCTGTAATAAACAGATCATTATTTTTCTAAGTTCCTGTCTGTTAGTGTTCTTCCAGAAGTGGAGTCCCTGAAATTAGAATTTCGACTTAAGATATGAGACTGATTAATTAAGACTGATTAATTAAGACTGATTAATTAAAACTGACTTGATGTTTGATTTCTGAATTAAACTTTTGTTTTCTTTATTTTCCCACCATTAAGGGTGGGTGGTGCCCCTTTCAACGAGTGCATAAATGTCATAATTTGAGATTATTAATCTTCAGACATTTATTATAAATTCCAATCGCTACAGTACTATTTTGGTGCGGCCTTGTGAGGCTCATTTCAAATCGCTACATATATTTTGGTGCGACCGTATGAGGCTCATTTTAAATCACTACATGATGAATGTCCTTTCAAGTGCAGAATAAGCTTAATGTCAAAGCAGGTGGTTCAAAATGAGCTTAGGTTACCTTGAAGTAAGCTTTGATCATACAATATGATACGATACAATACAATATGATACGGTACACTTTATTGTCCCTTTAGGGAAATTTGACTTGGACTCCAAGAGCTGCACAGATAAAGCTGCCAACTGATGACACAAAGTACTAGACCTAACAAAGACACAGTCACACCTAAACCTAACCATAACCCACACACATTGCACATACACACATTGCACATACCCATGTTGCACAAGAATCCCACAAAAGTGGTCAAAAGATACACAGCAACAATAGACAACAATGACAAAGAACAAGACACAGCAAGGTGAGACAAGGCAAACAAGACCAAAAAGAAAATGATAAGTTAACAAGATAACACTATGACATTATTGCCCAGTCCGGCTTTATTTTAGGACATTATTTCAAAACCTAATTAAAGTGGGCATGAATGGGTTTTGAAAACTGTTGAGCTGTAGTTCATAGGGGACCAAAGAAAATGTTGTTCCGCACAATGGTCATGAATCATAACTTGTTTGAGCCCTGAACCAGCTTTTTTTAAAAACCCAACATGAGACGTACTGAAAACATTAAACATAATTTTTTTAATGCTAAATTGTGCTTTGACAAACTTTTTGCATCAACTGCTCCTTTAAGATTGTGAGTTTCAATAAATGGTATAAGTTCAGTCAGGATCACTTTGTCAAAATTCAGCTTTATTGTGGAAAGTTAAATTTGGCGGCATAGTTCTGTTCTGGGTTCCTGTTCTTCCATGGACTTGCGTGAAAGCCAGAAGCAGGAAGAGCCCCTTCCTGCCCTTCACAAGGCATCATGAAGGCAGAAACAACAGGCGATGAACTGAACAACCTTAAAGTGATGAAGTAGAGGAAGAGGCTGGGTTAGGGCAGTTTTAAATAGGGTGCTCTAAAGTCATAGGGCCAATAGGAGCTGGGAGGAAATCAATTGGGTAAGTCGGCTTCTTGCCATTGGCTGCGGATCAGCGTTTGACGTTTTGACCTGCCAGAACTATTGCTATGCCTCATTTAAGAGCATGTTTCGGCTACCATAATGGAAACACAGAGTCCTGGTACAAACCAAGAAACAGAAACATAAAGGAGATCTGCTAACTGCTTCCAAAAATGCTTAAAAACAGCCGTTTTCCTCATAGACACCCACGTCAGCTGCCATTTGCCCATCAAACAGCTTCACTTCACTTCAAAGCAGAGGACTCTGAAGCGAGTTGTGCACGCGTCTGTGTCAATGCAGTCTCACAACACACCCAGCTAATTGATTCTGCTGGTGTTCAGATGCATGCAGACTTCCCTTGTGCTGATGCTCATTCTGTTGAACAGTGGAAAGATATGTCCCTGAAAGACTTCAAGACAGTCCGTCAGGCGGCGTTGGAGAGATGGAGACTGTCCCTGGAGTCTGGTCGCTGGATCATCAAAGAGAGAACAACAAGAAAAACAAAGGCCCAGACATGGTGCATCTGGGCTACAGCAAGAACAAACACAGACTGGGAGTGAGAGCACCAAACACTCACGGACTCTCATAGATCTAAACATGATAGATACCCCTATATTAGCACTCTCTTGCACTTAGAGACAGCTCTTGATGTGGAAGTGCACCACCATGTGCCTGTAAGGACATTTGGCTCTGTAAAAAGCTGAACATACTGGTCAGCGCTGTGAGTATTAAATAGACCAGAATGGACAAAGATCAAGAGGTAAAACTGGTCCTTTGGGTGTTAAGCTAGAGAGAAAATATGAGCATCTCTTGTAGGAATAAATGTTTGTGCATGGCACAGATAAACATGAGGGAATAGGAGCTCAGGGGAATAAAAAAAAGAGTTGTTTATGTTCATTCTTTACTCTGTAGATGTTCTTTTTCTATGCCGTTGTCAGGAATTTCCTCTGAGAGTTTGGAGAAAACAGATTTTCTTGATGAAGCAGTTGTGGAAGTGTAGAGAGAGAGAGAGAACTCAGAAGGCGTTGGCATCTCCGTGCAGCCTGTCCATTACATCCTGTAACTAGCAGATGATGCCATTAAACTTTTATTGTCAGTGTTATTCCATCACATATGGCCCGCTCTCTTCATGCCAAGAAACCTTTGTTGTTTTTCTGTCACGGCGCAACACACATGCATGGAAAAGTGCACCAACACCACTTCAAATGTTTTAAACAGATGTAATGCAAAATACACAATATGTTTGCGCCACAAACCACCAGATTGTGTCAGATAACATGATGAAAAAGAAAACGTCTCAGGCTTAGAGAGCTCTAGAGGGACTAAGAGTGAGAGAGCTCTTCCTCAAGAGACACAGAGAAGCTATTGATATTGGAGTGTGGCATCAGCCTTGCCAAAGCTGGTGTCATGGTGAATGGCTGTCCCTGAGTTGGCAGCTTGGAATAACGGCGCCAATCTGGACAGAAAAAAAAAAACGAGATGGAAAGAAAAGAGCAGTTGGGGAAAGACTCAGACCAACCTTGGGTGCATCTAAATGCTTGGAAGTAGAAAAGATCCAAAGAGGCTGGATTTCAATAGAACATAAGCTCTCTCTTCTGCCTGTACTTAATCTGACCTGAAAGCTGGGGCTCTTTCAGGTGGATGTGAAAGCAATCTAATGAATTCCCACAGGAAGCTATTTACTCCGCTGAGATGAGTGCAGATGATAGAGAGGGATCCACTTTATAGTGTTAAGTTGTGGCCCTGAGCTGTTTTCCTAATCACAGGCCTGGGGGAGTTTTCTGTAATTCTCTCCACATATTGTATAGAGGTCTCCTTTGAAAAAAAAAATAGCTGTCACCTCTCTGCACTTATTCAGTATGTGGAGCAAAAAGATGACAGAACCTATTTGAGAGATATATTCCCAGTGCCACTCCCTGATCATCACCCCTCGTCTCCTGCTCTGCACCTTGTGTGTTTGTGTGTGTCTTTTAGGTGTGTGATTTAGCTGTGAATCTCCTTTGTGTGTGTGCAGCATGCTTTTGTATGAACATATGTGCAGGAGGGGAGGAGGGATAGAAAGCAGAGCATTCATATTCCCCTCACTCTCTGCCGGTGACCTCACTGTTATGCAAATGACCACAAAGTAACAGACAGTGTCTAAAGCAGAGCTGTGCTCTAAACAGCAGCACTTACCGAGCCGTCATTGAAACACATCTATCTCTGTTCCGAGTTGGTTTTGTATATTTATGTTCGGTATTTTCCGAATTTGTTGCTGTTGTTGTGTGGACAGACTTTTAACAAAAATGCCATCCTGAGTTATTGGCTGGATTCTTTCATTGCTATAACACACAAAGACATTTTCAACGTATTGTTGTATGTGTGCATTCAAGAGAAGCGGACCCAGGAACCATGAAGTCCCCCATTCGCTTGTAGTCACTGCTGTCCTCAAGTCCACAAAAACACTCCGTATGTCTCTTCTGAACTACATTTTTTACCCTGTTTGTAAATGTCACTGAGTCAAAGAAAGGTGTAAATTAGCAATCAGCGTAATCTGACTGCTCCTTATACCAGACGTGTACTGAACATGGATGACAGAAAGCATGGCGCCTTCTTTTTGAGTAGTTTTGTACAGCCATGTTAAATATGAGCATGTTCAAGTTTTTGCAGAATGAATCTCCAGGACTAGACAGCCTACACCTGTAAAGTTTACTATCTCTTTTAGTCCTTCAGTTCATTAAAATGCATTTTCAATACAAACATACAGTAGACTATTCCACTGTATTTCATTTTATCTTGCATCTTCTCCCATGAAAACTATTCTACCCTGGCTCTGTCTTACTATTGCTTTTGGGTGCTGTGTGAACAATAAATAAACACTCTATGCCCTTATAGATAAATACCTAATTATTCATTTAAATTATGATAAACAAATGAATACCCTTTATCCGCTAGCATCATCAGCGTTAACACAGCAGCAGTCATCATCGCAAGTTGACAGTAGTTAAACCTAAACTTGTAATCTGTATATAATGAGAACAACCACTGTTTGTCTCACTGGTTAAATGATCAAAGGTTGGAGGTCTGTCTTGGTTGCTGTGGTAGCCATGTGTCAATCACACCCTAGAATTTGAACATTTAATCCTAAACCAAACCAGTGTCAGAAAAAATGATTTCATGCTGCATTAAAGAAGATTTGAAACTAGCCAAGACCTTTACCTCAACGTATGAAATATTAAGAGTACTAAAAAACAATGATGACTTAGGAGAGGTTTTACATCTGGTCCCAAACAAATACTTTTCTTTTTGGATCCATGAAAGCCACACCCAATACCCTATTGGAAATTTAATGTAAAGCTGTATTACCATCACATCTAAGACGAGAAAAAGAGCAGTAGAAAGATCCAAACACAGGTGGTGTCAAATAGTCTGTCTAAATGAAAGAAGAAACTTTAAAATAAAGATGCTTTCATGCATGTCCCCAGGAAAGAAATTTACACAAGATAGATTCAGCACAAGGCTGTGGAGGACTGTGCTGTTCCCGCATAGCAAAAAGGTTCCTGTTTGCACCTTGGGCCTTTTTTGTGTGTTGAGATTGCACATTCTCCCTGGGCATCCATTGGTTTCAGAAGGAAACTCTGACTGACCCCCCAGAGTCCAATAAGATTCTTGTTGGTTCAAGGGCTACACAGCAACTGGCTGTATTGTGATTGTCTAATTGTTTGTGTATATTATCCCTGTTCTTGGCTGGTGACCTGTTCAGGGTGTCCCCTACCCCTCCCCTAGTGAGATATGGAATGGGCTCCAGCCCCCCAACCCCCAAAATAAGATAATCAATATACTGTAGATAATGAATGACCAAGGTTGGCACAACACCCAGATTGCATTACAGGAATATGCACAAAACATGTTCACAAAGTCGTCCTCCGTTGTACCATTTTAAGTGTATTTGCGTTGTAAATTGTTACAGACCTGAATGCTTGACCCTACAGAAATGCTGTAGGGGGTGTTTTTCCCAGCATGGTTTGGTTTCATATGTTTCCTCAGAGGGAGAGGTTGTTGTAAATCAATACAAATGTATTCTGGGTTATTATTTAAATTCTGTGGGGAGACACTTATATCCTGATGAGAGCGCTCTTTACCAGAGTGATAGTGACCTCAGTCTGAGGGCAAAGAGGGTCACTGAATGATTTGATGAGTATGAATACATTGTGAATATTATGCTCGGCTATGCATTTATCAGACTATAATCTGTTAACAGCTAAAGACATTTTTAAATTAAATCCAACACACAGGGGGGAATCTTTATAGAAAAATGTTACTCCATTATTGCTCAAGGAGGAAAATGTCCTGGCAGCACATGATGCCAGATTATGAGTTTTCCCCTTCCCTTCTTTTTTGTTTATATGCTTTTGTACTGAGATTTTGACCATCTCAAACCGAGTCACTTGACAAGCTTTCAGTCGGAGGCTTTAAAAACAAACAATAAGTTCTTTCCACACTGACGTTTGAATAAAATACTCACTGATCCAACCAAAAAATTAAAATCTCTATACACCCCGGATCATGGAGAAGTATTCTAAAACGGGTCCTAAAATTCTAAATTTAAATAGCTTTTTTCTTTTTTTGTAACTATTCTCTTTATCTTTGTTTCAACATATGAAAAGACCTTTCTTAGTCTAATCTTCAGGGAGGATTCTGGCTTGGACAGAATCCAGGTTTATTCAAGCTTTATACGTCTGAGTACCAGAAGGATGCTTAGTCCTATTCTTAATCTGTCGGTCTATTCCTTCTTCAGCTTAAACCCTTCACGTCTCTTTGGTTTGTTCTTGTCTCCAACCCTGTAGAGAGTTGTGTTTTGCTGACTGTACTTGTCAAACTCAAGCAAAGTAAGAATCAACTACAAGATCCTCTCTTGTGTCTAAATTTATGAGCTATCCATGAGTCAACCAGACAAGTCAAGAAGATACTTCTCTACTCCCAGGCTGTATAACATTGAATTCCTACATGGAGAAATGTAACATGGTGGCAGGGGAATACTGTGACATAAAGTAAAAAGTGAAGTACACATTATGGAGCAATAGAATACTTCAGCCATACATTATTAATGTGAGTGTAAGAGTGTGTAATCTATTACTGTACGAGTCTTCTCCCCTGGGGCTGTAGCTAGATCTATGACAGCATATGTTTAACTCTCCAGTGAGTTATTTCCATTATGACTGACCCAAAGAAACACACATACACTTAAATGTACATACCTTCAAAGTTAGGCATCTTTTCATCTCTCTACATCGTCTCATTTTTCTTCCCTGACTCGAACACGACTGTCCTCATTTCAAGCTTTTTACGGATCAATGACTATCCATTTCGGCATCTGTTTCCCAAAATGCATCTTGGTGACCACTCCTACAAGAAGGCTCTAATAGCCATTTACTGTTGTCCCTTCTCAAGGACACTTTTCTTTGTTTCATCATGATTCACACTCCGTAATCAGTCCTAAATAAACCATTAATCCTCCCAGGACTTTCTCCAGTGAATGAAATCAACCAATCAACTATATGACAGTAATTGAGTCAAGCATGTGTGTGTAATAGTGAAAAATGATCGTGTCTGTGTCCTATTTTGCCATTTTTACCTTCCTCCACATTGTATTGTTGAATATAATTAGCTAAAATTAACCCACAATGCAGCTCAGGCAGCATGAATGATATGTCTGCGCTCCCTTGAGTGTGTGGGAGTTTGTTTGTAGGTGATGCATGAGAGAATATCAATAAACCTGTCATGCCAAGCTATCTCCTCCTATGCTTCTTTCATGCAAACAGCACATATCTCCCTGTCAGTGGACTATAAAGTGACATTTTGCTATTTTCTGATGCTTTTAATTCTTTGTACAGGCTTCTTCGTCTTCTGCATCCCTGCAGCTTCACGTGTTCTCTTCATGTACATTTATCATCCCACTGTGGACATGTGCTGTGACAGATAGGATGGATAGTCCAGCGGTCCTCCCCTTCCATCTCGTGTCATATGCAATGAATAAACAGATGAAAAGGAGTCACGCATCCATGCAAACGGTTGCACACATGAATGAATAAACATGCAGATTATTTGTAATGTTTGCATGGGAACTGCATATATATTTCACTGCTACAATTCCACTTGTTAAAGCACTCTAATCAACCAATTATACATTTACTTAGGTAGCAGCTTGTCATTATATAAAAATTAAAGAAATAGTTACAAAATTAGGTATTCAATCTGTTGTCTTTTTTTTTTTTTTGAGCCAAGATGCAATTCTTACCAAATGAAGTGATTAGTCTTTGTTAAAAGAAGAAATATTCTCAGCCATTAAATGATTGTCTTTCAGATTTGCTCACATAGAAAAATTACACTAATTGCTTAATGTAATCAATCTGTCTTTTTTGCCCTCGGTATAATTAAAGTCTACAAATAGACAATAAATCATCATCCCTAGTTTGTTAACATTTCTGCCAGTTACTGTGGAAAAAAAATACATTAAAACTCTTTGAATTGGATGTAACCACCACTTTGAATATTTATGATATTGGATATTTATATTTCAGACCCTGTTCCACGCTGGGTTTTACACAGGTGAACAGGAGTATCTTCTCTGCACAGTCTGTTTTCTGCTCACAGCTGCTTTTACAGTCAGCATTGCCAAATGTTATATGGCCGCACATCAAAGGGAATGATTATGGTAAGATCTCTTGCGAGACCGCAGTATCTCAGTCAGCCTCTACGACCCTCCAGTTGATATCAGACATCTTCTGCTCACGCTCGCACAACAGTTGTAGATTGTAATGCATTCTATCAACACTGAATGTGTTTTAAACAAAATGTTTGTACCATGAAACATATATGTCTGCCAGATAGATGACACATTGTGGTTGCTGCTGATATATCAGTCACAGCAGAGATAAATAGACACATTACTGTGCAAACCAAGCAAGGCAGCACACCCTTGGTACATGCTTTGGTGCTTGGACAGGCGCAGCTCTGCAGGATTGTTAACATTGGCCTTAATAACTAACACCTATCTATAATGACACTGACCTGCATCACTCATTCCTAGGTAAACTATGATTTGCAGACTGACATGTAATCAGTGGTTTACTTTACAGCCTTTCACTTCATCAGAAAAAGTACAATGGGGAATTCAAGCTATAAATTATGTCAGTCTCTATATATGAATATAGAAATCTTTCAACGAAAATGAAATAATCCCAGGAACGTGAAAGAGGCTGTGTGTAAGAGATGAAATCAAGGCTCTTGCAAGGCTGCGTGTTTAAATTGGCCCTTGGCTGTGTGAGCTATACATCTTCTAATGTGCCTGACAGTCCATTTTCATCATAACAGTCTTCTCCCAGGAGTGAAATAATGTCTGCCCTCCAGGCGATGTAAATGAAGAAAAATGTAAAGGCCCGGGCTGAGGCTCACACTCCAGGTTATGTTAAAATGTGTTTGAAACTAATTGACGTATGGCCTCACTTCATCTCAGGGGATGAAACCCAGAAATGTCATGTCAGATTGTAATTACCTTTATTGAAGCTTCCTGTCTCATGTTTGAATATAGACTCCCAGACATGGATATTGTACCTCATAACTCAAGGGAATTTATTAATGGAAAACAGGAATGTGTCTGATAGAATTAATCCTAAATCACATTAAATGTATGACTTGATCTGCTCTATGCATCTGAAAATGCTCGCTGGCTAAAATCCCCATTAAAACTGTAAACCCTGCCTCAGACTATACCTTAGTTAGATCTGATTAAACACTCTTAATACACACGGTTCTGGTTCTTGTCAGATACCAAAGTGTTCTTCAAGCCATGTCTGTATTTGGCAACATGCAAATTTTAGGGCCTGGTTGTTTAGTAAAACAAATGTCAGTGAAGTCAAATTGCATGATTGGGGCCAAAGTTTTTTGCACCTCACGTGGGCAGCCTTGAGTTTGAATCATAGACAGTCTATAGTTTGGATCCACAATCTTGCTTTTGCTTTTGTATGTGCTTTCTACTGTTAGGCCTATTTCATAACTGATTAAATTCAGAACCACAGATTAGCTCAGATGTGAGTTCAAGTTTCCCTTCTAAGCTCACAAGGTGTGTGCTGGCTTGACAACAGTAGGCCTTCCTTATTGAGGAAACTGAAATGAGACTTTCATGTAGTCGTTTCAGGCAAAAAACGTAAAAAAAAAAAAAACGTTACAGAAAAACACATGCCTACACTGGGAATACAAATCCCAGCGGCCCACTTAAAGAACTATTGAATGCAACGCTTCCACAGACACTTTATCCTCCGGAAGGCAGCGACCTCTTGTGGTTTATGTAGAAACTGACGAGTGTGAAAGCCAAAAAATGTCCAAAAGCTGTATTTTATATTCCTACATGACATTTTTGTGGGTGGCGAAAAAGAAAACTGGGTTAAAACATCCAAATGAACCGATTCTACTTGGATAAAAATCTGAACTGGCTTGAATAACTAATAAACATCCCGTCCTGTGGGGGCGCTGTTACAAAGGCCAGGGTCGCTGCTGTTTGCTGGTAACGGAAGTGCGTCTATTATTTATCCGGTTGTTTCCCTCTTCGACGTGAGAGCTGCAACGATGGCGAGCGGTTCAACGAAACAGGCGCCCAAAATTGTCTCCAAAACGTCTGCTGGAGGCGCTGGGGCAGCAGGGGGTGGCGGAGGGCCCCCAATAATGCCCCTTGCCTCTCCGCTGATGGGGAAGAAGAAAAAGCCGTTCCTGGGGATGCCCGCTCCGCTCGGCTACGTCCCCGGTCTGGGTAGAGGGTAAGCTAACTTAGCCGCCAGTAGCTGTAACCTAGATTGCTAAATGCAACCCCAAACAACAACTGCCCTATCAGAAAGTCTTCTTTTAGAGTCCTGCTAAATAAGCCTTAATAATACAAATCACAACATACCCTTGCTTTTTATGTTACATTACAATTAATTCATACAACCATTATAGCAGTAATTGCAATTGCAATATTTACCATGTGCAATAAGGCAATTCATACCTTATTTATACCCCACCAACTTACCCCCCATTTCATACATTCACACTCAGCACCTACTGCATCGCTTGTGCACTTTGTAAATATTTCTCTTATACTTAACAGATCTGTAATATTTTTTTGTATCCTTATTTTATTGTATCCCTCCTAGTACTTACTGTGTTATCTGAACTCCTTTGAGTCGCACGGTCCTCTCATCCAGGGCGTTTTATTGCACTGTTGACCTTGTATAACATACACATGACAAATACACAAATCTTCAAAATTCTCCCTCCTTTCAGTGCTACTGGTTTCACCACCCGATCTGATATCGGTCCTGCCCGTGATGCCAACGATCCCGTGGATGACCGACATGCCCCCCCAGGGAAGAGAACAGTTGGAGACCAAATGAAGAAGAACCAGGATGATGATGATGAAGATCTGAACGACACAAACTATGATGAGGTGCTAATCATTTGCAAGGACCTCATCTCAATTGATTGAATGAAACTGTGCCTATACTGTCGTTAGTTGTGTTTAAACACATTATTTTGACTTGTGTCTTGCAGTTTAACGGATATGCAGGCAGCTTGTTCTCCAGTGGGCCCTATGAGAAAGATGATGAAGAAGCAGATGCTATATATGCGGCACTGGACAAGAGGATGGATGAGAGGCGCAAAGAAAGAAGGTGACCCATGATCAATATGCCCCAGAACCTACCTCGTTTTGATCAATGTAGTGTTATGTGGCAATGGTTTATTTTCTTTTAAGGCATTGGCTTCAGGTAGGAGTTTGTTGCTGTGTAAAGGGATATTCCGATGTAAAATTAATTTAGGGTCAACACACCGTAACACTGAGTAAGACACCCCCTCGAGAGATAAATGTTGCCAACCGCTTGCTTCTCGAGTTATACCAACTTTTGTGACGACCGCACAATAGCAATACACAGCGATCTATGGAACCACACACAAACCTCGACCAAAACGCCACTCTATTGCCACAAATAATGCTCAGAACAGCACCTAAATTCATCAACAGCACAGCCACAGCACTGGCCACCAAACTTTTTTTTTTAACTTTGCCTAATTTCTTTAGCAATTAGACTAAACACAACTCACTTACTCTCTTCCAGCAGCCGCTTGTTTGTAGCGAGACCTTAGGGTCTTGGGGTCTCAGTCTGATAGCATTTCCATTAAGAAATGATCATAAATGTTCTTCCTTGAGCTGCATCACCCCACTGTTGTCCATAATGGACCGGCTGCTGGAAGAGAGTAGGTGAGTTGTGTTTAGTCTCTTTGCTAAAGAAATCAGGCAAAGCTAAAAAGATGTTTGGTGGCTAGTGCTGTGGCTGGGACCCTATATGTACTGTTGATGAAGTTAAGTGCTGTTCTGAGCATTATTCGTGGCTATAGAGTGGCTTTTTGGTTGAGGTTTGTGAGTGGTTCCATAGACTGCTGTGTATTGCTATCATGCGGTCGTTACTGAAGTTTGTATAATTAGAGAGGCAAGCAGTCTGCAACATTCATCTCTTGACGGGGTGTCTAACCCGGTGTTGAGGTGTGTTTGACCTTAACTTAATTTTACACCGTAATATCCCTCTTAATATCGACTGATTTGCAGCTTGAGAAGTTAGTTTGACTCAGAGTTGAGAAAAATCCCAAAGTGCATCCACTTTTGGATGTTGATCTTTGGTTGGAGACCCAAGTGTGTGGCTAAATCAATCTTGTATTACTCATGATGCATTTTGCCCCATTAACCCTGCAGAGAATTAAGCACTGTGTAACTACAAATAGATACTAACACTCCCCTGATATGAAGCGTTGTGCCTACATTTGCATTTTTGTGCAGTACGTGCGAATAGAGATTTGGGAACAGACATACCTCTCCAAAGCCTATGCAGTGCACTTGTATGTTTCATGTGTTATATATTGGGAAATCCACAGCAGTCGACACTATGACTGAGTGATTTTATATATCTTCTTGTGTGTTTTAAGGGAGTTGAGAGAAAAGGAAGAAATAGAGAAATACCGTATGGAACGACCCAAAATCCAGCAGCAATTCTCAGATCTAAAGGTAAAGGTTCTCACAAGATATAACACCCTGTGCACATCTTTTGTGCAGTATTTTTTATCTTTTTGCACAAGTTTACTTTTTACATTAACCTAAGCATTTTCCTGTTCACAGAGAAAGTTGGCAGAGGTGTCAGAGGAGGAGTGGCTGAGCATCCCCGAGGTGGGAGATGCCAGGAACAAACGCCAGAGAAATCCCCGCTACGAGAAGCTCACTCCTGTCCCTGACAGCTTCTTCTCCAAACACCTGCAGACCGGAGAGAACCACACTTCTGTTGATCCTCTGCAAGGGGTCAGTATACATACAAACACTTATTCATACATTTAAAACACCCTCATGAGAGTGACAGCACAGGTTGTAGTTATAGCCTGCACCAGCAGGAGTCAGGGTAGGCACTGGAAACAAAAAAGCACTAACACTTTGAGTTTGCTACACTACCCTGTAATTCTTAAGGAAGCAAGTATAAAGGTAACTTTTTGAGTATAACGAATTTAGTTTCAGCACTTGTTCCTTTTTTTTTTCTTTTTGTTGAAGTGCCAAATTATACATATATTTAAAAACAACATAAAAAGCTAAACAAACTTTAAATGAAAACAAACAAATAATAAACAAATCCCACCCTAAACCAACAACACAGTAAACATAAACATATAAATAAGTATTTCCATTGAATGTGGTCCTGTGTGTACAGATGTACACACAAACGTAATAATATTTGAATTAGCACATAAATGTACTCTAATATAATGAAGATTACTCAGTAGATGAATAGCATGGATAGTTTGGTCAGACCACATCTTCCTGGTAAAGTTTTAAGAGTTTCTGAAGGAAAGAATTCAAAGGCAGGTACTTTACACATTAGTAAAATAAAGTATTAAATGACCTGGGTATGTCTCCCAAAAGCCTTTTCACCACATTATAACAAAATGATGCCTTAGTAACTTAAGTATAATGCTTTCTTTTATTGTCCTTGTTTCTTTCCCTCACTAGTTGGGAGGTCTGAACACACCTTACCCGGGGAGCATGACCCCAGGCTTGATGACACCTGGGACTGGAGAGCTTGACATGAGGAAAATCGGCCAGGCCAGGAACACACTCATGGATATGAGGCTCAGCCAGGTACTAAACTTGGTTAACTCTGTTCCTTCATTCAGTCACTGCCGTTGTTATCATGATGCACAGTATTTATTGTGTCTCCATTTTAATACACTAGGTGTCTGACTCAGTGAGTGGACAGACAGTGGTGGACCCTAAGGGTTACCTGACAGACCTCAACTCCATGATCCCCACACATGGAGGAGACATCAGGTATGAATACAGAAGATGATGAGTAGTTTTTTAGAGTTTGTTGTATGTGTGTCTGATGGTTCATTCTCTGCTCTGTTTGTGTAGCGACATCAAGAAGGCTCGTCTGCTGCTGAAATCAGTGAGGGAGACAAATCCTCATCACCCTCCTGCCTGGATTGCCTCTGCAAGATTGGAGGAGGTGACTGGAAAACTGCAGGTGGCAAGAAATCTGATCATGAAAGGCACAGAGATGTGCGCCAAGGTAATTAATTAACATCAACAAAGCTTTGTGTCCTTTAAGAATGATTAGTAGCGTTGATCAATGAAAAAAAAGAAAATTCTGAATCATGTAGATTTCAGGTTTCCGCTCTATGATGTTTAAAATTGATCCTTTTGCTCCCCTACTGATATCAACATTTCCCTGTCCCCTTCAGAGTGAGGATGTGTGGCTAGAGGCAGCCAGGCTTCAGCCCGGTGACACGGCTAAAGCTGTCGTAGCCCAGGCTGTCCGCCACTTGCCGCAGTCTGTGCGTATCTACATCAGAGCTGCAGAGCTGGAGACAGACGTCAGGGCCAAGAAACGAGTCCTCAGGAAGGGTAAGGCTCTCTTATTAGACTGCAGCTCCAAATGCAAGAGTAGTGAAAATGTGTAAAAAACAGTTTTTCCTTTTTTTCTATGAAGAAATTGGTTTTATAGAATCTTTAAGCTGATGTTATGATCGTAGATGCGGCCGTTAGATTCCCTACATAAGCAGTTATCTGTCTGTGAATGAGTTGTGTTGATGAATACGTCTCAACTTCCAGCCAAAAAGTCGACACTTAACTCTGCTTGGCCAGAATTCAGAACAAGTCTTTATCTGTCCATTGTCTTGTACAAGCATCCACACAGAAATACTCAAGATTTCATGAAGGTTACATTTGGCAGCTGTTGTTCTGGCTCCTTATCAGGGCCAGGAACCATCATGTCAATGCCCTAACACACACACACACATACGGATATTTCCCAGCAGCATACCCCACTGACAAAGATGGATGGGCAGCTTCCTCTTCAGAAGAGCCCTCTCTGCCTCTACATGTTCAGCTGCCTTGGCGCTGCTTTTCTCCATTTCATACGCAACACTCTTCCTTCCCACCCAGACACTATGAAACTGTTCTATAATTGCAGGATATGTTGTTTGTTTTCACTTGGGGTGTGTTTACTAAATGTTAAGTGTTTCCTCTTCCTCTCTTGCTACTGCGTGTGAAGTGTTGCCTGAATAAATACTGATCTGTGTGCATTCTCAGTATTAACCATTTTGTCACATTGGTGCATTTGGTATTGCTACTCGGTTTGAGAATTTTGTGCTTCTGACCAGCTGGCTGCTGTAAATAACTCGGTGTTAAAGTAGCCATGAATTGTTTTTAACAACAGTGTAACTTTCCGTTTAGCTCTGGAAAATGTGTCCAAGTCTGTTCGACTGTGGAAGACAGCTGTGGAGCTGGAGGAGCCCGAGGATGCCAGGATCATGCTGAGCAGAGCTGTGGAGTGCTGTCCGACTAGCGTGGAGGTACACCTGTCACATTAAGAGAACGAATACTAACTGCAATGCAGAATTTTTGGATAACTATTTTATTCCTCTCCCGTTTAGTTGTGGTTGGCACTGGCCCGGTTAGAGACGTACGAGAACGCCCGCCGTGTACTGAACAAAGCTCGAGAGAACATTCCCACGGACCGCCACATCTGGATCACTGCCGCCAAGTTGGAGGAGGCCAACGGTAACACTCAGATGGTGGACAAGATCATCGACAGAGCCATTACTTCTCTCCGTGCCAATGGTGTGGAGATCAACAGAGAGCAGTGGATTCAGGTGAAGCCTTGTTTGTTGGGTTTATGCTGTTTTAATGAAGCATCTTTATCTTGTCACACCTCATTTATGAGCAAACCGGTGTTTAGCGAGAAGCAGTTTTGAGTTTTTTATTACTTTATCCAGCAAGTAACCAAAACAACGCCAGTGTTTTCGATACTGCAGTAAATCCACCGCAGCATGTCAGTCCTGATCACGGGGTTAACACAGCTGTTGGAGGATCGTAAACGAGCCGAAATGATCCCGTAAATTAGAAGTCAAAACAGGGATGATTGTGCCATCGAAGGGGTAGAGACTGCGTCATAAGTTAGTCAGTTTTGATAGTGTGCCAGAGATTTTTTGGCAGTGCGAGCCCTCTGCTTCTTTATCTGGGTCCAAAAGAATTCGAGCCAGAACTGTGACTGACGTTTTGTTTTGTGCAGCTAACATTCATTTTGCAATCATGTGCTTTTGCTGCAATCCCTTAACTTTCTTTTACTGGCTAACTTGCTAATCCTGCCTCTGGTTTTGGATATCGGGGGAGGTTGACCTAGGACGTTTGCCAGCACGCTAAGTTGCTCTAAAAGCTCGATCTTGAATGATAGGATTATCTTTTCGTTTGCTGTTTCAACTAGTCTTTTGCACTGCCAAAAATAACTCATAAAAGTAAGTAAATGTTTGTACATGATCTGCAGTGACCCATTTTAGTGACCCAGAATTATTTAGGATGTCTTGTTGAGATGGTACATTTCAAGTGTGCATTTATGACTTCTTCGACAAATGGTTCACGTTTCTGTTCTCTCATATCTCCATTCGTCTCGCCCTGCAGGATGCAGAGGAGTGTGACAAAGCAGGTAGTGTCGCCACTTGCCAGGCCGTGATAAGAGCCGTCATCGGGATTGGAATTGAGGAAGAGGACCGCAAACACACCTGGATGGAGGATGCAGATAGCGTGAGTGCTGATACCTGAGTCTTGTTCCACACAGGCCACCATGAGTGATCATTCACACTCAAACGCTTTCAGTGTTTGAAGGTGTTCAAAGCCTGTCTGTCTGTTGTGTTTTCAGTGTGTCGCCCATGGAGCGCTGGAGTGTGCCAGAGCTATCTATGCTCACGCTCTGCAAGTGTTCCCCAGTAAGAAAAGCGTCTGGCTCCGAGCTGCATACTTCGAGAAGAGTCATGGGACCAGGTGACCGAAATTAGTTTGTAAACATAGCAAACGACAACACTCTAGATTCTGATTTATATATTGTAGTAGATATTGTCTGATCAGATGTACCTGATTTCCTGCCATCTGTCATTTCATCTCTCAGGGAGTCTTTAGAGGCCCTGCTCCAAAGGGCTGTGGCCCACTGTCCCAAAGCAGAGGTGCTATGGCTGATGGGAGCTAAATCGAAGTGGCTGGCTGAGGATGTCCCCGCAGCAAGAAGTATCCTCGCTTTGGCCTTTCAGGTGATGATGATGTTTCTCAAGCAGCATTTCTCCCATACACGCTCAACTGCTGCACTTTTCAACCCTCTCACTCCATCTCTCCTCCTCCTCTTCTTTTTATTTTCCCCTCTAGGCTAACCCAAACAGCGAAGAGATCTGGCTTGCTGCTGTTAAGCTGGAGTCTGAAAATAATGAGTATGAAAGAGCCCGACGACTGCTCGCCAAAGCCCGCAGCAGCGCCCCGACAGCCAGGGTAAGTGCTTGAGTGAAATAAGTGGGTCGGGTTTCTCAATCGTTGGCATCTTGTGATTGAAAATGATAAACAACATTTCACTTTACTGGTGGATCAAAGTGTCAGATCTCCAAAATGTTTTGAGCGGTGTCACAAACTGGAACTTTCCTTTGAATGCTCATGAAATAAACAAACACGATGTGAACTTTTTTCAGTCGTTTCTTTCAGCAGTGGAAGATTACTTGTGTGTTTGACCTGCCTTGTCCTCCTGCGACCCTTTGTGCTGATGCCGCAACGTTGTTTTCATTATGTAATATTTGTATGAATAAAGTTTTGAAACATAGTTCAGGAATTGCTCGAGGTTTACGAGCAAGTAAAAAGTGAATTCTTTAGAATTTTTCTCTTTTTTTCAAAGGCTTTCTGTTTTCAGGTTCAGGCTTGTAGGATTCTTACACATCTAAACACTCAAGAGTAATCAGGATGACAGCTGCTGTCAACACTGCTCTCTTAATATCACCGTCTCTATCAGACCACACTCCCTTTAGTTATCTCTATTGTGTTTGTTGACAGATGTGACAATGATAGCCCATTTTTGCGAGGGCCAAACTGATTGTCCTGCCTGATAAGACATCTTTGTTGTGATATTGAAGCCGTTTAAAACTTGGCCTGTGCGCTGTGAAGATGATATTTGACACGTTTGAAAACAGCAAAGGTACTGAAAGCATATGTGTGTTTGACATCTGCAGGTATTCATGAAGTCAGTGAAGTTGGAGTGGGTGTTGGGAAACATAGAAGCTGCACAGGAGCTGTGCACAGAAGCCCTGAAACACTACGAGGACTTCCCCAAACTTTGGATGATGAGAGGCCAGATAGAGGAGCAATGTGAAAACATGGACAAGGCCAGGGAGGCTTACAACCAAGGGGTGAGTCAGGGGGAGTGTTTGATTCAATGCTTTCATAACTATAAGAAACAGAGAGAGCCAAGTTGGCTCAACTTTTGGTGATGTGTGTAGCTTCTTATTTCTGACTTGATTTTTTTTCTGCTATAGTTGAAAAAGTGCCCCCATTCTGTGGCCCTGTGGTTGCTGTTGTCTCACCTCGAGGAGAGAGTGGGACAGCTGACCAGAGCCAGAGCAATCCTGGAGAAAGCCCGACTCAAGAACCCTCAGTGCCCGGAGCTCTGGTGAGAAAAACACACCTGAGTTCATTTAGGAGGAGAGGGAGATTTTCAGGTGCTGTGTGTGCTGACATGATTTTTACTGAGTGTCTACTTTTCTAAAGAAGCAAAACAGGCACCCAGGCTAGGAATGACGTCAAATTATATTTGGCGCAAAATCAACACTGCTCATCACCAAAAAAAAAAAAAAAAAAAACCATACCTACAGTGGTGCATGGTGGTGGCAGCATCATGCTTTGAGGCTGTTTTTATTTGGCTGGAAGTGGTGCCTTAGTCAGGGTGGAAGGATTTATGAACAGTTCCAATTACTACCCAAAACTTATTCAAGATCTGAATCTGTCTCTGAAAATGTATGTGTCGTTTTGATCAGGTTGGAGTCGGTACGTCTAGAGTTCAGGGCTGGACTGAAAAATATCTCCAACACACTGATGGCCAAAGCTCTGCAGGAGTGCCCCAATTCAGGTGAGATTGAATTGACCTTAATTCAGTTTTAATGTTATGGGTTTTAATCTCTGATATGTCAGATGTCCAAGAAGAATCACACTTTTTTATTTTAATTGGGACTCGAAAAGAAGATAATTCTTAATCATTACTATATGATCTGTCCATAAACTTGAAAAGCTCCCTTCTTCTTCCTGCAAGGTATCCTGTGGGCTGAGGCGGTCTTTTTGGAGGCCAGACCTCAGAGGAAGACCAAGAGCGTTGATGCGCTGAAGAAATGTGAACATGATCCTCATGTCCTGCTGGCTGTTGCCAAGTATGACTGCTCTTTTTTTCCACCCGATTTAAAATGTCATAAGCAGTGATTCTGCAAATTTTTAGGCAGGACACTTAAGTTTGAATTTATTAATTTGATTCCACGTTTAGGTTGTTCTGGAGTGAGCGTAAGATCACCAAAGCCAGAGAGTGGTTCTTGAGAACAGTCAAGATTGAGCCTGACCTTGGAGATGCATGGGCTCTCTTTTACAAGTTCGAGCTGCAGCATGGCACTGAGGTAAGGGTCTTATTATCATCATCCTGCCTATAGTTATCAAGCTACAGCAGCAGTTCTTCATGCTGGGATCAAGTTTCAAAAATGAGTAAGTGTTGTTACTCCAAGATATCACGGAAGTATCTTACCTGAGTATTCTGCTTCTGCTAGGAACAACAGGAAGAGGTTCGCAAGCGGTGTGAGAATGCTGAACCCCGCCATGGAGAGCTCTGGTGCGCCGAGTCCAAACACGTCCTGAACTGGCAGAAGAAGACAGGCGAGATCTTAATGGGGGTAGCCAGCAAGATCAAGAACACCTTTTAAGACTTTTGACATTTGGACTGAAAACACCTGGAGAACCCTGGCAGCCACAACTCTTGACAGTCTACAGCCATGGACATGCTTCAACTGTTGCTCTCAACCAGGAATGGCCCATCTGTGGCAGATACGAAGATACAGACCTGTGTTTTTTCTTTTTTCTTTTTTTTACAAAATTTAATCCTACTTTGTGAATGTATCAACAAGAAGGATCCTCCACAAATTTGCTATTGAGTACAAATATGTAAACCTCAAAGTGCAAATGACTGTGTTTAAGAAAAAAAACTATAGAAACTATGAAATAATTGTGTTTTTTGTCTTTCAAGTAGAATGAGAACAGAATGATCCACAGTTGTGAAATCCTTTCATGCATTAAAAAGTCTGGCTTTTTTATCTGGCCACTCTGGGAGTTTGATCATTCTGATTTAATGCTGCCTGGAAATTCATTGTTTTTGATTGAGATGTGTTACTTTGCTTTCAGAAGGCCATCATAAAAGATTACCCGTAGTTTCACATTGCAACAAGGTTTGAAGGGACTGATGATGTCCCTTTTACATAGTGGGTTATGGTACTATGGTTTTGTATGAAGAGGAACACAAATTCAGTCTCACTAATGAACAACATCTCCAGTCTTTTCCCTGCCTTTTGGCAAACACCACCTTGAATGATAGAGAGTTTAATCATCGATGGATTGCAACACTTTTCTTCTGGTTGCATTAGTGTCATTAATCTGCACTAGGTGAATCATCCAGGCATCAGAATTTGTTTGAATAGATCAGAGAGATAGAAACCTATCAGTTCAGCTTTCATTTCAGTTTTTGAGGAGTTTTTGGCCCCACAGGTTTTGTTGGCTACACTGTCTGAACCATGTGGGATTTTGCTGTTTCATGAAGTTATTTTGTTTAATGTTTGACCAGTTTGTTGATGTGTGAAAAAAATTGCAAATATTTGTTGTCATCGTTGTCATTTTCTTACGCTTTATCCGGGTCCGGGTTGCAGGGGGGAAGCCCAGATGGCCCTCACCCCAGCCACTTCCACCAGCTCCTCCGGGGGGGATTCCCAGGCGCTCCCAGTTCCAGGCGAGAGATATAATCCCTCCACCCAGTCCTGGGCTGGCCATGAGGTCTCCTGGTGGGACATGTCTGGAACACCTCTAACTGGAGGTGTCCAGAAGGCATCCTAACCAGATGCCCGAGCCACCTCAGCTGACTCCTCTCAATGTTCTACTACAGCGGTTCTACTCTGAGCGCCTCCTGAGTGTCCAAGCTCCTTACCCTATCTCTAAGGCTGGGCCCGACCACCCTGCGAAAACTCATTTTGGCCGCGTGATCTCATTCTTTCGGTCATTACCCAAAGTTCATGACCATAGGTGAGGGTCGGCACGTAGATCGACCGGTAAATCAAGAATTCTGCCTTACGGCTCAGCTCTTTCATCACCAAATATTTAAAAAATAAAAATAACTGGCAGGAGATGTACACACACTTGGTTGATTGTACATTAAAAGTTTTTGTTTTCTAAACCTCAAATGTTGTCAATTGTTAATAATCCCGAAATGCAGACTTAAAGTATCATTTTATTGTCAGAAATTAAGGTTCTTTGTCTTACCCACTGTGCTCTATCTATTTGTGATAGAAATAATCCTCCTGTCAGACTATCACATGACTCACATCATTGTTATGAGCTTTTTTTTTTTTTTGATTGGAAATATCCAATAAAAATGTAACACTGGAGGATAAATGCTGATAATTTATGTGTGTGCACAAACACCTGGCCACCCCCCTCTCCTTACTAGTTCAAAAAAGCCTGGACATGCCCCTGGCTCCTATATGCAAATATATATTGGGTTTGTCTCTGCGTGTCGTGATTGATTTTTTTTAAAGATAAAACATTCTTCAGATCTATACGCGAGCTCCCCACCTCTCTGTCTGTATCGAAACCGAAAGGATAAAAGCGAATGATTAATTGCAAACGTTTCCCTCGACTTGATCGGAATACAGTTTGGTGAAATCCTACGCTCGGCGTCACCTTATCCATGACGGGGGAGGAAATCAGAGCAAAAGCTGCCCTGGTGATGTTGGAAACCACGCAACACCGTATCGGAAACCTACCCAACATCGCGTCTTGGTTCACCTCTCTACTAGAGAAGTGTGGAAATACGTATTAAAGAGGGGATTGGATACAATGAACACTGAAGGATCCGGAGTCATTTCTTGGATCCTTCTATCGCTTGTGATGGCTTTGCTTGTCTGAGGAATCTGCAGAAGAACATGATAAATGGTGAGTGTGGTGTGGACATCTGGTGCGTATTTACGCATCAGCAGAATTCACTTAGAGAATTTAATTCATTTTAAACTGAATTGTTGTGAGGTATTTTTCTTCTGAACCATGTCTCTTTTATAGTGTCTGATCGGAACTCTACTCCGTAATGTCCTGGTGGTTGTCTTGTTGACCAATTCGAGTGGTAAACGTAGATGTAACTACGCAGAGATACTGGGCTCCTACAGAGAGGTCATCTTTGTTGAGCTGCAGAATCTGGTATAAGTATGCTCCTGAAGCGCTGTGTCGTCTGTCTTTCATCGTGTGCATTTGAAGAACTTTTTATCGTGTTTGATCGTGTTTTACTCATCAAAAGAATTTGCTTGCAGCAAATCTTGAACACCCTCCGATAACATAAACAATTGCAATGTTTGAGACTGTCATCTTTTTTCCATCTTTTGAATGAAATTAAATTCTTTGAATAGATGCGCAATTGTTTTCTTCTGCAGAATTTCACAGCCTCAGCTAATACCCCCAAAGAGAGAGACATCTGTCCCTCAGGAAAGGTAAGAGGTGTGACAGTATGTGCACTTTCAGCACCATGGACAGGGTATTAATGACTGATGTCAGTCTAATTTGTCCTGATACTGATGAGACTGTTATTGGCTTTCAAACGCCTTACAACATAAATGGGGTGTCTTATATCAAAGATTACAGAGATATCGTAAATATTGTTTGAAATGACTTAAGTTCCTTCACCTCTTTGGATACTTTTCCACTGCAGGCGCGCCGCATCCTGGTTTCCATCTATAGTAAGACAAGGCAGATGCAGTGTCACAGGAGCGGGAAGCAGCTGTCGGAACTGGAAAAACCACTCAAGAATATGGAGCAGCTTATTATTAACAACTGCAGCCCTGCATATCTGGTGAGAAAAAGGACAACAGTTTGGTGTTTTCTTATTTACTTGAATTAAACCAATGCTACTATTAGTTTTCAATGTATTCCAAAGCATGCAAAACAAAACTGCAAGCACACACCAGGGATATTTCTTGCCTAATCACCCCTCTTGTGGCCAAAATAAGAACACCTGTAAAAGGCAGCATAACAGCACTAATTCTGGTTGCTTACAGGGACAGACACCACCTTGCTCAGCTGTTGGTAAAATACAAGGAAAGAAGAGAAAGAGGACGAGGTTAATCAAAGTTATCAAGGCGCTCATTACTTGCTGGCAGAAGCTACAGACTGTCTTGGTGCTCTCAAAGTAGGAAACCCTGTGTGCCCTCCACCTTCTCTTGCTCCCAGTACTCTCTCATGAAGATATTGGCTGACCCACAGCCATTGTTCGACTGTGTTTAAACTTTCTCGTTTTTTTCAAATGCAGTGTTTACTGTTGTGAAGTTCTCAGTTTTTTGTGTAAACTGTCAGCATCATCCCCTTGTGTAACGGAAAAGTTTTACAGTAACCACATATAAGCTATCACACTGTATCTTCAACCAAGTGCCTTCAGAATATGTTGTGAACAACCAGATTTCTATCTGTATCATATGTCAACATACTCATGATATGTGCTATGACCATTTTTGTTGCATTTTCAACACAATAAAACATTTTGATATCTGTAAAGCCTCAGTATTGTTGTGTTTTAGTTTTAAAGTTTTGTGGATGTAGTTTCAGCTACTTTAAACTCCTTTCTTTCTTGTACAGTTTTAACATTAGTAATACTCAATACCTCAGAATCAAGACTGTTAAAAGGGAGGGGGAAAAAAGCAAATTTCTAACTTTTTCAACTTCAAATGCAAATATAGATTTAAGGTAAGAAAAGATAAGATGTTCCTTTATTAGTCCCACAGGGGGAAATTTCAAAATTACAGCAGCATAGCATAGATACAGAGAGAGAGAAAAATCAAAAGATAAAGAAACTTTGAGTTAAAAACAAGATATGTGCATACGTCATATTTACATCTGTACAGAATTTATTGCATATTGAGGTTCCTGTTGTGGAGTCTGACAGCTGCAGGAAGGAATGACCTGGAGAAGTCCTCTATTCATCATATAAAAAAATGACAGTTTTATCAACTGGTGGAGTAAATTAAAGCTTTAAAAGTAGTCATCAAAAACTTGCTTCACATACTTAAGCCTTTAAACTGTTTATTTTACAGGTTTGATTCTGTTTGAAATATTTAATTTGTTCATTTTTATGTTGTTTTTTTTTTTACTTTTCTTATTACTCTCTCTTATTTTCTTTCTGCCGCTGTTATCACTTCATCTGAATTTTATATTTAAAATGTCCCATTATTAGCGCCGTGTTTGTCGTCTGTAATTACACGACTATCAATATATATATTTTTAATACCTCTTTTACGCATGCGGAACTGTATCGCTGTGGCGCTGTTTTCGTCCGGAGCAGAATCAACGATGCACAGCGTCGAGCAAACGATTTGCCTGCGACGCGGGGTATTGTCAACAAACATCGCAAGGCGCCACTAGTTGATGTATGTATCACGTTATACACTTTAACACAAATGTAAAATTGAATATTACTTGTTATTCAGAAGTTTCATGTCTGTTCCGTTTATTTTTTCTACAGGTATAGGAAACCGCTTCACTCGAAACACCGGAGAAGTAGCACCACACAGTGTTTAATGTCATGTACGTTTTCAGCATCTGTTACTAAATGTTATAAATTTTGTTAAAAACCCACCAGGCAGTTAAAAGTTAATTTCTGTTTTAATAATTTGATGTAAAAAGTCGTCGACAGAGCTGACATGGCCTCTAGCAACACTGTAGACATGGACCCAGATGTCGCCCGGAGGCTGTTTGAGGAGGGGGCCACCTTGGTACTGCTGGGGGTCCCCCAGGGTACAGAGCTGGGGATTGACTGCAAGAGCTGGCAGGTCGGTCCCCGCTTCAGGGGTGTGAAGATGATCCCTCCTGGCCTTCACTTCCTCTACTTCTGCTCTGTCAACTCGCCGAGCTGTGGAGGAGAAATCGGCCCAAAGACAGGACTATTCCTCAATCTCAAACCTAGACAGATCTTATTGGCTAATTGGGACCCCAAAGAAGAAGATCTGGACTTCAGAGCCTCCCAGGATGAGGAAGAAGTGAACCGGACGAGGGAGAATTTGCGGGACCTGGATCCTTTCCTGGGGCCTTATCCGTATGAGGTGATGAGGAAGTGGGTGTCCTTCACTGACCGTCTGAGCGAAGAGGTGGCCAACAGCTTACAGCCGCTTTCGGGTCGAATTTGCGCCTTCAGTGATGTCATTCCTGAGCTTCAAATGAAACACACCAAAGACAGGGCCGAGCAGCCGAGGAACGACACGGCCTGTCAGAGTATGAAAGAAGGGCTAGACCGGCTCCCGAGGATGAAGCAGAGGGAGGGGACGGAGTTACGCTTCTCTGTTATCCCCAAGAAGACTTACCCGCCTGGGGCAACACCAGCAGAGATCACCCAGTGCAGCCTGGACCTCAGCTACGCCCTGGAGACTGTGCTTGAGAAGAACTACAAGCTGCAGCCCCTTAATCTCTTGGGTACGTTGAATTCAGTAATAAAAGACGACCAATACAGCCTATGATTTAGACTTGAACACATCACCGATGTTTCTGTCTCTCTCTTACCAGGCGAGCTGCAGTTTGCCTTCGTGTGTTTCCTGTTTGGAAACGTGTACGAAGGTTTCGAGCACTGGAAGCAACTCCTAACTCTGCTCTGTCGCTCAGAAGAGGCGATGAGGAAGCACAAGGAGCTCTACTTGGGACTCATCGCTGTGCTTTACCACCAGCTCGGAGAAATCCCACCTGATTTCTTTGTCGACATTGTGTCTCAGGACAACTTTCTCACCTCGACGCTTCAGGTAGATGCTCAACTTTCCTGACCATGAAGCTCTTACAAGCAAATTAGTGTTGCATCTTTATCAGAATGCACAAACATCAACACCTTCACTTTTTAGACTTCTAAAGATCTGAATAAGACATGAGAAGTAAAGTTTGCTAACATAATTCTTTAGATTCATTTTGGGTCTTTCCCCCTCTATTTGATAGGACAGCATGATGAAAGACAGGAATTAGGGGTTTCTACTTACCAACGCTCTCAAGAGTTACATGGTGGTCCCACCTGTCTAGATTTTCTCACATCCATCATCAAGCTCTTATTTTTCGGATTAACTTTCTTTATGGAGAAAAGTAACTGTATATCCATGAAGTTTTGAGAGGAGCTGTCTTGACTTGATTTGAATTCCCAGCAGGGAGCAACTGATGTGGAAAACACTCCACTTCGGGTGGAAGAATACAATAAGAGACACTGCTTTTGATTTAAGAGGCAAAGTCAAGAATGTCAACATATAAACTTACAAGTAGTTAAAGTGCTTGATTTATTTTCCCGCAGGATTTTTTCCAGTTTGCAAGCGGACCCGGCGTAGATGGAACTCTGCGAAAGAGGGCGGAGAAGTTCAAAGCTCACCTGACCAAGAAGTTTCACTGGGATTTTGACGCAGATTTGGACGATTATGCTCCTGTGGTGGTGGACCTGCCTGAAGGTGTTACAGTGGACTGACACTAAGCTTTGTGTGAGCTGGAAATGATCTGACACTGAACAGAGGGTCAAAAATCGAGATTTAGATTTAGTTTCAGTGACACCGGTACTTCTCTTGAAGCAAGTATGCAAACAAGTTGTGATTGCTTAACTGTTACAATTACAGCTCCAAGGATAAGAATATGGTGAAGTTTTTGTTTTTATAATTTAACTCTCAAAAATAAACTTTCATACTGTATCATTTCTTTTCTTTGGATGCACAGTGAAGTATATCATTCATTTTGTTTAAACGTTGATGATTTCAGCTCAAAGCCAATGAAAAAAAGGAAACAGCATTTCAAATTATTAGCATACTTCCCAAAATAATCCAAAAAGTTTTAAAATTTATATAATGTTCAAAAGATTGTTCATCTAGACTGTTAGTACTTGGTTGGAGGCTTCTTTACAACACTACATCAACAACTCATGACTGAAACCCAGGTTAGATGGCTGGTCAATCACAGTTGTAGTATAGTCATCAAACTGTTTTGAAGGAATTTTGTCACTGTGGGCAGGTAAGGAAACCACTATTTCCATACAGCTTGTCAGCAGATGGAAGCATGAAGTGCTTTAAAATCTCCTGGTTGACTTCGGACTTGACAGTTAATAGTAGACGGACACCAGCAGATGGCATAGTCCCCTAAATCATCACAGACGGGAAACTTAAGTAATAAACCTTTATGTGAGAAGAGGACTATGTGTCATGATATGTTTTGTTCATTTATTTTGTTGTTTAGTTTTCTCCTAGTTTTGTTTATTTAAGTGCTTTTTTTCTCCTATTGGTCCTGTTCCCCTGTAGTCCTGTCTTGTGAGTTTTTAGTTTGTGTCTGACCCCGTTCCCCTCATTTTTTCAGTGTTTCATTCATTAGATCAGTTTTCAGTTTTTCCTGTTTTATTTTGTAGAAGTCCATCCTTGTGTGTATAGTCTTGTTGTACTTCCTCAGTTTTCCCTCCTTGGTAATTGTCTGCACCTGTGACTCGTTTGCACCTGTGTCTCGTTAGCCTCACCTGCCTCTCGTTGCTCGTTTCCCTGTGTGTGTATATAGTCCCTGGCTTCCCCTATTTCTAGTTGGTTCATTGTATGTTTGTGTGCGTATGCTTGTGTCCCCGGTTGCTCCCTGTGATTTTACCTTTTTTTTTTTTTTTTTTGCAGAAAAAGGATTAAATTAAAAGAACGTAATGAACAACAGGAAACAAAACACTAGGGAAAACACACAGAAAATGCATTTAAATAAACAACACGAGGAGAAAACTAAATTAACAACTTGGGACCACTCTCCTTCTCTGCACTGATACCAGCCTCAATCTACTTCTCCCAAACTCTTGAATCAGCTTTTCTTGAACAATCCTCTTAAGATGGCGCCCACCCCTGTGGCCTGTGCACCCTTTCCTTCCCCATTAACTCTCCATTGATCTACTTTAAAACATCACTCTGAACCACAAGCTTTTTCTGTGATGACCTCCTGTGGCTAACCTTCCTTTGGGATCTTGCCGCTGATTGTCTTTTGGACGACTGTCAAGTCAGCAGCCCCACGATTGTAGCTGAAGTAGACCAAGAGGTGCAGTGTTTGGTTTGTTTGAATGAAGATCACCTAAATGTGTGAGATATGGTTTCTTGATCTTTCTTGAGCAGTGGGCCAAAATGATCAAAATTCAGAAACACTGAAGTTTACGTGTTATAATTCAAGGATTTCCATTTCTATTTCATTTATATAGCATGATTTAAGAAATGCAAGTTTTCCAAAGTGCTGCACAGCAAGATAAAAATACAATAAATAACACAATGGAAACACAGTAGATAAGTTAGAAATAAAATGAGATAAAACATAGTAAAACCAAAAAACAAATACATAAATAAAATAAAATAAATGAAGTCAACCTCCTACTTGGGGTTAAAAGCTAAGGAGACAGAAGATTAAACACAGAAAAGAAAAAAAAAACACAAAAACAATAAATAAAATCAATAAAATAAAATAAGTATGATATAGATAGAATATATACAAATGTCAATTTCTTTAATAACTGACGGAAAATATTAAAATTTTTCATCTATACTAAAAAAATTTCTGAGCTGCACCACAATAGAAACAAAATTACAACACATTAATGGGCAAAAATAACCAGACTTTAATTAATGTAAAATGATAAAAGGAAAAAAAAAACGGGACTAAGTTTTTTTTTTTTTTTTTTTTAAATTAATCAATTTTTTTTTTTTTTTTTTTTTTTTTTTTTAACTCTAAAAACAACACTTGAGACAACCTACTGTAATGGTCTCTATCCCTGTCAACTTGAAAGTTGATATGAACGTCTGGTTGTTGAGCTTATTTCTTTCACCACTAGATGGCAATCATGGACTTTTTGTGAGGAGTTGCAGCTCTGTCTCTTTCTAAGAATCAGAGCAAACTGCATCAAGTCTGCATTCACACAGAATTTAAAACAGTTTCAAAGTGAGGAGGAACTTTGTACGGGTTCATAATGATGTTTTGTGCTGAGTCCAACACAGCAGTGAGGGTACAAATGGTCTCTGAGCCTTCTTCGGGGTCCTCAAAGATGATTTGTGGTGGATAACAGGTCGAGGAGGAAGTGTTGAATGCTCAGATAACAAGCAGATCAAGAGGATAACATAATTACCCGTGATGAATTACCCGTGTGTGAGCCTCTTTCCAGGCGGTGATGGATGGTTCAGACTTCGGGTTAAGGCCTGCTGCTCCATCAATCCATTCACCGCTTAATTTCCCCCATGCCCTCCATGAACCCTCTTTTCTCTCCAGCTGGATGCCTCTGCTTTGACTTGCTTCATGAGTCCATCTATAGCCATGATACTGCCCCGAAGAGGACCAAAGCTTTCTAATGTAATTATGTGCATCAATAGAGTCTTGATCTGTTGATGGAGACCCAAATGCCAATCCAAGACATTCATTCTCCTTCCCAGAAGACAGATGGTATTGTGAAACGGATGGTCTTCATGATGAACATTCCCTTTTGATAATTTACGTACATCTTAAAAGGAGATCAGCGCAGTATTTGTGGTCCACTCTGAGACCACTGGGGCCCCTGCACTGGTTGTGAACTCTCCCTTTGAATGCAATTAGATGGGTAAAATGTCTTGGAACACATGGTGGAAACATATCAACGCAACGTGGAGGGAAATGTAGGCCAATTATTTGTACATTTATTTTCCTCTCTGGGGATCAAAAACTGCATATTGTCAAGGAAGACAGTCTCAAGAATTACACAGTTGGGACGTCCTTGGCATTCCAGACCCTCTATTAGCGTGTGCTGCGAGTCAGCCGACGATTCATTAGGTATCCAACTTTTTCTTTACCACGCTCACCCTTTCAACCTCGGTCTCAGTGTGATGACCATTTTTCTTTCTTTTCATTTGGTTTCGGCCGCTCCGGGGGGTGAAGCATGCTGGGAAACAGAGTGATGATGTTGAAGGAGCTCAAAGCCAAGAAGGCCCTGTCAGTCACGGTGGAGTTTTCTCCCCCCCGTCAGATGGGAGCGGGCCATTTCAAAAGGGGCTCACGAGCTGCTCACCCTGCCAGTGTAAACACAGGCCCCTCTGTTTCTTTTGCAGTCACTCGCCCGCCTGCTCGCCTCCCTTCCCACAGCACCAAGGAGGATGGAGTTTTGAGTGTATATGCAACTTCTCGACTAGATATTAGGGGTGTCCTGATACTACTTTTTTACCTCCGATACCATACCGATATCGTATCCTTTAATATTGGCCGATACCCATATTGATCTGATATTAGCAAAAACTTGTGCATGACAAGTTTTTCACTCAGTTGCAACGTCATTTCGGACATTAACGAAAAATACTGCCAAAGGGCCGACATCACTCCTACTCCTTGGTGCTTTGTTAGTACCTTAGTAAACACTGTTGTTGTGTACATTACATAGGCTCTCCATGCAGGTTCAGGTGCTGCTAGATAGAGGTGCCGGAGCGGAGTCTGGAATGAACAGCCTGTATTGCAGTGCTGATATCATCCGATATTCGATTTTTTGAATTGAATTGAATTGAATGCTTTTATTGTCATTGTCACAATTGCCACACTGTCACAACGAAATTGCATCTACAGATGGGGAAAGTACACACAAGAGGAAGAGGATATTGATATTGGACCAATATCAATATCGCATCGGGACACCCCTACTAGATATTGACTTTGTTTTTCTGTGAATGATTTTTGACTAACCATATCAGGTATTTCTTGAAATTTATAATGTAATTGAAGAAAAACTGCGTGACATTTGCATAATTTTTTAGCACATTAAGAGTCAGCTTTAAGTGTTATTTTTGTGTTCTGTCCTTAAATTGCACCAAATAATGTCACGTCTCCCTCTGTGCAGATGACTTCATGCTATTTCCTGCCAAACTGTCTCTCTTTCACCAATTCTGGCAAACTTTGTGCCCGTCTGTGACCACTTTGATGCATAATTATTATAGATTGCTTGTCAAAAAGAGGGCTGTTTACTAATTGCCCGTGTCCTTAGATTACATGTGGGGAAAGATGTTGGTACAGAAGTGGGGAGAGTGTTTACTCCCTGACCTCTTTTTACAGTTTTGTTGAGGTTTCATGTGTAGATGTATAATTACAAACACTTGGCGGTTCAGTTGGTCATGCTCACAACCGTAGGTTAAGGTGCAGAAAATGCAAACAAAACTTTCTCAAGGTAGATTAATGACTTCTCCTCTCAAACTAGGCATGAAAAGTTTGTTTTTGCGCATCTGTGGATGTGGATTCAGTCCACACACAACAAATAATTCCCAGCTGCAAACCCTCTCCTCTTTTTGTCTTACACATCTCCTCCGGTGTCTGCCTCATATCTGTGCGTGTTAATAACCACTCTGCAATTCCCCTGTATCCCCACTCCCCACATGTCTGACTCACATGACCCAAATGTGAGGCAGGCACGTGTACATTTTCCCAGGATGTGAAGCATACATGAGTGTGCGGTTGGAGGGGCTGCATGCACATTTACAGCTCTGGTGCCCAGACATATGGATGGAGCGAGAGGTGGAGGGGGTACTTAAAGCGAGGAAAGACAAAGTCAGAATTCCCTCCTGGAAATTTTGTACAAAGCCAGAGCAAGACAGAGTGAGAGAGTGTGTGTGCATGTGTGTGTGTGTGTGTGTGTGTGTGTGTGTGAACAATCTGCTCTGCTGTTAGAGTGATCTGCTGAAGGGATTAAAGGTAGGGGCTAAAAACGAGGCGGTAGACCCTTTTGAGGTCTTGTCAGCAGGCATGTGTGTCTGTCAGCGTCTGCCTTTCTGATCATGGACAGCACACGGACTCGACAGCTGGCCTATAAATGTCCCAGGCTAACTAATGTGGAGGTAAAACAAGCACAAGCTGTGATTAGCACACACACACACATGCACACTCACATAAGCTGCACTACAGAGGCAGAGATAACTTCCACTGTTGTGTCTCAGGGCTGTCACAGAGCTCATAAAAACGTCCACGCCTGCGCTGTAAATCATCTCTGAGAGCTAAACTAAACATCGGTGGAGTCATTCGGAATCGAGCACATTTCAGACAAACCACAGCAAAACCTTCCTGGTCTCTCTCTAGTTCCCCTCCATCAGATATCTTTCACTTTCCCCCCACCTGCCCATCACATGACTGATCCCTGACTTCCATTTTTAGTGTGTGTGTGTGTGTGTGTTGTCTTTGGCTGTGGCACTCAGCGCATGAACTCTGGCAGACCTTGTCACAGGAGAAAGGATTTGAATACCCACTGCACCCCGAATCCACACTCACACGACCTCCTGCGATTACACCCTTTCTCGTCCTTGCCCTATTTGTCTCAAACAGTCTGCGCGTCTCTGTTTGAGGTTTTGATATAAAAGCGGACCCCCTCCTGGTAGCCCCACACCCAGGGGAGAACCCACTGAATGGTAACAGGGTGGAGAGAGGAAGGGCAGGAGGGAGGCTCTGAGCAGACCGGGGTCTTTCAGATGGTGCTCTGAGGAGGATGAAAACATTCATCACTCATTGTTTTCTTCTGGGTATTAGTCCTGTTTTTCCATCCCTTTTTTCTGCTTTCTATCAATTTTCTGCTTTCTCTTCACCGTCTCCCGCCTGCGCTACAACACCCTCCACCTTGTGAATAATTCAGAGATTTCTGATGTATTATTCAGACTTTTCTCCTTCGCAGACGTACGCATGGTTTTTGTCTGCTTTGATTTTTTTTTTCCCCCTCAAAGTGAAAATAAAGAAGTCTCTTTGTCTGTGCCCTCTGTGAGATTCTCTCAGGGAACTAAAGACTACAGTAGATGTAGCTCAGGTAACACCACAGGCTGCTCTTTAATGGGAAGGTTGATGGTTAATTTTCTGGCTCTTCAGTTTAAATGAATATGAAAAAAGGTCAGTTTCTCAGTTGAAAAAACATCTACAAAATGAAACCAGTTCTAATCCAGCTCAAGATTTAGTATCCCATGAACTATAGGGTCCTGTTATCCATGAAAATCAAAGTGAAAGCCAGATGCAGACTACAATTTCTCCTCAACAAGAAAAGTGTGATCAAACTATGCTTAGAAATAGTTTAAACCTAGCAGAGTAACTAGTTTTAATACATACATTTGGTTAAAAACTGTTTGATCAGGTCTGGATATCTAGGAATATAGTTGGATAGTTTTTGACTCTTAAGATCAACAGTGCCAGAAAAAAACTTTTTTTCTCTCTCCCATTTTTCTCAACTGCTTATTTTAAGGGATGGAAGGAGGACAGACTCCTGTTCATGCAAAGAAGTAACTTCAGGGATTTAAGGGAAAAAGAAAACTACAGAACATGGTGCTTTATGAGCTGTGAGACCTTCATGAGAAATTTGGACGAGGGTAAGTGTGAGGCTAAGTTTTTAACATTCCCAACTCAAATAGAAGAAGGAAGACTGTAGCTGGAGAGCCTCCTGGATGCTGACATAGTTGATTAATACAGGGGGTGTGTATGTTTAGTAGACTTAACAGTTAGATAACTTCAATAACAAGTAAGCTAAACAAATTTTGCTAACACTTTATACAAACCTGACTCCTACAATGTGTCATAAACACATTTATAAAACCTTGGGTCTTTTCCGCAGTGACTGTACAGATGACGTTTGAATGGAGGAATGGTAACTTGGAAGAGCCGGCATTTTTAGAGCTTTGAATCATGAAAATATAAACCTTCTCCTTGCTTTTTCCTTCATTCTTCTGCCTTTAACCCTCAAATTTTCTCTGTTTCCACTCCTTTTATTCTCCATTATTCCCTATTTTCTCTCCCTTTATCTGCTTTGTACTTCCTTTTAACCTCTTTTATCCTCCTTGTTCCTCCTTCAAGCCTCTGTATTTCCTTTTTTCATCCCCCTTTAATACTTCTTTTGTTTTTTTTTCCTTCTATTTCACCCTATATATCCCACTTTTATTCTCCTTTTCCTCATTTTTTTCCCTTTTTAGAGCCTTTAACATAAAAAGGTGCCCTGTGGATGCTCTTTGAGACGGTAAAAAACAGCACAGTGTCCTTGGATGTCCTTTAGGTAAAGTTAAAAGTAATAATAAATTCACATTCTGAATGTTCTCCTAATGTCAATAAGTGCCCACTACACTCTAAAAACACTCGGGTTGTTTTTTCAACCCAATTCCTGCGTTTTATGTGTTGAGTTAAATTTCTGTGTTATTTTTCAGATCCATACCCATTTCTTGGGTCCTATGGATTCTATTGTAACCCAATTAGAGTTTTTTTTTGAATGGGTTAATATTTATGGGCTATTTTTCTGAGAGTAACCTAATAATTTGGTCAGAACTTTGGGTTTGATTGACTCCAGGCCTAATGGCAATTAAAGTGACCTGGTGACCTTGTGAACTTTGACCTTGGTTTGGGGTTCGAATCCCGCATGAGACAAATCTGTAAGGAGCGAAGTGCATCTACCTGTGTGGGTCCTTAGGCGAGACCCTTAGTGCTATGGCCTATCTCATAAACATGAGTGTGTACCATTGAAAGCCAAACCGGCTCAGACGGTACAGGTTATAAAAGCAAAGCTCCCAAAAAAAGCTCTGCAAATGCATATATCAACTTAACCCAAGATCATGAGTCAAATTAACTCAAAGATTGGGTTACCCTTAAAAAGAGTTACTGAGTCAACCCAAAATTTGGGTTAATTTGAATAACCCAACATTCTGGGTTGAAATAACCCAATAAGTAGTCGATCCCTTTTCAACCCTGATGCTGAGGGGTTTTAGAGTGTAGATGCTTTCACAGTATCCTCTAAAGGCCCTTTCAATAGATAAAGTGTAATTAAGTACCCTTTTTGTCTTCTCTGTATTATACAGTCTATGTAAAGTTGACATGCAAAGTTTCTGAGCCAACTTCTCAGAGAGTCTTTAATATTTATGTGTTAAATCAGTTAATTCTATTACCTAATATTCTGTCAACCACTTGATTTTAAAACGACCATGTGAAACTAACAGATGACATCTCTCTAAATGTGACTTACCTTTCAAATATGCCACTCTAGAGATGACACAATCGGGTACTGGAAACTAATAAGAAGTCCTGGTTCGCCAGAAAAACATCCTGACACACCAAGGAGTTAAATTTGGAAGTGCTGGTACTGTGTACTGGCTTACTCAAAGCACTCAGTACATACAGGGTCAAGAACTCACCAGTGGTCTGTGAGTTAAGGTATTAGATATAGCAGGTATTATGTCGCAGTAGCTCATTCTGAGACAAGCATGGTTTGGTTGGCTGTGGATCAGTGGTAGAGTGGGTCATTTCTAAGTTGAAAGGTCAGCACATCGATCTCCAGCTCCTGTGCTCCACATGTTGAAGTTTTCTTGGGAAAACACTGGACCCCCTGTTGTGACATAGATATTGATATATGTATGTGTCTGAACAGCACTGATAAACATTTAGACACTTTATGTTGCACTCGCTACTAACAGTGTGTGTAAAAGAAATTTGTAAGTTGATCTTCCTGTTTTTCTTGTCACTTCTTTCTACAGCCTTCTCTCTCTCTCTTTCTCTTTCTTTCTCTCTCTCCCAGTGCAGGTGTGTGCAAAACTCCCTCATGTGACACATTATAAGTCATTTTGAAAGGTGCTGGATTTGTTTTGTGACACTGGGAGCTTTTAAAAAGCAGCAAAAGAATCCCCACCTCCTCTGTTCCACTCCCGCATCCCTTTTATACAACAATAAATCTCCCTTCTTCTCCTCCTCTGAGTCTTTTCCCCCCATCCCACTCTTTCCTACTGTATCCCACTTCCTCCGTCTCTTGTTTTTTTTTTTTTTTTTTCTGGCCAGTCTCAGGTTGAGTTATGGGATGATCAAGCAGAGCAGCAGAGCCAGGAGAGTTGTATCTTATCCTTTATCAGTATTTCAGTTTCTTCTTTTTTTTCCATTCCACACCTAAAGCACTTTTAAGCGTAAGCAGACCAAAACGAATAATCTATTCTCATCAGAGTATGTTTACTAGGGATTTTAAATAAATAACCTTTAATTGGCGTTTACTATAAACTCTTTCCATTGGCCTCTCCAGCTCTTGCTCCCTCGGTGTCTCTGGACAGAATCCCAGACTCATCTCAGCTGATTGTCCCTAATCTGAGCGCTCGCTGTCTCTTGCCATAACCCGCTGCTGTCACCACTGTAATTACCTCTGTCTAATCGGACGGGCTTCTGTCAGTGCCTGTGTGTATGTGTGTGCATATATATGTCTGCATCCATGTTGCGGCCAGGCTTACTGGAGCCAGGTGGCCACGTGTTTGGCTCACAGGAGGCCATTTTTCTTTGAATGTTAAACCCCAGGCAATAAATATCTCCATGTGATGCTCACAGCGCAGGTTTGATACAGAGCCAATGACTTGGCAGCAGATGCAGTGGAAGACATCAGATATAACCAGGAATCCTACATTTGGCCTGCGAGTGGAACGTTTGAAATTTGCTCGTATCCAGACGCAACCAAAGCGGGTTGAGTTTGTTCCAAGATGCTGATATAGCAGTGAAGAGATAATAGCCTTGGAGCTGGGATATATAGGCTATAACGGATATGCTGTTAAGCTGAAATCTTAGTGAACCCCTGATGAGATGATTTGGTCTGTAAACTGACAGGAAGTGGTATGAAAAGCCCAAGGTCACAAAGCTCATTTTTACAGAAAAAACAATGGAAATCGTTACATCATCTGCATACGAGGATACTTCATCGACAGTCCGGCACTATGTCAGGTGGGTTTTAATGTCAGATTTATGAAAATTAAGGGGCTTACACCACTTAGCTTTAATCACAAACAACTCTAGGAAGCTGCTTGTCTCCCATGATGTCACTCTAAGCTGCAACACAACATTTTTCAAGCATAAACACTTTGGCAAGTGGCTCCATCTCTCTGCAGAACACCCTGAAGGATTATCACTCAGAAGTTTCCACAAACACTCCGCACTCTTTCTGAACGCTCCTCACTCACGTCACTCGACTTTTTTGTTATGCACTTTTTGCCGGGAGCTGCTGCTTCTGCTGCTGCTGCTTGTTGCTGCTGTTGATGTTTACCTCTGTGACCCATGCTGTCTGGCCAGCAAACACACAATTCTGGTCTGGACCGGCTCCATGTTTCTGCTTTGGGCCCTCTCCATATCCGCATTACCACTGAACCACAGCTGGCTAATGAAAGTCAGGCCTTAACTGCCCGCAGAATGCCTGCAAACAAACTATGGGAGTGTCCTGAGATGAGGCCGAGGACTGTGACTCTGGACATGTAAGTGATTCGGGGGATCACAGAATAAACATCTAGAGCTGGATGGACTATGGCAACATCAGGACTTGATATTGCTCAGAAACTCCAAATATTTTTCTTCAGAATATTAGCAAATCCAATTGCCAACCCACTGTATTTTCAGAGAAAATAAGACCAAGCATTACATAAGTATTCACTGATGTCTCAATCTACACCTTCAGCATGCCTCTAGCTACTGCAGAGCCTATGGTAGCCTATGGTAGATTATATTGCCTTTGCAAATGTGTATGTGTGACTCGTATATACAGCACATGTGTACATATGCACACTGAAACCATTTCCTCTGTTTTGCCAGGTGGGGTGTTAGAGTTTGACAGGGCTTCCCCCCTTCTCTTTTCAGAATCAGGGTGTCTTGTTCTTGCCGTTTCTTGAAGATAGACGTACACTCCAAGGTAAACATCTGATCTGAGAGCTCACTCAGTCACATGCAGCTGCCTCAAACAATGAAGCCGTCCCAGGCCATATGTTGACTTTAAAGACGGGGATGCAAGGGTGAACGTTTGCTTTATGGCTAATGATATTCAAGCCTCACAACTTCAAGCTGGCGTCCCTTCCTGCACTCCAAACACAAGAGCCACCTGGGTTCATGGGTGGACAAATAAAGTCTTGTGCTGAGGCGGGAACATGTGCAGTGATCAGGTCACATTTAATGTCCAGAGAGGCGAAAGGAAGGGTGTTTTTATGCAGAAGATTGGTGCCGGCTGTCACTCCCCGGTCCGTGGGGTGCATGAAAACACTGAAGCAAAGTTTTTGTGATACTACTTTTATCGGCTTGCCTAAATCAATATTATTGTCACGTTTTATTGTCAAAGTAGGACTTTGTACAGTTAACGAGACAAAAAAAAAGTTAACATTAGGGGAAATAAAACATATAAATGCTCAACATATTTCATCTATTGGTTTGCGAATTTTGCTTAGTCTTAAGTTACTGGAAACCATCTTGTGAGCAATCTTTAGTAGGGTTGTTTGAGGTACTTGTCAGTGTCTTTGATTTAATATGCATCCTGTCAGCGCCAAATTTTACAGTCCGACAACATACATCCTGCTTCAATAGAAGAGTGTTTGAAGTTAAGCACAGTACACCAAAGCTCAGGGAAGCTGGACTCAGGACTTCAGAAAATCACATGGGAACTTGACAAGATCACACTGGGGTAGGAGACACATGACCATCAGAACAACATACTAACATCATGGCAAATATTCAGTGCTATTCATTTGTAGTATTATAGATATCTGTACGTCTACTATGGGTGAGAATTCTTTAATGTGTTGACTTTTGTCACTATTTTCTACACTGTTGTGCTGTTGACTTTTAACGTTCTGATATCAGTGTGGTTTTGTTGCTGTTTTGTGGCTGTCAACAGTCCATTCATCAATTTATCATTTCTGATTTTATGGTCCCATTAATACAAACTGATTTTCAGATGGGAGCCTGTACATAGTGTTTTATTTTGAGAGTGACTAGGTTCAAACAGAGTATCCCCCGGGTGAGCTACGCAATCCTTGGTGTCAATCATAGAAAACATGAACCCCTAATAACTTTTAAAAATGGAGCTGTACAAAAAAAAAAGAGGACTTGTACACAAACCAGTCTTACAGTAACAACATGTCAACATCGCAAGCAGCGGGGGAAAAAAATATATATATTCTATGTAATAAATTTCTAAAGTTTGTCCACAGCCCCATAAGCTTTGCTGGCGGAGGCGGGATTTATGACCTATACTTCAGCCCGTCACCAGAGGGTGCTGTTCTCGGAGTGACTTCACCCAGCAAGGATGCAGACGCTGTCCATTCTATATACAGTCTATGTTATTGATGCTGTCACATTTACTTAATTATTAGTTTTTTTTGTGTCTCTTCAACAGCTGATTGGTGGACTGTAGGTAGACACATTTTCACATGTGTTAAGGTTAGGATTAAGGTTAGAAATCCAGACTGAGATTTCTGATGGCCTGATGAAAGACTGATAATTTCAAAATGGAGTGTACACAAAAAACAAGAAAAAAGTTCTAAAAGTTTTCTTATAGTTAGCAAACAAGATATACGGTTCAGTAAACAGTAGAGGTTTCATCCTTCAGTGCAAGTATTTACTATCTTGTTGAATTTGAAGACCATATTTTGCTCCCTCGTCTTTTGCAGCTCTGTCACTCCCATGAAAGCACTGAAATGATTGACAAACTGGTGGCTGTCACACCCTATCGATCTGGAGTCCAACAATCATAACATCATTTCACACGCCCTGGAGAGAGATCAGTCGATAGCATGGACATGGAAACATGTTGTAAATGTGTTTGTTTGGGTTTTGACATTGAGAAGTAAAGATCTTTTTTCATGAGACGGGGGATTGGTGACTGGGACATGAGGCCGTATATGAAATGTATACATACCATACAAAGCGATGAAATCCCCTTTCCCTTTGGGATGCACTACTGACGCCTATGTGCTTTAGGGGGATTGGGGTCTAATCTAGCTGGATTCCTGAACGGTTCAATTGGGACTTACTTCGGTCATAGCCATGCCTGAGCTTTAGCAGATACAGTTAACCTTGAGTTAGTTTTCTAAGGTCACAAATTCTTACTTTAATGACCAATAACCTTAGAAAACACAGGACAGTCTGTGTGTCAGTGCATTGTGGTTTCTCATTCAGACCACACAAATGTACTTATAAACGTACGCATGACTCCCCCTCTCTCTTTCTCCCAACCACACATACACTCAGACACACACAAACGTACACACACGTGTTTGAGTGGCACATGTTCTGAGATTGCTGTGGCAGATATCCTTCATATCCTGTTCAGTAAAGAGCAGAGCTTTGTTAGTCTTTCAGATTCCTGGATGAGGGGCTAAATCCATACTGTCACTGCTGTGGAAGGCTGATGATTTTTTTTTCATTAAACAAAATCATCTCCAGGGTAGACAGAGTACCCCCCTCAAAGCCTCATGGGACATCATCAACCCCTACAACTCGCAACACTCGGCTTCTGTCAGATTACAAATGCGTGGGCTGGAGAGGAAAAGAACTATAAACACAGGAAGATATTCTTAATTTGTTAGCATAGATAATTAAAACCCTTTCCCTTGATTTCTGTCTGGATTTGCTTTTAAAACTTAGAATTGGGCTTCACCGTAAACTATCATATGACATTAACAAAAAAGGATCATTGCATGCTTCTACTACAGAGTGTAAGACTCGATTCACTGAGTTAGCAAATCTACAGAAAAGATGTTGTCTTTGGGTTTTTGTTGACATGGTAAAGGGAAATTTAAAAAATATGTTTTCTACTTTTTCAATGTTTTCCTTAACGCCTTTTAAACCATTTTCTTGTACTTTGAAGATAGCTAGCGCTTATCATATGAGGACACCCCCTCCAAAAATAACAACCAGTAGATCCCTAATCCTCAGTCAGTGACGTTTCTAAAACTGAGTGGATTATCAATTCTGCTGTGGTATCATAGTGAGACATTTAGTTGAAAAGCTAAAGGGAATCCCATTTCAGTGTGTTTTATAGATTGAAAATAGGAAAAATTAAGCAGCTTTTCAAACTTTAAGACCCACGTACAACTATAATTTGTTTTATTTGCCCTAAAAGGTTTTGGGAGATGAAAAACTAGTTCAAGTTGAGGAAAGTTCAAAACATTTTATTTTAGTTGTAGTCAATGAAAAGTCATTACAATTTAATCATCACTCTTGGTCAAAGCATTGTCTGTCTTCCTAACTAATTAAATCAATCAGGTATTAAAATTGTATTGTATTCAAATCTGAGGTGTTTCTCTCTCAACACTTTCACTTACGTTAGTTGGATGATCTATCTACTTCAACCCCTCCACCACTGTGGTGCTACTGTGCAAAAAACAGCAAATGTCGAACATTAACAAATTAATGCCGCCCCAGTAGCTGGTTGTGTCTTTTTCAACACACAGCTGGAAAAGTTTATCAAAATGGGGAAAAAAAGCACAGAGGCAGAGGGGATTAGTAACACGGCGCCCCTCAAAGTGAGTCAGCCTGTCAAAGGACTGCTCTGCCTGTATTTTAGGTGATGTATTACATATACAAGCAGGGGAAAATATGATGCATTGTAAATGTCCAATATTCACCGAAATAAATTTTTTCTCATCTTGTTAATGAAAAAAAGTGACATTTGTGTGAGTTTTTATTATCACTTATGTTTTAACATGGAATAAAGGGTCGTTCACAAACTGTTATCATCAGAAGTCCTGTTAACAAAATTAAAACTGTGGCGATGTGAATCTTAACTGTACTGCCTGTCTGCAAAATCATTAAAGTTGCTACAAAGTCAATGATAGATGGGAGAGACTACTCCAAAGTGTTGTTGTAGTTGCTAACTGTGCCTCCCACTAATAGATTCAATGCCTAGATTTAAACTGTCCCACAGGTTTTTGTCCATCAATCAATTAATCAATCGGGATAGAGGAACTGGTAGAAGAGCTATTAATAAGAATAGGGGCGAGTTTCCATTGCATGATCTACCGGTGTTGGTGGTGGAGATGTCCAGGTCTGAGACCAAGCTTACCTTATCTGTTCATTGTAACCCAAACTCTGTCCCCAGGCGGAGATTGCCTGGCTCTTGATGTAGTAGTCTGTCAGGTCCAGAAAGTGCTGACACAAGGAAGATAAACTGATCCAGATGCAGACTTGGAGACACGTTGAAGAAGACTTGAAATAGGGAGACTAGAACTAGCATGTGTAAGTCTAGGGAAAAGAAACTATGCATATCTTATGAGTAATCAGAAATTGTGAATTTTCGAGGTAACACACCATCTGAGTTTAGGTTTTCAAATTGAAACAGACAGAAAAACTCAGATACAAACTCTGAGATGTCAGAGAAAACAAAAAGTTCTTAATCTTAAAACTGTGATTCACAGCACTGAACGTACAAACTGGGAAAGAGTTATGACTTTCTGACAGCAGCACTGCTGCCGGTCCTCACCTTATGTAAACTTCATATGTGAATCCTCCACAGGTGCGCTCGCAGCAGGAGCCCACTGACAACATAAAGTCTTCAGAGTGCCACGCCTTTACCAGAGCTAGCATAGCCAAGAGATAGAAGGAGAAAGACAGAGATAAAGAGAGAAGTAATTCATAACAGGCACAGAGCATCCATACTGACAGACTCACTTACTCACAAAGGACTGTGTTAGAACTATTACCTGAATGCCTCGCTATATTCACCAGCGAGTTGTTAGCCTGCTTGTTGAGTGGATTTCTGAGCTTTTTCTCAAAGTTGACCTTAAACCTAACCCTAACCCTTACCATCTGTTTTTACTGTATCAGTTGCATCATGTGTCCTTAATGTCATTATACACTATGATAGGTTATTGCTGAATTATGCTTAGAGTCTTGCCTCTCCCTCCGCATGACTGGATAGGTGGTAGCAATGACCCTCAGCCGTGGGCACCCCCATGTGAGGGTCCTGATGCATTGCACTGGATGTACCTCCTATGGTTACACCATTGTGTACAAACAGAGAAGACACAAAATGAACGATAGAACAGCTATGACCTTCATAACCTGTGTCAAACTCACAAATGAGTCCTCTACACTTAAAGGCGAACGAGTCGTGCATTCCTGCCAGCATCACACCCAATCTGGATTGGGTCCCCATGCAGTCTGGAGAGGAATTCCTGTCTTTATTAAAATGGGAAATTTGTTTGGATAGTACAGTGTCATATGGTGGATTACTCTGCCAGACAAGAGTCTGTTTAAAGCTCCCTGGGCTTATACTCCAGCTCTGTCTTTAAACCAACATGCTCCATGCTTTAACTGCCCTCTTCGTTGTTGATTTATTGACACTGATCCACCTATCAAGTATGATTACATTCCAAACTGTATTATGGCAACAGTCCTTTTGCACTTGGGGAAAAAAAAAAAAAAAAAAAAACAGTACGCGACTTGGAGGCTCCCCTGAAAGTGATGTTCATGTACACATACATGCCTAGAATTTTTCGAGTGCATGGTGAAGAGCTCATACAGTGGGGTAGAGATTCTCACAATGTACTTCTGTTATTTGTTCCATTCATTAAAATGGTGTATCAACCATTCAACATTCACGGTCATTAAAACATTCTTCCTGAATGGCAGCAGCTGGTCCACAGCAGAGCTGGGAACAGAGATTGCTTCACTGATATGTTTCCTATTTAACATATATCTTTATTAGCTTACTTTGTATGGAGTGTGTTCTATCCTGCAAACCATAATACACTCATGCACCACAACCAAGCAGCAACTTTGTTGTTGAAATTTGACGCCAATGTAAAATGCAAGCAAATGTGTTTTATGGTTGTATGCAAAGTTGTGTACAATTAGGGTTGTGGCTGATTTCACTATGAGGTGAGCGTCATGCACCTGTCTGCCAGGCAGCAAAGCTTTGCCCTTAACTTCACCTCTGTGCTGGTTTGTAGATGAGTAGGACTTTGTGGAGTTGGCATTGGTGACTGCCATGTTTGGGCTTCATAACACCTTTTCAGAAGCAAAAAAGAGATGTCACCAAGGTTATTCACACTTTTCATACAGTGTATGTTCATGACAGGCAGTTGTCCAGCTGTAGGTGCCTCCAACCTAATGGGGGGCTCACACCAACCGCGAGTAAAATCATGTACTCGCTTAATTCGCACAAATCTAGATGCATGAATGAATAGTATTTACTCGCTTCATTCGCTGCTTCAGTGGTAAATTCAACGGTTATCCCTGCTAATACAACCAGCAGGATCAAGTAATAGACAAAGGTCTTTCACACTTTACCAGGTAATCCGACCTCCTCACTCACCTGCCTCCAGGTGAGCTCTTTTTTATTCCGATGTCAGTAATTGAAAGAAAAGGTATCATATAATTCAGGGCCCCACACACGATCAGTTTGTCAGTTTGTCCTCCATTTTAGATACCAGTGAACAACCGTCCGTTTTCATACGCCACCCGGCAACCTTCATGCTGATTAGTTATTAGGCGAATATCTGCTCAAGTTGAGACATTCTCAGCCCCCTCCCAATTTGTGTCACGCCGGCAGAGTAGTAGGAGCGTCTAATCGTGTCTCTGCATTAACTTAACATGTAATTCATTCGTGCAAATGATTTTACGTGCGCTTGGTGTGTGGAGACAGTAAGAGTTTAGAGTCTAATCTAACTGCAGGATAGTGCTTATGCAAATATCATTTTAAAATGATAATTCAGTTAGTGTTGCACATTTTTGTAGATGCTGTGCATGTGTAGGCTTTTCAGGAATGAATTGATGTACACCCTCTGGTCCAAATGGGCCGTCTCAATTAAGTGCTCTTATACACTTGGGTGAGTTTTGCACAGACATGCCAACAGGTTGTGGTTGAGGTTAATAACATGACGAATATATTTCCATTAAAGCATTAAAGTCAGGATGTGCTCCACGCTCTTTCACTTCTCCAACCTCCACATGCATTTGACCAGAACTTCAGGAAAAAAAAAGCAGTAAAAGGAACTTTTTGAATGATAGCTTTTACTTTATTACAGGAAAACTCAAATATCCCATTGCCTCAGCAGAGGAGAGGCCCCTAACACACACACACATACACACATTTACACACTCACTACCATGTGATTGTGACCTCCAGCTTTCAAAGCTCTCCATGCGTCTCCTCTGTTCTGACCCTGTGCCAGAGGCTGTGAAATGAGATTATTATGTGTGAAATGAGGAGCCCTCTCACTTCTTCTAGTGTTCCAGGCGGGACAAATCAGGGTTAAAGACAGACGATAGACACTGCTGAGAGATAGCTGCAGGCTAACTCTGCACCGCAGGAGGGGGGTGGGGGCTGAACTTAATTCTTCCACATCATTACATATAACTTTCTCTGTATCCTGTGGCCTGTGGGAAAGGAGCTTATCCTGCCAGAGATAGAGATGATGGAGGCCTAACCATCTCCTTCAGCTCGGGCTCCTTTCATAAATGATCCCAGGTTGAACAAACATTCATCAGGGCGTGAAGCGTGGCCCCAACCTTCTAACCTGCAAATCCTTTTGCTTGCAGCCTTCTGCAAATGTCTGATTGACTCTGCTGCAGCAGCATTCCCTGCATACCTGTGCTCTCATCTGACAGGGGCACATGTGCAGGTCACAGGGCCACAACAGGGGGCGGATGTACGCACATTACCTCAAATCTCCAGTGACATCCCCACTTGCCAGTTATTGTTGATTAATCTTTCCCAGGCTGCCAGAGTACAGAGGATATGGGTCAAGCTGCTGAGTGAAGGGAGGGCGATGGGGTGACGCAGGGTTGGATTGGAGGGGCTGGTATTTGAGTGAGAAGTTTCAACCCTGGTCAGCTGTGACCTCTGACATCCTTATGTGAACCTGAGGCAGGCTCAGCAGACGACGACCTCCTCTGACTGAGTAATTAGCGTGAACGTGGGGAATGATACACACTCTTTGAAGTTTTAATGAAAGGCGCCCCTCTTTTCTTTCTCTTTCAGTCAACTGGTTGTTTTATGCGCTTTAGATAATGACAGAGGAAGAGAATAAATGACCAACCATACACGAAAAGACTCCACAGGATAATTTACATTACCCACTCCAACAACTCAGCTTTGATTTCCTCGGTTTAAGTAAAGTCTTCAAAGTTTCTGCTCTGCTTTTTTATTGAACACACATTGCCTTTGCATGAGGTTCTCCATCTGTAAGTCTTTTGTTTGTCATTTCTTCAAGGTCAATTAGATGATACAATCAATGATGCCCACTGTGGGTCTTCTGTGGATTTCACTGTAATGCTCTTTTGTTGAAAGTGTTTTCATGTAACGAGTCCCTAAAGGGGAACAATTATTCTTCAGATTCTCATGGGTTACGATACAACTGTGGGACCACCGAGTGAAACATGTTTTGCTCATTTTATATGAGCATCATACTTGTCCATGGGTCTTTCCAAGAGCTCTAACTGTATTTACCATACTACAACCCTGACGGGTACAGGTCTAGTTCAAAATAAGTGACAATAAATTAGGGTGACCATACGTCTTCTTTTACCTGGACATATCCTCTTTTTTGGGGGGCTGTCCGGTCTTCTCTGGCTTTGTCTGGGGAAGTTTTTAAAATCTTTCAAATGTCCGGGGTTCTATACGGAAGTTTCAAGTTTGTGTCACATGGACTTACTGAGTTAGAAGCATGTAAAAGACACTAATCGAAAAACTTTCAAAATTAACTTTGTGCGACTCCACCCCCCGCTTTGTCGTGTCTTTTTTGGGGGGATTCAGAACATGGTCACCCTACACAAATTGATCTCAAGGCCCTCCGAAAGCATGTTAACTCTCTAAATAAAGTTAAGACTTTTCTCTAACTGGACATTTGAGATCCAAATGATCAGGTATGACCTTGTACAACCCCAATTCCAAAAAACGTAATGACTCTGTAAATTGTAAAAAATTGAATCTGATGGTTTGCAAACCAGTTTAGTGACTTGAAAACTTTATATAAGTGGGGAAAAAAAAGCTGATTTTAAATTCAATGCCAGCAACATTTCTAAAAAGTTGGGACAAGTTAGCAAAACATTGAAAAAGATCATCCCCCTCAGTGTAAAGTTGCAAAGAATTCTGTGATTTCATCGTCTTAAGCGCATGATGTTAGTATGTAAATTACTCAATGAATCTGAGAAATCTCAAATGTTGTATCAGTGAAGTTTTTCACTTTCAAAACACACACGAAAAAGATTTCCTTGGTTGCCAAACATTTATAGAGCGTAGTTAAAAGACGAGGTGATGCAACACAATGGTAAACATGCTGATAAAACATTTATTGGAGTATTGATCTAAGTCTTTAAAGGTTGGCAGAAATAGTTTTGCAGTTATCTTAGGTTTTCCAGCAGATGTTAGAAAATTAACAAAACATTGTTACATCAGCTTTCAAACCTGATCAGAGAAAGTGCTGGTAAGATTACTTCTTAATGAGCTAAACCCTAATCTTCATCCTTTCTTCTCTCTTTTAACCCACCACTCATCAACACCCCTTTATCTTAAAAACAGGAACAAGCCCTCTTTTCATCCAATACTTCTGTTGCAGCATCAAAACCCTTAACAAGACCTGCATCTGCCGCCTGAGTTTCAATCAAGGACTGAAATGTAACAGGCAGTGATTGTGGACTCACTGCAGGTGTGAACGTCCTCATTAAACATGTAGACTGGAAGGAATCAGGAGAAGGATATCCTCTTCAAGACTTGTAAGTAGTCTAAAAAGACTGATCTATTTCTGTTTATTATGAAAGGACATTGGCAGGAGAAAATTCATGATGACTTCACAATACAACATCTTTGTCTTGATTGGACGCTTCACACCTAGGCCGTACCTTACCGCCAGCTGCATCAACCCCTTGTTTGGTAGAGGCAACCAGCAGCAACATTAAAGAATTTAGAGATAAGCTTTGACCTAACATGTGGTCAACAATAACGTCATTGTGCGTTATTTTACCTGAAATAACCCTCTCCATAGTTTCACATCTGTCATGTTTAGAGCTGCAGTGATAGAATATTTGACTAATATAGTGTTCAATTATTATTGATTAATCAAGTAATCTAATAAGAAACCATTGTCTTATGAAATGTGTTTTTGCTTTAACTGCTGTAGAAATACATTTTTCTTTGTTGTGGTTTTAATAAAGGATTATCTTATCCTACCTTATCTTTTTACTAAGCCTCAATAAATATACTTTAAGACTATTGGACTAGCTAATGCACATTAACTTGTGATTTATTATCATACTTTAACGATACACAGGAATATAATCTGTCTATGATAGTTGTTGAATAAATAGTGAAGACAGAGGTCAAGAATGATCTTATTTTCCCTCCAACTGAAGGACATGAAAAAAAACAGAGTTGGATGAATAGATAAAGACTTGTCACAAAGCTAAAACTGCTTTTTTTTCCCTCACAGCTCCTTGGATTCAATAACCCAACTACACTTCAGAGCCTGTCGCATGGAGGTCAGCGCTGCTGCCCTGTCTCAAATCCGAGGTCAGAGCAGGGGCTTAACACAAATCTGGCAGATAAGTATCGACAGGTATCTAATAAATGAAGACATGAATCAGAATACTACCAGAAACATGAGTCTACAGAAAAAACAAAACAAAACAGTGAATCAAAAAGCTAGCAGTATTTGATCTGATAGGCCTAAAGAAACAAGAACACTTTAAATTAGCAACAACAATAAAATACTCGTGCACTAAAAGAGGCTATTTTCCTGCACAGTCTGTATACTTTTAATTCTTCAAATTTACTGACAGTACTTGCATAGATTTCAGTTTTTTGAACATTTGGTCATAATTCAATTAAATATATGGTCCAATTATGTCTTTGACAACTGGCAAAACAAAAGAAGGCCTAAATGAGGTCACAGGGGTCAAAAAGCTAAGGAAAAGCATGAGTCATTAGTGCACAAGTCACATGTGAGCTCCTTTTTTGGTCTTGTCAGGTCATGTCCAAAGGCATTAGATTCATGACTTGACTCCAAATCATGTGACCTGCACCCACATGTCTGCAGTATCCTGGCTAAAGCCAGCCTGGTTATCACATGTCTATTGTTATAGAATTTGGCCCAACATTGACTTTCCCAGGCTTTTATTCTCTCTGGTAAAATTTGCTGAAAGTTTTGATTGCATTAATACTTTAATATCATTTTTCTCTACAGTGTATTTCCAATGTATTTTCCCCATGCATCACCTCATTATAACCAAGTCCAACTGTTGGCTTGAGGAGGTTGTGTTTCTTCTGATGCACAAACTGACGTCACTCATTCTTTCCACCTGCTTGCAAGCAGATCAGCTGGAGGGCAAAGCATGTGACAAAAATGCTGTACACCCCCTGGTCTTCTCCCACCCCCAGTGGTGCCCTGCTGGCGTTGTAAGCAGTTTGTTTTCGATTAGTATGAAACAAAAGCAGTGGTGCCCTCAGCTAAACCCAGGCCCCTGCTCAGGCGAATGTTTGTTCCCTTTGTGCCAAGTAACTATTGGTATTTCTCCAATAACAGAAAAGTGAAAGGGAATATTTGACTTCCACTCCAAGAGACCACATAACATCCCTAGAAAGACCTTCTCTTTTAACTCTGTGATGAATAACTTCATACATCTGACTTTACGGCACATTTTCTTCACTTTTTTGGGAGCCCAGACTCGAATGATGAGGTGATCACATGCAAACACTTTCACTTCCACCGAGCCTCCAGTGGCAATTTGGTCTGTTTACAGCCTGAAGCACTGATTGATTGCACCTCTCAGTGTTTACTTTAGCTGAGCTCACTCCAGCATTATCAACAGACCCGAGTGGACTCCAGACCTCTGCAAAGCAGCCTCTGGTGAGCATTCAGTTTGTTGCTGTGTACAGCTGCTGACCAGCATCCAACAAACTGAAGCCTCCCTCTTTCCTCCTCTGCAGGCAAAAAAGAAGTGCCTGAACGGAATGCGCTTTATTCATTTCAAATGTTTTGTATCTCTGTCTTCGAATTTCAAACTTTTCTGCACTGAATCATTTCAGCGTGGATCAGGATAAACACTCCACGTCTCTTAACGGGATTATATAAGACATCTGAGTATTCATCTAATCAACAAGTGCAGTCTTGAATGATCAGGAAGAGAAATAAATCAGGAAAAGAAGCATCTCTGGGTTTAATCCACCGCAGTGGGGAAATGCCAATGAGCAGAGCACGCCAACTTGGTCCATGTAGGCCTTTTCCGTAGGAAATGACTCTGGCTGGCCCCTCTGGATCTCTGTCTGTGTGTAAAGGGGAATACTGCCAGTAACATATGCTGCTTTTGTTCTCACATATTGCCTTAGGTTCACATTTGGGTTCCCTTTACTCTAACATAAAGGTCAAAAAAAGTGAACAAATGAGAACCTTAATTTGTCATTTCTTTCAAACCTCAAAGTTAAACACTAAATTTGAAACAGAGATTTTTCTGATATGCAGGGAGTAGAAACTTATCTTGATTACTTTGCCTGGCGGACAAAAGCACAGACTAATTAAATGTTAAATTCAAGCCTGATTTGTACAATTACAGGGTCAGGTCATGTGATAAAATGCATTTAAAGTGGAGTAGCCTTGAGTCACAGCAGAATTATGCAACCAATGACTTATAGTGTACACCATCAGAAATATTTAATTAAATCAGGGGTGTCAGGGGAGGACTGCCCTCTATTACCTCTGATTGGTGAGGCTGAAATTATTTCCATTCCCCCATCAGTTAAGTTTAGTGGTAGATGGACCATATGTTTGTAGTTATAATCCCTGGCCTCGATATATATTTCCTTCCCCTCCACTATTATTTTATCTTAATGCTGAATAGGCTTGCTTATTATTGGGGAATGTCACAATCCATACTTTTGGTCAAAAATTCCACTCACTACAGTAGGCTTGTGTTTGTGTGGGAATGCGCATTATGACTGAAATTAGACTCCTCCTATTTGGCAGTTTGAAGGAAAACTTATCCAACAGCACTGCATGAGATTTTATCAAGTGATTATGTTGTTTACCGTGCTTGACTTTCACACAGTGTGTAAAAGAGTTTAGTTCTGGTAGCAGGAAACTGTCTTATAAATCAAATTTGTGAAAATAGGATTGTAATGAGTCTGTTCCGGGATGTGAATAAAGATTTTACGATGGGAAGGAATATTAATGTTGCTGTTTGGAGTTTATTGGGTTTAAATCGGAAATACTGCGTAACGAATAACTTTCTTCAATAAAGTCAGACTGTGGAGCTAAACAACTTTTGTATTTGTAACTGTGGCTGCAAGACAAGGGACATGCTAAGTATGGATGTTTTGAGAAAGAGGGTTAAGTGAAATGAGCTAAGTTAGTCTTTTTAGGTTTTGTGCACACTACTCTCCAATGACAGATTCCTCTGTCTGCAAATGTGACAGGATTTTTGGTGTCTCTAGTCTGAGTATCTTCTTGCTTTTCATTAGGATTAATCTTTGTTGATTTTGAAAGCAAATGCCATCGCTTTGATTAAGCTATATAATAGATATGTCCGTGCAAGTGAAGCTCATGGTCCACTGTTAGGGTTAGGGTTAGGGTTATTCTTAGATTTTTTTCGATACCTCTAAAGTTTCTACCCTGACTATAAGCACGAAAGAGTTTGCAGAAAGTATTTTAGCTGATAGCTACATGGGAACTCAAAAGAAGTTGTCTGTTTCTACTAAAGGTGATATTGTTGACAGATGGTAGCAGATAGGTTTGAGATTACAATCAAACCTGCCAATTTGGCAGTATATATGCTGCCACTGAGCATATATACTTTATAGAGTTGTGTGCTCTTGCCTTGAAGAAAGGGGTGGTCTAGCTAACACTGGCTACCTTGCAGCAATAGGTCATTCTTTAACCTTAGAGTCTGTCATTACTCTGCTTATTGGCTGGGTAATATGGGGTCACTGAGTAACCCATCTGATTCTGTTGTTGTGTGCATAGCGCAAACTTTAAAATCTTTGTCACTTTAACTAACACTGTACCTCGAACTTAAACCAGTAACCCTCTCTTAAAATTGCACAATCAAGTGTAATTTATACCATTACTGAAGTGTGCTGTTGCATGTCCTGGTTATTCATTCAATCATTCATATTTCATAGGTAGCACACATTAATTACTTACCTGTAAATAATAATAATAACTTTACTTATAAGGCATTTTTAAAAACAGATGTTTACAAAGTGCTTTATGCCAGAATTAGCAAAAAGGCTTGTTTTCATCAAGTGTCTTAAACTTTATTGTGAAGTTGTTTTAATTAATGAAAAGAGCAAAGTTAGCTGGGTACACGATGCTTAAATTTCTGACTCACTGGATCAAATGTTGGAGTTTTTGAATTGTTGGCTCACCTCAGTGAGAGATGGCTTCTGTTTTAATAAACACAATTATGTAATATGTGATGACTCTGGCTAACAAGCGGGCAGATTTGTAATTTGAGAGTAGCTTTTGGTTTCATCCCAAGAATAATTAAGGGAGAATTTCAACAATGCGGCTTTTATTGCCTCCGTGTTGCTTCTATCACAATAGCTCAAATATCTCCGTCTGTCTTTGATGGGAACAAAGCAAAATAAATAAATGACCATTTTTCAAGCATATTTTGAGAAAATATAAACCCATGCAACACTCAAGATGTGGCAGTTTAGTGAAACACACTTCTATCCAGCAGATATCACACAGATTGATATGTTAACAATTTGCAGAAGAACACATCCCTGCAGCTGTTGATTTGTGGTTCGTCCATATGGCAGTCATATTGGGGGAAGGATCATGGCAGTTCAGAGCTGTTATGATGTGCTTGGCCAGTAGCCTGTGTTAGGAGGAGCTGGATGTTTCTGTTGAAGTGACCAGAGAAGTTTTTCGCTGCTTTTCATTTGAAAGTTGGCTTTTTCATGTGGCTCCAGAGCTTATGTAACTGCCTGGCCAGCAGCTGCCGTTACATCAGCAGCAACAGGACAGCGATGTCCTTGGAGTTGAATGCGAAGCTGAAGTCACTCTGAGCAGCACATGTCAAGGCAAAACAGAGGCTAAATGGTGCTTGACTGTTTTCTAGAACCATTTGGACCCATCATTGATGGACTGGATTTCTTTCAATGGGCTGCTACCTCCACATCAGATAGGCCCAGAAGTTTAAAAGCCTAAACTAATGGCTTGGCTTCGATGTTTGGCTTATTTACATGATTTCTGCAAATCCTTGTCATGGCCCATGACTTGAGGTTAATCAGTAAAATGGCAAAAATCTGGAAAGCAAGGGTAGCATCTGGCTTTTGTTTGTCAAGCAGGGCAGAGAGCCATCCTGTATCTTGGGTACCACTGTTTATCTGTCCAGTTTACCATCATAAACAGCCAGCTGTGTCAATAGTTGTGTGTTTTTCTGGCTGGCTATCACTGGCATTGAGTCACTCAGATTTATCAGTACCTACAGCTTGGTTTAATGTGGTTTGCACTGAACCTAATGGGAAACTGACTAAACTTCAAGAGAACAAATAAGAGGAATTAACAT